CCGAGATATCCACCGTTGAGAGCTTTATTCTTTTTCTAGTTGCTATTTTTAGATTATTTCTATTTTTGGTAACGTATTCTCAAAAAGGGAGAAAATGGATAATAGAGAGGAAAATAAAAAGAGAGAAAAAGAGAAAGATAATGAGAAATAGAGAAAATAGAGAAAATAGAGAAATAGAGAAACAATGAGAAATGATGAGAAACAATGAGAAATAGAGAAAGGTTATTTTTCTCTCTCTTTTCTCTTTCATTCTTTTTCTTTTTTTATTCCCTCGTTTCTCTTCTTTTTCTCTGCTTTTTCTCTCTCTTGCTTCTCTCTTTCTTTCTTTCTTTCGTGCAGTGCACAGGGTGTATATAATATATATATGGATAGATAGATAGAGAAATAGATATACATGGATAAAGAAAGTTTAGAAAATACTCGCATACTTTCCTCACTCTTCCCTTTCTCCATCCATTATATACCTCTCTCATATCAACCTATCCATATACCTTCCAACTGTGAATGATCCTTCCGCAGGTTCACCTACGGAAACCTTGTTACGACTTCTCCTTCCTCTAAACAATAAGGTTCAACGTACTTTTCATCTTATCCTTTCAATTCAAAAAATAAAACAAGCCGTACGCTTCACCGGATCGTTCAATCGGTAGGAGCGACGGGCGGTGTGTACAAAGGGCAGGGACGTATTCAACGCAAGTTGATGACTCGCGTTTACAAGGAATTCCTCGTTCATAAATACAGTTACAGTATTCAATCCCAAGCACGATGCAATTTCAGAGTTTGCCATACTCTTCTCAGAAATGGTCTCTTACAACTATTTGATCGCATCAGTGTAGCCCGCGTGCAGCCCAGGACATCAAAGGGCATCACAGACCTGTTATTGCCTAAAACTTCCATCCGTGAAAAACGAATAGTACCTCTAAGAAGTATATATCGTATATCTTCACATACAATATAACTAGTTAGCAGGAAAAGGTCTCGTTCGTTAACGGAATTAACCAGACAAATCACTCCACCAACTAAGAACGGCCATGCACCACCACCCATAAAATCAAGAAAGAGCTATCAATCTGTCAATCATGATCATGTCCGGACCTGGTAAGTTGCCCCGTGTTGAGTCAAATTAAGCCGCAGGCTCCACTCCTGGTGGTGCCCTTCCGTCAATTCCTTTAAGTTTCAGACTTGCGACCATACTCCCCCCAGAACCCAAATTCTTTGGTTTCCCGAATAAAAAGGATGTACGATTGACTTGTCAATACACCATCTTTAAGATGGCAACGTTTATGGTTAAGACTACGACGGTATCTAATCGTCTTCGATCCCCTAACTTTCGTCCTTGATCAATGGGAATATCCTTGCCAAACGCTTTCGCAACTGTTCGTCTTCCAAAAATCCAAGAATTTCACCTCTGACTAGGGAATACAAATGGCCCCAACTACCCCTATTGATGCATTTTCAATCAATAAAACTTCCTACTAAAGTCTTATCAATATATTAATACTATTATACCATGCTAAGCTATACTTTCACAAGAAGCGCTTGAAACACTCTAATTTTTTCACAGTAAATCAAAATCAATGTCAAAAATCAATCAATCAAGATCAATCCAAACATTCATTTCAAAATGAGTGTCGTCCATTCGTACTCTTTCAAAAAAAAGAGTAAAATGAAAAACATCTCACAGTTCAGACTACGGGCGTTTTAACTGCAACAACGTTCGTGTACGCTATTGGAGCTGGAATTACCGCGGCTGCTGGCACCAGACTTGCCCTCCAATCGTTACTTCGTTACTCGTTTACATAAACGTCATGCCAATAAAATAACACTTAGTGTTATCTATCAGTATTTCTTGTCGCTACCTCCCTGTGTCAGGATTGGGTAATTTGCGCGCCTGCTGCCATCCTTGGATGTGGTAGCCATCTCTCAGGCTCCCTCTCCGGAATCGAACCCTAATTCCCCGTTACCCGTCAACACCACGGTAGGCCTCAATCCTACCGTCAAAAGTTGATAGGGCAGATATTCAAACAATGCGTCAATAGTACAAATACTATCAATCCACAAAATTATCATGATTCAACATTCAACACTAAACCCTGTGACAGGAAAAGTGTAAAGTAGGATCACTAATAAGTGCAATTTCCAAAAATGGAAATAGGGCATGTATTAGCTCTAGCATTACTAGGGTTATCCATATAACATATTAACATTGTGTAGATTATAACTGTTTTAATGAGCCATTCACAGTCTCGCCATCCATGTGGCTTATACTGGCATTTGCATGGCTTAATCCTTGAGACAAGCATACGCGACCCGCAGGATCAACGGGGTATCATGTATATACAAGACAAAGAAAAGAGTGAAAATGTCCACAAAATTGTTGATATACACACAAAAACAGCACAATAGAGACAGCATGAATATACACTCATAAAATGTACGTCCTATGTGTCAAAAAATTGTGTCTTTGTGTCGTACACAATTTTTGTGGAATTTTCACCTTTTTTCTTCCTCTTCCTCTTTTCCTAAACTGGAAAAGATGGAAATTTTACTTTTTTTCTTTCGAATAATAAATGTCTCAATGAAATCCCAAAACACAACAGATGGGATCCGTTTATAACATTCATCATTGAAAAAACCATCCTTTGTTTCATTCCTTTGTCTTGTTGGAAGAAAATACATCTCTTCTGAATACTACTATTATTTTACATTTAGTACTGTGATTCACACAAAAATGTAATCATGACAATACATAAAGGAAAATAGAGTAGCAGAGGTTTCCTTCAAAAAGACAAAAAACATATAGTCCATTCTATAAAGATGAGCGGCGAATGAAAATTCAAGCCAAATAATCTCTAACTCATCAAGATGGAAACTATATTCATACTTTTGAATCAAAATAACATTACCAAATCATCGGTAGTTTAATACATCAACTCCTAATTGTACTCTGTACATTACAACATGCAGTATACAGGAAAAGTTCCAAAAGAGACAAAGAAAGAGAGAGACATAAAGATACGCAAATACATACCATCTATGTAGTACGCCCAAGCACATCTTCAACATCCTTCTTCTTTCTTTCTCTTTTTGAAACCATTCTGATTACTCAGTTTTGAAATCAATGGCAAAGATGGATTACTGATCATGTATCTTTGGAAGGGGATTACCCCCATTCAGGGATTCCCCCACTCCCAAATTCAATCATCATCTTCATCCATACATGCAGCCATTCAACTTTTGCATATCACTCCACTTTACTCGTCTTTGAACACTAGTAAAAGTGGTTTTCTTCTTGTCTGTCTGGCTTCGTTTTTCTGGAAAAAAATGCTATTTGAAAAGCCAAAAGTGACGGTTCGTTGCGCGGGCTTTTGAGATGAATCAAATGATGACACGTGGCAACAAAACAGTTTGAAACTCAACAAAAGGAAAACAAACCAACACTCTTTTTTTATTATACTAACAATAAAAACCTAGCTTTTAAGCCCCTCTCAAAAAAAACCATCTCTCTCTTGTTTTCCACTACAAATATATATATATATATATATATATAGATATACGATTGTCTAGAAAATAAACCCATCTTCCTAATTGTCACTCTTGTGTGAGGGGATACACTCAATAAAAACAACTCAAAAGGTCAAAACTCTTCAAACTTTTATAGTGAGGTTGAAACTCTCCTTCAAAGGTCAAGTTTCAAAAGGAGAGAACATTTGCAATGCTCCCTATTGTATACACACACACACAATAAAGTAGAAGAGTTCATACCTCTATACAATAAAAAAAAGAGGATAAACCCTCACACCCCTCCTCTCTCTCTTCTACTTGACAAGGCAAGACTATTTGTGAAAAAATAGAACAAAAAACCCCCAAAAAATGTAACCTAAAAGTTGAGTTGCTACTTGAATAACTTGTCCTTTGACACAAAAGTACAACAAAAATTTCAAACTCTACATGGTGTCCTCAACATTTCAAATGATTGGATGATTATTCTTTGAACCTTGGTCCCAACATGGTTGCTTTTGTACGTTGCTGAAAAAGTTACAACCATCAAACTTTCTCAAGTTGTATGGGAAAATAAAGAGTCGCTGTGTAAGCATACACTACTTTATTTTGAAACAACTCCAGAAAAGAAAGACTCTAGTGAGTTGGAAGCAGCAATCATAGTTGGGTATTATTTGTAATGATTGAGCGTTTTCCAAAATATAGTCTCAAGTTTGAAATTGACAGAATTATCGTTAAGAACAGTTTGCAGTTGACTATACAAAAGTAGTTACACCCTTTTATTTCTTTCGAGTAAAAAGAATACTCAACTAGTTACCTCACCATGTACAAACAACTCTATAAAGACATATCAACTTGGTTCGTGGAATAGAATACTTCGTGTGGATACATCTTTGTCTCTTTAGAAATTCATCGTGTTTCCACAAAAAGCGTTCCCATTTCTTTCCTAGTTATGACCAGGATAGATAGGTATACACAGAACGTGAGAATTGTCTTGTTACACTTCCCATCGGAATTCCAACTACTGCGAGTAACCAATCAATCAAACCAACTTGTTATAAAAATTCTCAAGTCTTTTTACAAAAATAGTTGAAAGAGCAAACTTGAAAGATCGTATTGCTTTTGCAATAAAAGGTAGAATTGGAAGAGCGGTTTTCTTTTTCACTTTGATCTCCAAGTGCTTAAACTTTGGTACAAGATGGAAAGTTTCTCCCTTTTAGATGGTGTCACTTTCAACCACTTAAATAAAAGTCTGGTACTTGTGTCACAAAAACCAAGACTCTGTTACAGACTGGACAACAACTGAAACAACTCGTCCAAAAAGCTTTCTTAGTCACTTTCAGGTTTTTTCTTTTAGCAACACAATCAAAAAGGAATGCCATCAGTATTTGAATGACATTTGTAATGTTAAACTACAATATGAGAAATGTTTTCCCATATAAAAAAAAAGTTCATATAGATAGACTATAAATGACATCCCACCATTCAGAGAAAATGTCTTGTGTGTTTTGACTATTAATTATAGCATTGGATTTTCTGCTTGTCAACTTGCTAGTTGTGTCTGTTTGACACTTTAAAACTTTTTATTCCCTACTTTACATATGTGGCAGTTCTATGTATCTTGACTTTCTTTATCGCTCTAGGAAAGGAATATGACAATTTCAGACAAGATGAAATTGCCAACACTAGAAAATACAATTCAAGTATTTTGCAGTCAACTACCCAACAAGTCAAGGCTTGGAACCAATAGTTGTGCAGTTTCTACGTTCTAGATTCTTTTTACAATTCTTCCTGTTAGCCATTGCGTTGAAAATCCTTCAAAGGGTAACAGAATCCACTCTTTTCTTCAAGTTTGTGGAACAAAACTCACAAGTTGGAGAGGTTTTCAAGTTTCTAGGAGACAATACATACGTCTGTTGAGTCAATGAGAGTGATTAGAAACACTGACTTGATATTAGACAAGGGTTTTCAAACAGACTGGAAAGATTCTCAAGTCAAAGTCGAACAATTCACAGACAAAACTCAACTGGTCTTTCTCAATAGAAGAAAACGTTGTTCAAAGGAAATAGCAAGATCATCTTTCCTCGTGGTTTTTTGTGGTCGCAGTTTTGTAGATATGCTTTTCTTGTTCACGGCTTTATATCCAGGCCTGTTTTTAGAATTGTCTAAACTACTACTAGTGTATGTGGATAATGTGGTACTACAAACTCGCGAGTTGATCAATGACTTGTGAATCCTTTTTTTCTGTTCTATTAATATTTCGAGTACAACCTTTTGTCTGCTATAAAATTTCTTTGCTTGTATTGATCATTTCAAAGTGTCATTGTGTATCAAAACACTCTTCTTCAATAGATCAAGCTGCTGCCGTTTTTGCTCAAGTTCATCATCTTGTAAAAGAAACAATAGTATCAAGTTCACTATAATTGCGTTTGCTCTCAGGATGAGGTGGAATTGGACTAGATAGGTTGTTTGCTTATAACTTTCGAGTCGTTTTTGTACCTCTATGAAACTTTTGCCAACGACTTTTTTGATATTCTTTCTAGTTCCTTGTACATGGATTGTAGTCTATTGAATCGTCCAAATTGTAAGAGATCAATAATATTTGAAAAACCAAGCAACCTTTGCGGTACAAATACTTTAACCAACGCTTAGTTCCTTTGAAAGTTTCTCGGTCATTGATTTAATCATTAGTTGTGAATTGTTTTCGGATTGGCGGTGGCTTGTAAAATGAGTTTGAGTGAACCGTTGATAGATAGAAAAGAAGATGTTTATTCTATTCTTCGAACTTATTTCCACCAGTTTTCTTCAGCTGGGGGACAATTAGGTATTCTACGTCCTGCAGCTTGCTTTTCTCCTCATGTCTTTGGAGCTGGGAAGAGTTTTCTTGGTGAAAATTTTTTAGAGTTTTTAAAAAAATTCGCCGAAGAAGAAGAAGAGCAGACGAAGACGGAGGTTTTCAACAAGAGCTCTTCGGGAAAAGTTGATTTGAAGATTTTTTCTTGGAAACACTTTGCGGAAAACACTTTGTCAGTTTGCTTTCAATTAGAAGAGAGCTTTTCTCGTGCTCCTTTTCCAAGGTTTCTAGAGGCTTTGGTGTATAACATGGCTATGGCTACAGCCCAGTGTAACGGTATGAGTGCCCGAGAAATTGTAGAATTCACGGACGCAGCGATGAAGCAACCAAGTGTTTTTTTATTTGTCCAGTATCTTCTCGAACATTTTCAGAAACAATATATATTTTTGATGATAGACGAACTTAGCCACCTGAGTGACCTCACCGCATACTATAGTGAACTCGGCGAGAAAAATTTTGTCGAGTCTGACCCAAAATATGTTTCTTTCCGGAATTTCTTCCGTATTTTACGTAGTTTTTTATTACAGGGAAGGTAACTGTCTATTTGGCAGGTCGAACCGCTGAAATCTTCGCCCGCTTGTCTGATGCTCGCTCCAGTAGAGTGAGTCTCCGTATGTTGCGGTTGAATCCCTTTAACCTCCATGATATTAACGAATATCTTGAGCTGGTAACTTATCATGGAAAGTCCTTGAAGGACTGTTTATTGCCCTCTGATGATTTACGATATCGATTCGTAGAATTGTTGAAGAAGAAGACAGGGGGTATTCCGTTGATTGTAAGGAATACTTTACTGGCCCTAGTAGAGAAAGTTGCAAACTTATCTCAACCTTCTATCAACGATGACAATATGGAACTTTTATTAGATGGTGTCTTTGAAGATATACTAAATGAGTCGGGAACCTTTATTATTCCGGAGATACTAGATTCCGCAACCCTTCTTCGATATCAATTTGTCCTTTTGAATTATCAGCTCGGAACGGTTTTTCCAATTAACTTTGTGGTTACTATATGTGGAACGAAAACTTATTTGATGGACTTGGTTGCAACTTTTGGGTTTTATTCTGAAAGTTGTGGAACTGACGGGATTGATATGGGGACCGAGTTCAAGATTGGTTGTTGTGAATTTATATTGAGAGCTCATAGCAACTATAACTTTTTCCGTGAGGCTACTGAACTCTTTCCTTTATCTCCGTTTAGTTATATTTCCGACACTTCAACAGCAAAGGGAGTCTTCTTTGAATTTGTATTTATGAAGATTTTTCGTTTTCGCTTATTAACTTTTCTTCATTCTAGTTCCTCGCCTATTGTACATTCTGCTATTCCAGGAATTTTCCAGGGTTCTTTTATTGAACAGGACAATGTTTCTTATTCTATGGAATCAACAATATGTTATGATATACCCATCTTGAGAGATGTCTCTGGTTCATTTTCTGACTATTATGGAAAATATTTACAACATTGTGGTATTTTTGTTCCGAAAGATGGCAATTCTAGTGGTCCTGATGCATATGTTGTTTTCCATAATGGACAAACACGTTATGTTGTTGGATTTTCATTCAAATTTTATCACAAAACTGAATTTTCGAAAATAAATATTGAGGAGGAAGCCGAACAATTTTTTCAGGGAGTTGTTTCCGTTTTGAATGACGAATCTCTTTCATCTGTTCAACTTTGTTTTCAGTTTGTGGTGGTAGTTTGTACTAGCTATGATCGATCTGTATTTTTCTCTGTTGAAGAAGATAATATTGTTGAAGATGCAAGTTGTTTTGTTACTGAACATTCTTCGAGGTCAACTTTGAATGACAGTAGTCGATCATGTCTGCAATTGGTAATTGTTTCCCAAAGGAACCTTGAACGATTTTTGGGAAGAGATAATGTCGGAATTTTGAGGAAAATTGGGGAAGCAAACCGAGGAGAGTTTTCTAAAAACTTTTCAGTATGGTGTAAAACTATCTTTGAGTCGATGTCTAATGAATATGTTTCATCTTTGGAAGCTGAGCAATCAAATGTTACTGTTAGAGTGGCTCGAAATATAAGATGGAGAACAAGCAAGGAGAATAGGATGCAAATGGAAGGTTTTTTAAGTGCTATGCAAGTGGAAGAAGGAGATACACGAGGCGAACAAAGGGTTGCAGCATTCAGTTCTTTGTCTTCATCATTGGATTGGAATACTTTCCTAAGAGAACGTTGTGGTTTTTCTGAAGAGGATGTTGCTTTATTGTTTGCCCAACTTGTCCTTCATAGGAGTAAGAGATTTTGATGGCGTTACGGCAGATTTTCTTTTCGATTGTGGTATCGATAGTCCTTCACAAAGATTGCGAATTGTGTTAGGAATACGAGAGTTCTTAGCAAAGTAGCTTTTATTGATTATTTTATCGTATGAATAAATTAGTAATATGTGACTTGGGAAGTGAATAACATTACCACTCCATGAGCTGTCACCAACACACCAATGATTCCTATAGAAAATAGAAACTTATAGAAACATTACCCACAGTGAAGACGTTTAGCTTTGGTTTTTGAGTGAAAAAGGAGTATCCATGTTGGAAATGTTGAGCTGCTACTATTGTGAATTAGCAAATATATTGCTTTTATTCTGCTGAAATGTCATGATGAGGTTAGAAACTTGAGAGATATCTTACAAATACTCTAAGGAAGCAAGACAACATTGTATAATTGCACTTCAATGCATCTTCAAAGATAGATACTAACAATCTCTTTAAATAAGCTTCCACTTTTTTCACCATTTATTTTTAAATGCCGCATGTTCAGTGATAATTTTGTTCTTATCTTCTTATTTGTTTGCTAGTGTAAGAAGATAATCGATCTTTGGTGCAGTTGAATACATTCAGGCTCCACAAACAAACATAGTCACACAGGCAGATACAGAGAGTTTTAGTCTCTTTATGCTACCAGTTTCTGGAACGTTAGTCCACTAGTTTGCTGCTTGCATATCACAAAGAGCATTTCAAAGCACTTCAATCATTTCCAGTTACATATGAAGACGAAAAACAACCCAAGGAAGCATGAAGTGGTAGATCGTATGAGATGCTTGCGGCAAAATTAATGTTTACTTACTTTGTTCTTCAAAGAATTGGTTCTCATTCAACTTTATTTCTGTACAGGAAACCTCATTTCATCACGCTCTCTTGACGAGGAACTCTTGTTTACACAGCAAAAGTAAAGATCTTTATTTAGCAACGAACACGTTAGTGACGATAAAGGAATATGTAGATATCATTTGAGTTTATAAGAGGACAAAGACAATGAGTCGATTGACTTGGTTCATTTTTAGAGTATTCTGCGTTGAGCACTTTCTGTCATCGGATAAGTGTTCGTTAAAAATACTAAATAGATATTTTTTATGGCCAAAGGAAATGTTTTAAACTTGGCTAGAAAGTGTAAAATATTTTACAGAATCCTTTCAAGTTGATAGGAGATCGCCAAAAGAAACAAGTTGACAAAACTACCTACACAGCTATGAAGAGTGTTTTATAACAAAACTGTTAAACCTCTGTATGAAAAGCGTCCTTGAGAAAAATTTTGATAAAGTTCATTTTTTCAGGCTTCTTTCAAGAGAATCAAACGTGGTTGGTTCTTAGAGGTCTTCCGTTATCTGGAGCCGATAAACCACCAGCAGCCTCTGCTTCTCGAAGTGAATATGGAGTCTCCTGTAGGTCCTTTAAACGTCTCTTATGGGCTTTCGTTTTATAGTGACTGTTTAAAGCGTCATTGGACACAAAGTAACGGTCGCAAGGCAAACAATAATACTGACCCAGGCCTGGGAGCTCCAGATCAACAGCTGTATGTTCCGTTATTGCTTGAAAAACCCCTTTCCTTTCTATTTCTTCCTTAATTTGATCAACGTGTCTTTGTAAGAATATCTTTCTCCTATTTTGTTTGAAGTTGCCTTTACGTTTGGCTATTCTGCCCATAAAAATAGATAGAATCGCTAAGAAAAATCAATTACAACAAATTACTGTCCTTGCCTTGTGTTTTCTTGCATCTAAGATTGAAAATTTTTTATCAACTTTTATCTCTCTTTGGATTATCTGGCTATTTTATAAAGTGCCGAGTCTTCCTAGGAGCTTTGTATAAAGGCACCCTTGTGACTTTTGCAGAGAAACAAGGCACATTTCTCAAACCAGTTGGCACTGAGTTGAAGAATCAAAGTCCATTTGTATCCATCGCTTTCAATTGTTTTCTGAATTTTGAAATGAGTCAACAGTTGAAGAAAGAGGCAATGAGTTTAGTAAAACAGCTAACATTGTGGCAAGTTGGCTATTCATAAAGAGAACAAGGTTGGCTTTTCAGAATACCAAATGTGATGGTCTCTATAATATGTTATATTTTTCCGTTGTTTTGAATGACGACTCCAAAAGGTGCAATGAAATAAACTTCTTAAGAGCAAACCACTTTTGAAGTATTGATAGGAAGAGCGAACATGAAATTTTTTGATAATATAGGTCACAGTTTATTCTTACTCATTATGGTCAAGAAAGTCCATTAGAACAAGCCATTTTATGCTTCAAACTTGAAGATTGCACAATAGTTTTAAAAAAAAGAACATCGCTTTGTTGACTTTACTTGAGGATATCAGAAGAATTATTTTAAATGGTATTCCACAAAGGAGAATGTTACTGTTTGTAACAAACATAGTTTGTGATCTATTCAACACTCCGTCTTGTTCTCGAAAATAGAAAGTTACACAAGGTATTTTCTGCTTTGTTGCAAAGGTACTTATAAAAATTCATCGATTCCTCCTTTACAAATATGGAACCATGAAGTTTGGTTGCAATAACATTTCACTCTAAAACAGTTTCGTGCTACACTTGTAATAAATTTGTCTGATAGATGATCCTATCTCAAATCATTCCCGATCCTTTTCTTATGTTATGAAAAAGCTATTTTTCTTTTTAACAAGCATCCAATTTACTGCAATTTAGGGAGTTGACAAGTGAATATAAATTTTCTTCAAGTTTATACCAAGTTTTCTCACGAAGTGATGCTTGATATCTTCAAATCAACATTGCCAGAGATTTCAGCTCAACCACATGAAACTGATTTCACTGTTCTTTCCAAAAGCAGAATCAAATTTATTCCAACTCCATATTTTCAATGCCAACAGAGCATGTTATAAAACAGATTATCAAAGTTTTGTCAATTTTATTCATTCGTTTTAGAGTCGTCATATCAAACAAGTTGTTCAAAAAAGTGGAAGATGGAAAGGAATGGAGCGAGTCGACAATTTCTCTAATTTCGAAGCTTTCTAAAATAGAATATAATGAAAAGTTTACATTCTTCAAACATCAGGAAATTGTATGGTCAATAGAAAGGGGCTATAGCAATTATTCTACTAATCAAGAAAATCCCATGTCTATATCAACCTGCAAGTAAGTCGAGACATTATTGAAACCAGGAGGTATAGTTTATTCATGAAAAGCATAATTAGAAACTTGTAAAAGGGGCGATACTTTTTCTTTTACAAAACTTTTTGTTTCCAACTTTAAACATTTTCATTTTCAATCCAATGAGCATTTGTATTTTTATATGTAGGTTCATTGTGTGTCCTTGTTGAATTGTTTTGTTGATGATGGAAAGAATAATAACTGATAAAGACACTGTTACAGCTTTGCGAAAGTTGCAAAAGAAAGATTCTGAAGTGATACAATATGTCTCAAGACGACTTCGTGTATGGGTTCAAACTGAACAACACAAGGTACGCTTTGCTAAAGCGCTCAGTTGTTTGAGCTTCAACTGTTGCAGGCCATAAGACCATATTACCATTTTGCAGTATGTCTATATCCAAGTGGCCAAGTAATAGGCTACGAGTTGTGTAAAACTCCAAATGAGAAGCCAAGTGGGAAGCAGGTAAGTAGGAATTTTTCAAAGTCGTGCCAAGGTCTTAACGAAGAAAGGTCTTGGATTTTCTGTGTCGCATCTTGCTCCAACCACCAAATGGAGAAGAAGCTCATAGACCTGGAACTATTAGTTTTACCGATCAAGAGTTGGAAACACAGCTTGCCAACGAGCTGTTTAGCTATGGTATTCGAACGCAAGTGTTGCAGCCTGCTGAAGGATTGGAGGTTAGTTCAGATAAAGTTGCAAAGTTTCCAATGGACCACTACTACTTCTATCTTTGTGCTGTAGAATCTAGTGAAAGCAGTTTCAGAGTCTCTGATCAAGAGAGAACTCGCGACTAGAACTAATGCAAGTGAAAGACCTGGATTGTTATCCAAGCAAGGAGTTGACTTGTCTTTGGTCCAGTCATTCTTTACAGTAGCATTTCAGTTGAGACAGAAAGGTCCTTGGTATGAGTTTTCAGAAAGTCAAGTTTATGGTATTAGACTTCTTGATCGCTTTCGTTTTGTTGTCATACTAGGTAACTTGGCTTGGCTTTAGTTTGAATGAGATAATGGATGTGCATAGGAAGCAGTGAAAATGTTTTTGGTATTGCAGTTAGCAGCTCGTTGAGTCATTTTCGGAAAAAGTATTGTCAGGCCATGGGTATGAATTGGTTATCTTCCTCGTCTTCCGAGGTCTTTTGTACATTTTGTGGAGCACAACAATTATTGTATACCTATCGATGTTCACAATGTAAAATTGCTCATTATTGCAAGTAAGTGACTGCATGATTTGGTTTGCAATGTTATCTAAGGAATATATCAGTGAAAAGTGTCAAAAGAACGATTGGCCTGTGCATAAACAAGAATGTCAAAGTAGCACAATGAGAGAGCGTGAAAATGATATTGTGAGGCCATATTTGAAAAGAAAAGAAATGACTTTAATTTATTGTGCTGAAACAGCGGTACCTTTTGATGACTTGGACTTACAATCCCAGTATTGCTGTCCACTCTATCCAAATGAAGATAATTTTCCTGTAGCATTTGTCATGGTATGCTTTATAGTATTTTATTTCTTCCTTGTTTATGGGTGATTATTTTCTCAAGATCGACAATGGAGAGACTGTTCTAGATAGGCCAACTAAAGAAGAGCTGCAATGGCTTATAAGACTTTGTGAGGTTTTAGTAGATAGGTAAGTTTTAAGCATATGCTATGACTTTTCATATTAATAGATATATGTAAATATATAGTTGTGGAAAACCAGTTTCGGTACTAAATGAGGATTCTATAATTCAAAACGACAAAATGATATATGTGGAAACTCTAGGCAGCCATCCTTCGACAGCCACACAATTGAGTGGTCCAAAGGAAATGGAAGCCAAGGATTAGACGAGAAATGGATGTGAATTTCAATGCTTACCACGTTTGGCTGTTTGGCACACTTGTCGTACTTTACCAAAGGGAAGGATCTTCAAGAATGTATGCCAAAGAAATTGTATTTGAAAAGAGTTGAAACATGCAATCTTTTGAGTGAAAAGTTGACTGAGGAAGAAGAACGAAGAGATTATGGTGTAATAGATACCATGACTATGGAGGACCCAAATACACAAGCTTTAGAACAAGTAGCTCAGTATGGGTATATGATTCGAAAGGAAAATAGTTGCTTTGAAGGTTTTATGTTAGATACACAGGACAGTTTTGCTTTTTGCTGTTTTGACTCGGAAGGGGATTCCGAAGAGTGTGTCAAGAGTTGCCTACAACGAGAAACTAGTAGAAGCCCTCCCAATACTACTCTGTCAGGTGCGATTCTTTTGCCATTTCGAACTATATTTGTTGCATATAAGCGTCCTTCACTGGATCTTTCACCCTCGAATTGTCGAAAGGCTCCACTCTTGTCAAGTCCTTCTATGGAAGCCATCCGTTCACCTCTTCTATATTCCTATGAATATCTTTCAATGAAGGATTCAAGTCGTTTGTTCCTACAACGGTGGAAATCGCTTGAGAACAATACAAAGCTGGTTTTGGTTGTTCATGATGTGATTTCTTATGGTTCCTTTGCTTGTTTGAGACTGATTCCAACTCTTGTCAATTCTGGCTATGACTTGGTAACTTTTGATTTGCGCGGTCACGGACGTTCTACAGAAAATGAAATAGAAGAGTCGAATCTGCAATATCTTTCTGGTTGTGAAACATGGTCCAGTGATCTTCATGAAGTGATTTTACATGTCCTGGGAAAGTTTGAAACTCCGGAAAGGAAAGTCAATTCATTGTTTTTATATGGAGAAGGTTTTGGTGCATCTATTGTTTTAGATTATGTGATAAGATACTCACAACACAACAAACTACCTTGGCAGGTGAAAGGCGTTATTGCATGTGGGGTTATGTTTAGACAGATCCCCAGTAGATATAATAATAATGAATCTGCCAGTAGAATATGGAAACAACTTTCCAGAAAGCAGAAAATATTTGAAAATGTTTTGTTATTTCAAAAGTTTTTGTGGTTACTTGGTCAAATATTACCAAGTACAGTATACAAGATGCGAGTGGATCCCACTCAGTGGGGTTTGGTGCCTCTTGATCTTTCATTATTATCCAGGTAGATTGCACTAGTATTATTTTTTAAGAAATACTAAATAAGACCTGTGTAGAGATTTACGTGTCATTGATGCTTTAAGAGGAGATTTGTTTAGGCTACGCGATATCGCTTTTCAACATGTATTAACATTGTGGGAACTTAGTCATCAACTAGAGAAACTGTTGAAGAAGGGAATGTTGTGTCGTTTGTGTCCAAATATTTCTTTTGGATTCTTTCATGGAGGAGATGACATTCTTTCGTCACCTTCAAACTTATCTCTGATTGAAAGTGGTAGGCAAATACAAGTTTTTGTTTATGAAAAGGCGCGGCATTATTTGTCACATGAAACACTTCCAGTTCGTCGACAGTTTTTGGATGATATGTTAAGTTGGTTAGATCGACAGAGTCATTAATGAATGAATAAGCAGCAAAGAGAAGCCTTTTCAATTTCTTATTTGTGAGGGGAAAATACTATTGTGATTTTTATAGTTATGTTGGGTTTTGTACAAACTTTCCCAATAAGAGTTACCCGATGCAAACGAGACATAAGTTTTTGTTCCAATACAGTAAAGCATAGGGTAATGATAAAGCATAGAATAGTCCTTTGAACTTTTAGTAACCATATAAACTGTAGGAGTGGAAACCTCGTCAATCACGTTTTTGTCAACAGCCCATTCAAAGGGTAGACCTGTTGACGATGTCCAGCTCAGACTCTTCTGATGGTTGGAAGCAGCAGATACAAGTAGGTTTTGAACTTGTTTTTTGTCGCTAGGAGTGGAGTAACGAGGTATAGGAAAGCATTAAGAAAGCGGAAGAAGCCACGAAAAAATTTGGAAGAGACTCTAAAGAAGCAGCGGCTGCCTGGTAAGAGCGATAAACGAATATATTCGGTTCTTACAAACTACTTGCTGTGGTTAGGGATGCGGTAGAAGAGTTGGACGCAGAAGCTTCTCACCAGAGAGTGAGGCAGAAGACGGACCCTTTGGAAACGTTTTGTGATGAGTCCCCAGAAGCAGAAGAGTGCAGAGTATATGACAATTGAGGAGATATTGACGTGGAACTTTATACGACTCTTTTGTCGTTCTTATAGAAGTGGACTTTTGTGTTCAGTGCTATAGGGTTTTTATGAGGGAAAATAAATAAAGGGAACTTTTATCGTTTGTGTAGTTTGCTGAAATGATCGTCTTTATACAAATGGAAGACAACAATATTAAAGGATTTCATTTCGTAAGGTCGGAAGATGATGCTAATCATGCCGCCAACTTGTGCTTTTGTGGTTGGCACGCCTTTTGCAGTTCAAGCAAACTATTCCACGTGTTCGCGTTGCAATTCTTATTATAAATACGGTAATAGAAACTCTCATACTGTACCTGAAGTTGACAAGCGCTTTAATGGCTTCTATTCCCATTTTTATGGAACCAAGTCTTTCTGTCGACCGGCTTCATTCCGATTTTCTTCAACACATATAGATAATAACCAGTATACAGACTTTTTGGAAAGCATTCGCTGTGAGGAAGAAGACTATTATAATGTTCTTGGTGTTAGCCGCAACGCCAGCACAGAGGATATCAAGAAGGCCTTTAGAAAACTGGCTAGACGTTATCACCCTGACGTAAATAAAGAACCTGACGCGAAACAAAAGTTTCAGAAAATTTCCGAAGCGTATGAAGTGCTCTCAGATCCTCAGATGAGAAGTAGGTATGATCAGTTTGGGATGGCTGGTGTAAAGGCTGGTGCAGGTGCAGGTGCTGCTTCGGGTTTTGCTGACTTTGGAGACTTTGGAGATTTTGGAGCTTTTAGTGATATTTTTGAAACTTTCTTTGGTGGTGGTGCAACAAGCTCTCGTAGCAGTTCTCGTCGAAGGAGGAGTGGTCCTCAACAAGGTGAAGACCTTCGTTTGGATTTAGAAATTGACTTTGAAAAGGCAGTATTCGGAGGTCAACAGAAGATAAAGATATCACATTTGGAGACTTGTACTACTTGCTCAGGCTCTGGTATCAAGCCAGGTTCCAAAGAGAAGGTTTGTTCAACCTGTGGAGGCCAAGGCATGGTGATGCAAGTCGCTCGTACCCCATTAGGAACTTTTCAACAAACTTCAACTTGCCCAAGTTGCAATGGTGCAGGTCAAGTAGTTGAGGATTACTGTCCTTCTTGCAGTGGTCAGGGACGTCGACAAACAACGAAGCAACTGGTTATTAATATTCCACCTGGAGTGGATAATGGTTCTCGTCTTCGCGTTCGTAATGAAGGAGATGCAGGTCTACGTGGTGGTCCTAGTGGAGACTTGTATGTATTTTTAAAGGTTGCTAACCATAAAACATTTCGTCGCGAAGGAATGGATATATATTCCACTCTAGAAGTTTCTTATTTAGATGCTATTTTAGGCACACGTGTCGTAGTTGCAACTGTTGATGGAAATGTACAAGTCGATATTCCGCCAGGAACTCAACCAGGTGCAGTGCTAAAAATAGCTGGTAAGGGAGTTCCGAAATTAGGAAACAAGTATGTGAGAGGGGATCATTATGTTACTGTAAAAGTTGTGCTTCCTACGAAACTTCAAGCTGAACAGCGTCAATTGATCGAAAAGTTGAGAACGATGGAAGACTCCGACGGTGATGATGGAACTGGAGTAAAGAAGAAGAAAGGGTTTTTTGATTTCGGTATTTCTTAGTTTATTAGATATTGTATTGTATTTGCAACAAATACTAAGATGGACTCAATAATAAAGAACGACTATGTTGAGCACAGGACAAACAAAATGCGTGGCATAGTAATTTTATTGAGATTTTTGGTTTATTCTGGAGCAAGACACGACTACCAAGACAGAAAATAGTCCCACACAAGTGAAGGACTGGCCTTCAAAAACAGCTTTGTGTTTACAGACACAACAATCTCTTCTAGGTATCAATGGTAGTAGAATTGGAAAGTTGGCTGCCAGATTGGCAACTCTCATACAGGCTCCGAATCAAACAAGAACAGAGAAAGAACAAGTTGTTTTGAGTAGAGATGAGGCTGTTTTAGAACAAGAGTTTGAATCTTTTCATAGAGAAGTTTATTCCGTAACCAAGCCAAAGAGAAGAAGTAGAAAGATAAGCGAACAATCTGTGAGCCAAGTGTCAACCGAGCAGTTTTTTGATGAGGAAGTAAAGTACGTAGAAGTTGAAGAAAAGTTGAAGAAACAGCAACAAGATTACACAAAGGGGGAATTGACTGAAACCTCGACCAATATATCGAGAACGGGTTCTAACCAACTTGAAAAATATGAGAACTGGGAATATGAGCAGACCAGTTTCACCTGCGATTCACCGTTGTTTTCTGAAGACGTGGAAAGCGTTTGTTCATATAGTCATACTATACGCAAGAACAGACCGAGAAAAGGACATTCTTCACAAGTGCAAACGAATGATGGCGTTGTTGCGTCAAGTCATCCAAAGAGACGAAAGAGGAGTAATCAGTTAAAGAATAGTTTTGGAGTCGAACAAGTTGCCGTTATGACGCCACCAAAAGGTGTGGATGAGCTTTTAGATAATTTTTTATTGCTTGAGACTATGAAGCAACGAGTCAAGCCTGCTAGTCGACCAATCCACAAGTTACATGACTGGCAAGTTTCCAAACCAGAGTATATGGAGTCTTTGGATGCAAAATCGGAAAATTTATCGAAACCTTGCTACTCTCGAGAAAGAATGATGGCAAGGTTACAATATATGTATAGCAAAAATATTGCTGGACAATTTGCATTTGATATTTCTGAAGATTTGCCAACTTTGCGCTACCAGGGCAAAGATAACAATTCTTTGAAGCCCACAAGAGCTGTCAAGAAGAAAACAACCCGTCGTTTAAAGCTGCGATTGTATTTACCAACATGACATTATGAGACATATAGAGCCACAAGTTTTTACATATTTTGAATTCTTGGATTGCAGTTTTGGTGGAGTACTTTTATGGAACCAGAATGTTGTTGTTTTGGAAGATAATGCAAATGGAGATAAAAAGTATTTCTAAAAGTCACATGAAACGTTGTTGGAATAAAAGTTATGTTGTTCCTCTTTCAAATGAATTGAGATTATTCTTATGATTGAGTGCTTGAGATGGACACTGAAAGAGCATTGTTTACATTGTCATGTACTCTCTTAGTAGCTTGTGGTTCTTCTACAGTAGTTATGATATTAGATAGATTGCTCTACCAAGAGAACGACAGTGTCTTACCATCTAGAGAAGGAAACAAGACGAGCTTTGTGGAGAGTAAACAAGGTTGTAACCTTCGAGAAACAGTATTTGAAAGGGGTTTGTTTGCGTGGATTGTGAGGTGCCCGTTAATACTGAATTTTACAACTTTTAGGAGTAGATGGTCCAAATTCCCTCGATACTTTAAAGGAAGACTTCCAAAGGAGGATGAAGAGGAAGGAACAAGAGGAAACTGAACAACTGGAGAAACAAGTGGAGTCCAGCGTATCGAGTGCATTACCCAGAGTCTTTCGTTTAGTAGGTCAGCATTTAGTAACTCCTGTCGGTAAGTGTGGAACATGTTTTTTCCAGGGAGAGGAGTACTGAGGTGATTGATGATTGTTTCTATCCGTAGTGATAAAACGCCTAGATCAACTCAGAGAACTTTATTTTCATCAATTCTGACTCATAATACACAACTGAATTATCTATGAAAGTTCACAGTTAGTATTACCTTTGGCTTCTCTAAATGCCAATTCAGAAATGTAGCTGGAGTTGGATAATTTCCAACTTGTTACATTCCAAAACGCTCGATAACGTTGCGCACCAGAATGTAAAAATTCTTCGGTTTTCCAACCTTTGGATTTTAACTCTAATATAAAATGTTCCAAATGTTCCTTAGCAACGGTATAACTTTGCTCAAGTCTATCCGTACAAATACAGCCATTTTCTTGTGCTAAAAAGGTCGCTTGCAAAATGGCTTGTAACTCATCCTTCACTCGAGCTTCCATATGAAAAACAATATACACTTGACCATGTCGAACAGTCAATAAATATTTGGCTTGTCGATACTTGTCTAATAGTGCTGCAAGTTCCGAACCAGTCAAATGAATATCTCGTAACGATACGCCAAACCGGATATAACGTCCAAAACTCATTATGGACGGCAAAATCACATTCTCTCGATAATTGACCTCTTCAACAGTTGAAACCTGGGAAGACTTCCAGTAACTCCAGCCTAATAACAAGGATCGTTGCAAATTCAGAGTTCGAAGATGAAGACCTTTCACTCCCAAATAATTGAGTAAAAAGAACATAATAAAGTATACAAAATATGCAACACTCAGTTGCCACCAACTATGGCCAAGTATAATGCTGAAACCGATTCCCAAAAAAGTGCCAAATAAGTTTGAAAGCACTTCTTGAGAATTAGCCTTGGCTGAAATATCTCCAAAATTTTCTCGCTTTGCAAAAGACCGTCTAATAGCTGCAGTTGTAGGTAATCGAAGCATGTAAGAAGTTGCTTTTACCATATTGGCCAATGATGCGACTAATAAGAAATATCGAGGCAGTAACGGCGATATGATTTCCGTTCCAATTCCAAACGCATACAAAATATCGCCCCAAAGTCTCCAACGTTTTGGATCTGCATCGAACCGATTGCCAATAAAACTTCCAAAGACAATGGCACCCAACCTTCCAATTCCATCCTTTAAAACCCAGTTAAGCGAGGCAGACTTTCCAATTCCTTGACTAGCAGAGAGTCCAACAGCTCGCAAAAGCTGTTGAGTGGATATAACACCAATGCAACAATTCACAACATTCTGCAAAAAATTAAAAGTTGTAAACCAAAAATAATCCTTAGATACTGTTTTCTTGCAATTCTCTGGAAGAAAAGAACTATTCAAGAGGTCTAGAATCTTTCTCCACACAGTACGTGAATCGATACTTGGAGCTATCAACAAGTCACCGTTTGACGGGTTCAAGAAATAATCAATTCTCTGATGAGTACAAGTTTCATACAATAAATATTGCTTGTTTGACGAGATTTGTCGCTTGAGGAGGCTAGTTTCAACTTGTCAGCTAAACCTGAATGCACTGTGACAAAGTTGCCTACTTACCAAGAATGGGAAGAAGCACGATAAAGGGCACCTAACAAGACGAACGCTAAAGCTAAGTTGGCTTTGTCTATTTTAGAAACAGCAAACAAAAGTTTGAAAGCAGTAGGTATATCTTTCTGGTACTTATTGAGAGGAAACCAGTTTGCGAGCTTACAAAAACATCCTAAACTTCTGTCTAATGCTTGAAAACGGCAACGACTACCAAGTCTTGTATAAGGTATAGAAATAAGAAATAAGCTATGCTTTTCTAGAAAAGGTCTTTTCTTTGCTGAGCGTCCATGAAAGCAAGTGATGCCACAACCACATGTCGTACAAAATGCCATCGGCCAAATCATCATCAACAGCTAAAATAACTCTGAGACTTACAATGCCTTTGAACTGGAAATGAACATATAGAATAACAAAAATCCAAAAGGAAAAGAGTAAAATGTATCAAGGAATATGCAAGGCAAATTGTCGATGAATCATGTATGGTTGGATTAGTTGCAACAACAATACATGAAACATATTCATGTATTTCCCAGATAGATAGATTGGCTTTCAACTTGGCAACATCATGTGGATTCAAACTTTCTCCATATTTGTTAATAAGCATATTATAAAGCTTCCATTTTTTCATTCTATTACTTTGACTTGTAACGAAAACAACGTTCTACTACCAACTCATTCCAATAAGATTCCCTTTCTCGAGACTATGTCTAGTTTGGGTAATATTTAAGAAAGACTAGCATCAGTCTGTTATCAGGAAGACATGTTTCAGTCTTTTAAACTTTTTCGAATTGCATAGTAAAAAATATCTAAATATTCCAAAAAGGATGTTTATCAGTTTTTTTACCGAATGGTTCCCCTCTCAGGTCGACCTTTGGAGGACAAGATGAAATGGCATGTTGTTTCATATACTAAAATCCAACAGAGAATAGATGATAGGATATCAAGTAACTGTCATTCAATCGTGCTCAAAACATGTTCAGTCCTTACGAATATTTCAGAATTGAGTTGAATGAATCAAAATCTCGTCAAAATGTAGTTTTTGGAATTTTCTCCTTGAGTGAAAATGGAGCACTCACCTATTACGGGTATTGTTGCTCTCAAGTTCTTTCCATACTGAATCAAACCTTTTTCCTTAGAAAAGGAGCGCTTTGAGTTGGAATTGGAATTGTTAGAGTCCTTTGCGAATCCTATGTATATACATTGTAAGGTTGTAGTACAAGTTGCTGAAGAATATTGACCTTGTTGCAGATTTGGCACAAAGTGGTCTACTGGACGATCCAGCTTTCCAACGTTATCTGCACTATCTTCAATATTGGCAAAGAAAGCCTTATGTATATTATGTAGAATTTCCTCACGCTCTGGCTTTTTTAAAACTTTTACAAGTAGAGTCTTTTCGTCAAGCCATGAAAAGGTTGGTTCTACTGCATACTTTTTATCTAGTCTATGTTGTAACTTGTTATTCAGACAAGAATTTGCACTGATGGTGTATCAACAACAGGTGTGTAGTGAAATAACATGTAACGGAAAATAGCCAACTATCATTCTGTTTCTTCTTTTAGGGTCTTCAGTGGCAATACTATACAGAATAAAAGTTCACGATAAAAGAGAAGCAGACTCTCTAGAACAAAGATAACTATTTCAAGTAGCGTCTTTATTATGTTGGCTATTTAAAAGCCCACTTGAAAGAATCACGAGTTGGCATTGGGGCCCCTTCTTTTACCAAACCCAACAACAACACTTACAAAACGCCTATAGTGCAAAATAACGTTCCAGTTAACGCGGAAATAAAGAATAGCCACAGTCAAAAGTTACCTATTATACTTGAGTCTTTGCCAGGCTCTACCCTTTGGACGTTTCTTCTTCTCTTGTTTGGGAACCTTCTGTGTCTGACCTCGTACCTTACCGGCACGTGCAAGAGAACCGTGAACCTTTCCTATTTATTACAAAAGAATGGTAAGTTACTCTATCTTCAGGTTGATCCTCTCTCTTTAAGATTACTTACCCATTCTTCTTCTCTCACTCTCGTTCACAACAATCAAAATCCACTATCGGCCTCGACGATCCATCAATCATTCTTATTAGGCAAGCGACATATATTCACGTAATACTACAGGCACTGAAGAAGGTGGTATTATACCAACTTCAGTAATCACTGCATCAATAAATTCTACAGGAGTCAAGTCATAGTACAAATTTAAAACCTTGAGGTTTTTCATCTCTTTCCAATTCTCCTTCAAAATATTATCAAACTTGTTCTTATTACTATTCTTCATGAACCATTCACTTCCATCATGATCAACCAACTCCTCTGGATTACCAATTTCATTGAAGCAAATTGCATCCAAATGTCCTCTTTCTGAAAACTTGATAGTCTGACTGGCAATCATGACAGGAACATGATACTCTTTGGCTACCAGAGCTACACATGCCGTTCCCAATCCTGAAATAACCGCACCAGTAGACATTAGACCTTCTGCACCACATAAAACAAGATTGACATCCCGCATATAATAACTTGCTGCAAATAATGAAGAATAATCAGTCTTGACTCCAACTCGAATTAGATTCTTGCAAAGTTCCAGTCCTTCTTGTCTCGGTCTAGCCTCTAAGACAATCACATGAAAGTCTTTTCCACATTCTTTCGCTTTTACAAATATTTCTTCAACGCAAGAACTTCGACCCAAAGTAAGAATAGTGTCTCCGTCTCTGATACGCTTTGCACCCAACTCTGCAATCATCTCTTCGGTACGCTCAAACTTCTCTTCGCGAAAACTGCGAATTGTTTTCAAAAGACTCGATTTATTCTGGAAACTATCAACTTCAAAAACATTTGCCAAACCATTTGAAACTTACTTCTATTTCAGGAATACTTGGAGATAAATGAGAGATACGTGACTTGATATATCTTATACAATTACCCATTGAAATAGATAAAGGTCGACAATCAGTAAGAAACTGAATATTACGTCTTATATATTTATCTAATTCCCGGCGATAGTCACGTGTTTCTAAAATTTCCTACAAACATAATACATACAAAAATACCATAAAGGATAACAAACTTACCGATAATGAAAAACTTTCAATAACCAGTGCAAGAGTATCCAATAACGATAAACAACGAGAAGAGGCACCAGATATCACGTCTAAAGTGTCCAAGTACATATTCAGTATCAAATACTAATCTAAAAAACTAGCAAATCAATCCTACCGGAAGCATACTGAAGTCCTAACTTTATCACTGCTGGATGAAGTTCACTTGCATCTCTTTGAAACCCTTTTTACTATCGGTAGCAATGATCTCAAAAAGTAAAAGGCTCACAGTTACCTCTAGAAAATATACTTTCTTGTTCATATTGAGGCAAGTGAGAAAAGAGTGGAACAGCACGTTCTGCAGTTTTCTTTCGAACAATTTGCGTCTTTTTCAACTTGGCAACTGCACTCGGATCATCATATTGTATTCGACGTGAAGGCGGTGCTATCACAAAAACTAAGTTTTCAAGCTTTGATTTTGTTCTATATGCTTACCATGTTTTGTTTTCTCGACCTTCTTCTTTAGCAATGATAAGTGTCTATTATCTACTGTTTCAGAAGTTGTTTCCATCTGCTTAGAAACTGCTTCGTGTGAAGCCATTTCCATTTCCGATTTTTATTCTTTCGAAAACACAAAATACTTAAAAGGCACAATTGCTATGGAAAGTTTGTAAGGAATGATTTCTGCTCCAAATCGCAGTAACAAAAGAGTCATAACTCCAAGTGAGGTTTTTGGCTCCTTGTTCAAAGCCAGTAAAACGGTTGATTTCTTCGGTGAGCATACCTGTCTCAGGAACGTGACGGTAAACAGCATAAACAATTTTATCGGCTTCGGTGAGCAAAGCTTGAGCAATCTGACAGAGCTGTGCTTTTTGAAGAGTTTCTCCAACTTGGAAGTGTTTTTCTGGTGGTGCTTCTCCGAGGATTGTTGGTGTAGGATTGGAAGAGTAGGAACTCAGGTGAGCCAATAGAGGCAGCATCCATCGGGAGTGAATCGTCAATGTTGTATATTCTGAGAAGCGTTTTGCTAGCTCAAAATAGTATCTTGCCATTCCTAACGTACATAGGAACCAAGGATTGCCTTTGACTCCATCTCCAGTGGCAATACCATCATAGTTGTCTAACAGAATATTAGCCAAGTATATTCCATTGCTTTGGATTTTCTTCTTACCGTTTGGAAATCTTCCAAATAGGACACCTTCATCTTGTGATCTACGACGATTGACCGGAAACAAATCTTTGTAAATGAGTCTTAACAAATTGGCTGTATTCATCACATATGGATCATCAGGAGCATAGAAACCATCATCGTTGTATCCATAAAGTACTGCAAGTATAGTCGAAGTATCGATAAAAGTCTCATGAATGGTATCTCGAGGAGCGTCTATAGACTCAAGAACAACGCCATGAACTTGAGAAATGAATTTGCTCATATTACTTGTCAACTCCTTTGCTTGTTTTGAATAATAGGACGAAGCATCCATATAGCCAAGCATTTTTGCGAATTTTGCTCCTGAAATCAATTGAGATTAAGAATAAAATAACAAATTCTTGTTCACAACCTTGTAATAGAGCTTTGCGAATCAACAACTGATCCCAAAAATGAACAACAAAGAAGGTTTCCCAAGGGCCACAGCATGGATCGGGCCATACTCTGGCAATATAGTCTAAATCTGCACGAGTAACTGTAGTTGGAGGATGCGTTTCATTATTGAAGATCCATTTCTTGACATAGGACAAGTCACCATGTCTACGTAAGTATTCATTGGCAAATCGCATAACTGCAACAGCACGTAATGCCGGTCCATCGTTCTCTACACTACACCATGATCCAGTGACTAGGAAGAGAAAGTTGAGAGCAAAATACTTAAGAAGTGCAATACATACAAGCGGAACCATTGAGAAGATAATGTGCAGCACCTAAACCACCAGTTGTTAAATTTCCAGTTGGATTAGGAGTCCTTTGAATGATATAGTTGTAATGCACATAACTTTTAAGGATATCTTCCAATCTAACCAAATGAATAGGAAGATGAATTGTAAGAACTATCATGATATACTTACTTTTTTACTTGTGAAGGTTCAGTTGCTGTTTCATAGAGAGTAACTACGACATCCATTGTTATAGCAGCATCTCTAATCCTATTTATATCTTTACAATGTGGCTCTTTCAAAATGCCTTTGTAGTTACCAGTTGTAATAATAATCAGGTTGGTAATGAGAATCTGCCGCTGTAACTGAACCAGGAATACCTCCAGGTGGATCAATATTGTAAAATATCCCTTGGAATGATCTCTCTATTTCTTTTGGTATCCATCTTTCTAATGAGTCTTTCCAATGTTTGGCATTAGAAGAATGGAAGAGTAGTAACCAAAGTACAGTTATACAAGCAACGAGCTTGGTTTGACTTGAAAGGAGTAAGTTGGACATAGAATGGACAAACAACAGAGCAGAAATGCAAAAGTTCCTTTTTGAAATTCCACTTCATTCGAACAGATAATCTCCCTTTAGGAAAGTGACTATTCGCTTAGACAAAAGCAGAAATGGAACACGTTCTGCTGTTTCCACCACGTTGGGTAAACGTATTCCCTTATTATGTCCAATGGATAAAACATTCAAATACAGTTGGTCGTCTTCAATCGTTGTTTTCTCGTTGTTTGCTGGTTCAACAAGTGACAGTCTAGATGAAGTTGATTTTTTATACTCTTTTTCTATGGGTACTTGTAAGCTATATAGTTCAAGCTCAACCTTTGCCTTCTCCTACAGAGTGGCAAAAGGAGCTAGAAGAGTGGATCCCAAAACAGTACAACCGTTCTGTGGAAGGTATTTTTGACAATATCAACCGACCAGGTACTGCAAAGGGTTGTATCGTAGCAGCAGACTCGAAGAAGCAACCCGATTATTATTACAACTGGTAGGATAGCAGTCTTCAAATTTCTCATGGTAATCATAATCTTTATCTATATATAGGATTCGAGATGCAGCAATCACCATGCAAGTAGTTGTCACAATGTATGAGAGAGCAACGGATCCCAAGGAAATAGACAGGTATATATAGATAGCCTGATAAATAAGATATCCAAGTACTTAAATATATCGTTCTAGATTGGAAACTATTATCAAAGAGTACATTGCCTTTAATCATAAACTGCAGCATACTCCAAACTACAATGGCAACTTTTATACAGGTGGTTTAGGTGCTGCTCATTTTCTGGTCAATGGCTCTGCTTGTAAGTTGACTATTTGATAGTTATATCCATAGTTTATTAAATGGTTGTTTTGAAAGATCCTGGAGGATGGTGTACAGAAAATGATGGTCCTGCCCTTCGTGCTCTTGCAGTTATCAAGTTTACTTATGCGTATTTACAAAAAGGAGGCAATATTTCCTATATTCGTGACCACGTATTTGGTCCAACGAATAATACTCTTACTCGAGCAGATTTAGATTATATCGCACGTGTATGGCCCAACGAAAACTGTGGACCCTGGGAAGAACTTTATGGAATTCATTTCTTTGATCAATACTTACAGAGGACTGCACTTCTTAGAGGTTAGTGTTTGAGGAATAGTTTTCAGGAAGCTACTGAAAATAATATTCTTTAGGTGTCAAATTGGCTAAGAAACTTGGATACGATGATATTGCAAAACACTATCAAAAGTCAGCCGACGATATAACTCAAGTTTTGCCATCCTATATTGCAAAGGACTTTGGCATTGTTTTGGAATCCGTAAATACTACTCACGATACCAATCATGAAACATTTCTGGATACTTCCACTATTTTGGCAATTATTCATGGTTATAATCATGATGATGTGTTTGCACCTACTAATGAATATGTCATTGGAACTGCTAATATGTTGCGTTTGGTGTTTCAAGATATTTATCCAGTGAATATGCGCAAGGAACAAAGTGAAGGAACTCTGTTTGGAAGATTTCCAGACGGTAAGTTGTTATTCTTTATAGAAATAGGTCATTCACATAATGTATAGATATTTACGATGGCTATACTAGTGACGTTCCAGGCAATCCATGGATTCTATGTACTTTAGGAATGGCACAATATTATTATGAGTTGGCTGCGGAATGGTTGAAACATGAGAAGATTGTCATAGGAAAATGGAGTAAAGACTTTTTCAAGCATTTGAAAGTTATGCCACCTGGACCTCCTACTCCAGAATCGACTACAACTATTACTGGAAAAGCTATTTGTAGCTATGTTTCTGCTCTTTTGGAAGAAGGCGACCGAGTGTTGAATGCTATTCGAAGACATACAATTCCAAGTGGTATGTTTACAGAGGAAATTGATAGATATACAGGTTTTGAACAAGGAGCTATCAACTTAACCTGGAGCTACGATGCCTTTGTTACTGCTGTTTGGTCTCGTGAAGATGTTCACAAGTATTTTTCTCACTATTGTGAACCTCCTTCTCCAGTAAGCCCATCTCCTCCTATGATGGGACCCGGTCCGTCTCCTTAGAAAAGTGGGCATTTTAGTGATACTTTTGGTGATTATAAAAAATAGCAACTTTGTTATATATTTCACTGGATCATTGCATTCTTTGTTTATTGGCCACACAACAAACTCAGAAAAGTGTTGTCATTGTCCTTCAAAGAATACCTCCGGTTATTTGAATATTCATCCCAGTAATATAACCAGCATCGTCGCTTAATAGAAAGGCTACAGTACCAATGACTTCATCCACTGTTCCAGCACGACGCATAGGAACACTATTCAGCATTTGCTGAGAAACAACTTTGGGATCTTTGTCATAGTATATACTATTCGTCTGAGCTTGCAATTCACACTGTCTAAACCACATAAACCTAATTACAAGTAAATCACAATACAATCAGGTACAAAAACAATATCTGTCCTACCCAGAGTCGATAAATGCTGGTGATATCGCATTCACTCTAATATTGTAAGGAGCTAGATCTCTTGAAGATGTCTTAGTCATCCCAATTACGGCAGCTTTGGAAGTAGCATAAGCCACCATATTGGGAGCACCATCTACTCCAGCCTGACTAGCAGTGTTCACGATTGCCCCGTGGCCTTGCTTCACCATATATGTGGAGACTGCCTTCAAAAAGTGGAATATTCCTTGTGTATTGATTTTAAGCACTTTTTCAAAGTCATCGACTGGATAATCAAAGGCCTTGACAAAAAGACCTTGATAACCTGCGTTGTTGAACAAATAATCTATTCTACCAAAAGCGTCGTGTGCTGCTTTGACTACGTGCTCTACATGAGAATAATTAGTAACGTCACAACGTATCGCAACTGCCTTTGTGTTGAACTCCTTTTCAATGGTTGTTGCTTGTTCCCGAAGCTTTGTTTCTTCTACAACATCAGTGATCACTACCTTGGCACCCTCTGACGCAAATCGATTGGCACAGTTACTTCCAAAGCTACCCGCTGCACCAGTGATGATAATAACTCGGTCCTTGAAACGCTTATTAGCGACTGCTTTCTCCATTCTACCACGTTATCCTTTAGCAAAATCCAAAGCGAATCAATCAAAAGTACCAAAAGAGACTAAAATTTCTTTTGTCCGATGGACGCAACATTTTCTACCAAAAACGATATCCAAAGTTTAAGCAAAAACTTTTATTTCATCTTCTTGAGAATGTCTGCCTTCTTCCCCTATTTCTTCTTCTTCTTCTTCCTTATCGCTTAAGGCTGTTGTATTCGGTAAAAGATCACTATCCATTTTGGTACTTGAAGTGGACTTGCGTCGAAAAATATTACCCAGACGTGACTTCGAAGGCCCTTTGGTCATAAACAACTGTAACTGTTGTTGATGAACTGATACAGCATTCCTTTTTGTGAAAAACTCGTTTGCTAGCTCACAAAATTTGCCTTGATAGAAGTGTTTCATATTACGTATAATAATGGGTTCTGCCAAGTGACCGATACCCACCAAGTGCACTTGTACACTGCCTTGTAATACATATGTACACTTTTCAGTGCCTGTCTCTATCAAGTCCATTCTTCCTTCTGTGGTGACTTTGTCTGCAAGTAGCCCTAACGGTTTCGTGCAGAAAAACTGAGTACAACTACCGTCTTCCTTCCACCACTGGTAGTCTTCCAATCCAGTAAAGTGTTCCTCCACATAGTGTTTCAACGACTTGAAACCTTCGAAAACTTCCAATTTGGGAAATATGTGCATCTTTCGAAAGCAAGTACCATCTTCTAAAGTACCTTCGTCCACTGTTTCCAACCTATCCAGATGGCCTTTTTTTACTTGAAGCCTTAGAAAGTCTGGGTGACTACGAAACTTCCAAAATTCTTCCTTTGAAACTTGTAAAGGTACTTCGATGTGAAACTTCATTTTACAAGAAAAGTTTGGAAAAGAGAAGCAGAGCTTTCAATTGCAAACGAGCTTCCAGAAGACCTCTTTTCATAACCTTTGGGAATCATTCCAAGAAGGAAGATCGAGTGCTTCTGGGTTCTTTAAGAATGAAAGACTGTATTCCACCGTTGAAGGAACCCAAAACTTCGCAGTTTGAACCACAAAGTGTCGGTCTGCCAAAAGACTTTTTATTGACTTCTTTTTCTCGTTTAAAAGGCTGAGGATGTAAGATTCCTCAGGTAGAGCTAGAGGGTCTGTTGGAACGTTGTCTTACAGACCATTCTTGTCAGGAAAGTGATCCTCCCCCATCGTTTTGTCAGGGAATCGGTTCTGATTGTTCTCTACAACCGAGTGGAGTCCCGGATGTGTTTTTAGCCTCTACAACCGACTTTTTCTATCCTCTTGTGGAGGACCCTTATGTTATGGGCAAGATTGGAGCAACTAACGTATTGTCAGATTTGTATGCAGCAGGAATAACCAGTTGTACTAATGTCTTGATGATATTAGCTGGCAGCTCAGATATGCCTCTTGAGGAACGAAGAATAGTATTGGAATTGATGATAAAGGGTTTTTCTGATCAAGTAGAAAAGGCTGGCAGTAAAGTAACAGGTGGTCAAACCATATTTAATCCTTGGCCCATGATTGGAGGTACTGCAATGTCTGTTGTACCCAAAGGTGAACTTGTTCAGTTATCCGAGTCACAAGTTGGCGATATTTTGGTTTTAACGAAGCCTCTTGGTACACAGGTTGCTGTCAATTTACATCAGTGGTTGGTATCTAAACCAGATTTGTGGAAACAAGTCGAAGGAGTTACTGATGAAGGTGAAGTTCTTTGGGCCTATGATGTGGCAACAGAAAGTATGCAAAGACTGAACCGAACTGCAGCTATTTTGATGAAGAAATACAACGCACATGCAGCTACTGATGTGACAGGATTTGGAATATTAGGCCACGCAAAGAATCTTGCACGACAACAAAGGTATTTTGCTAGAGAAACTTGATCTCATTCTCTCATGTTGTATTAGGAGACATGTAACTTTTGTACTAGAATGTCTTCCTTGCATAAAAGGCATGGCAAAGGTAGATGGTTGGGTTAGACAAGGGGATAGGTTTCAGTTACGTCGAGGGCTTTCTGCAGAGACGAGTGGTGGCTTATTAATTGCATTTCCTGTTGATAATGTTGAAGGTTTCTTGAATGAGATATATTTAGAAGAAGGTTGGAGGTCTTTTGTTGTTGGTCGAGTTGTGGATGGAAACCGAGACGCGTATGTGAAAGAGCCGATAGAGATAATCGATGTGGAGTGAAGAGATCATTTTTATGGTCAAGACCCTTATGAAGGAATGTTCTCCAACTCCGTTGTAAAGAGGAGAGGAACATTGCGGATTTGATATTGTCTTGATAGTCTGTTATATGCAAAGTGTGGGTACTGCAGCCAATTGTATGATTCTATTCTACCTGAGGAATAAATGGAATGTAACAAATTCATTTCAGTGAAAAGTTATTTTTTTGAATTGATCCTTTTCATGTTGATTGTTACTTTCGTTTCATTGCCTTGGTTTCAAAGAACAGTTCTTCCTTCCCATCGTATTTCTTTTAGAGTTTTGGTTGGTTCAAGTTATTGTAAATCCAAATATTCACAGAAGAAAGAAAGACAACCAACAAAAGCCTTGACCTATTTTGAAAGCAAGAGTAGTAAAGAAGATACACCAACACTGTCTTCCGAAACTTTATTGAGTTTAGGACTTGATATTCATACCAAGTCAATAGGATTTGCGATAGTATCAGGTTGGACAGGCCAAGCAATACGTCACGGTATGATTGATCTACAACATATGGAAGGAGCGGATGCTTTTGATAAAGTGGACTATGTCAGGGAAGAGTTGGTACACCTGAAAGCAGATACAGAGCACTTTTACAAAGAGTTTATTGGAGTGAATAAGAATATCTCTTGGGTAGTTGGTGTGGAGGCTTATCTATTTCGTTTTCTCATTGGTCAGTCAAGAGCAGTTTCCTTGTTTGGTCTTGCAGAATTGAATACACTAGTTTCCTATGAGTGTCGTTGGATCTTTCAAAGGAGGCCATTCAAGTTTCATGCCTCTAAAGCAAGAAGTTGGTTAGGTTTATCGTCAAAGAAACAAAACACAAGCAAAGATATTAAGCAAATTGTATTTGATCATGCCTATCCTTTTCTTTTAGGTTTCGAAACACGATATCGTCCACGTTCTAAAGCTTTTTGTTCGACCAATTTTGATATTAGCGATGCATATGTAGCTGCTCGATATGCCATTCGATTGGAAGAAGAAAGACAACTTTTAGAAGAGTATCCTGACTTGATAATATCAAATAATTCAACTAGAAAACGTAGCAAAGCAGCTGAAAGAAACAAATCACTTGACAAAAATATTGAAGCTCAACTATTGAGACTAGAGGAAGATAGGATTCAGAGAAGCATTTCTGAACTTGGACAACGCCTCAACTGTTTTGTTCTTTGTAATGGAAGTAGCAAGTGAAAAGTACAGGATGGAGGTTTGTCAAACCATTTTGGAGTTGCAAGAAGAGAGAGCAGTTTGTTATAATGCTCTGGAACAAGCCTTTCAAGAGTTTGTAAGAAACGAAGCCACTCTTTCTTCAGCGGAACAGTATATGAGAGTATGTCAACAAGTAAAGGTAAGTTTGGAAGAAGAACGTTTTGTGAGTTTCATATTTTTAGTTGTTATTCTTTTTATGGGTAGAATCATCTAGAATCCTTGGATGAGAGACTTGCCAACCTAAAGTCGAGTGTTTCTTATGAGCACTCTATTTATGAGTGGATAGAACAGTTGGAGCAATTAGAAAAGTATAAATTGGAGACTACAGTTTCCGTCCAAAAGATTCGCAAAGATATGAAACTTTTCAAGGATAGGTTAGACGGTTTGGAACTTGCAGAACAGCAAGCCATATTAAGTAGACAATATCTTACTCTTTCTCAAGTGATTGAAGATATTGATTTCTTATTGATGGAGTTTCGAAATGAAAAAGAAGTAGACATATTGGACAAAACAGAATAGAGAAAGTTTATGAAACGAAACTTAAGCAGTTATTTCGGAGAGTTTTACGGGCCTTTTCTCCAAAAGACTTTTCTTAGCTGCGATAGCCATTGCCATTGCAGCAGTTCCATCTCGACCACTTGTAGGAGGTTCTTTGTTTTCCAATATGCATTTTACAAACTCTTTCGTTTCATTACGATAGGCATCCGTATAACTAGAATAATGTTAGAGTGCAAAAGGCATTTCAGTAAAATGTAGTAGCAAAAATACTTACCGATCCATAAAGAAGTTAAAGGGAAGATCACTTCTTCGAATGGACTGGCCATCTTCGATAAAAACATTATTAGGAAAATTATTACCAAAACGCACAAGTCCTTTGGAGCCAAAAACTTCCACTCGCTGATCATATCCTGAAGGAGATTGACGACAGTTGTCGATCGTACAAAAAGCACCATTTTTGAACTTCTTCGAGTTAGTCTAAAAGTGTATCCATCGAACACAAACGTACCTTGAGCAAAGTTATTGCAGTATCAATGTCTTTTCCCTCTGAAGCGATTTTTGGATCTACACGACAAGCTCCATAAGCAATTATCTCTTCACATTCACTTCCAGTCATAAAACGAGCTATATCAAAGTCATGAATAGCCATATCATTATGAATACCTCCAGAACTTTGGATATATTCTATCGGTGGTGGAGCAGGATCTCGACTGATAAGATGAACTGCATAGACATCTCCCACTGCTCCTGATTGGACGCACTGCTTTGCTCTAGCAAAGTTAGGATCAAAGCGACGTTGGAAGGCCAACATCATCTTCACTTTTGCTTTCTCGACAGCTGCAATAACCTCTTCAGCTTCTTTTAAAGTTATCGCCAACGGCTTTTCACAGAAAATATGTTTTCCAGCTGCAGCAAGTGCCTTGATTTGCTCTGAGTGTTGGGAAGAGGGAGAACATATCCAAACAGCCTCAATGTTAGGATCCTTTAATACATCTTTGAAATCAGTGGAATATTTTGCAACTCCAAACTTTTCAGCTGTTGATTTGGCAACCTTTTCTATAAAATCTACTATCATGACGGGCTTAGCTAAGGGAGTATGAAAAGACAAGGTTTCCATATGTACTTGGCCAATACGACCACCACCGATCACCGCAACATTCAGTTTCTTTTCGGTAGAAGAACTCAATCCTCTTTTACATTGCTTTCCTAACTGTGTCAACAGTAACTTGTTGTTGACTAGACGAGATAACAATTGCCACATGTGAATCGATATTCCCACCACAAAAACCAAAGAAAAGATATATGAGTATTGCCATTTCTACGGATGGCTCCGAAACTGCTTCTGGATGGAGGTTTGGCAACAGAACTTGAAAGGAAAGGTTTTGACTTGAGTATTGGAAAACTATGGTCTGCAAGACTATTGGATGAGTGTCCTGAACTTATCGAACAAGTACATCTTTCCTATTTGGAAGCAGGAGCAAACATAATAACCAGTTCCAGTTATCAGGTCGTTATTTTACCTCGTCAATTATTTTTAAGTGTTTTGAATTACGTAATAGGCTTCTTTCGATGGCTTTTTGGAAGAAGGTTACAGTTTATCTGAAGCAAAAGAGTTGATGATTCGTAGTGTTCAGTTATGTAAACGAGCACGTTCAACCTTTCAAAACTTTAGTCCGTCTGCCACAGATTGCTATGTTGCAGCTTCCTGTGGTCCTTATGGTGCTTATCTTGCTGATGGTTCAGAATATAGAGGTTGTTATGGTGTATCTAAAGGCAAGTATTTTATTCTCACTTGTGAAATAATTCAAGTCATTGATTCACTTGTAGAGCGACTTTTATCATTTCATTCAAGTCGCCTTGAGGTTCTTGTGGCACAAGACCCAGATTTTATTGCTTTTGAAACAATTCCTGATATAGAAGAAGCACAAGCGATTATTGAGTTGATGACTAGAAAGTATTTTTATATTCCTTTTTGGATAAGTATACAATGTCGCAATGAGACGGAAATGGCTTGTGGCACATCTATAGAGACTATTGTACCATTCTTGTGTAGTACGACCAATTGTTTTGCTATTGGTGTGAATTGTGTGCCTCCTCAATATATATCTTCTTTGATAAGCATCATCCGTAACCAATTGTTGAGATTATCTTTATCTACTTTTATTATTGCGTATCCTAATTCTGGAGAAGTCTACAATCCTTTAAAGAAAGATTGGAATCAGGAAATGAAGAACAGTATACAAAGTTGGGTTGATTATATGCTTGACTGTGATGCAGATGTAGTTGGTGGTTGTTGTCGTACAACACCTTTACATATCCAGTTGTTGAAGAATCAAATATGTCCATCAACAAATTCTTCTTAAAACTGCCTTTTCGTTTGAGAACTTTTCAAAGATACCTTCGAAATGTTTTAAATTCACCAAAAGAGCGATTGAAAGAAAAATGCTAAATGATTAGAAATTCCCTTCAAAATGAAATTTTGAAAAGCATTTTGGGATGCTCAATGAACATTCAAAATATTTCTGATGATGAATATATTCAAGACAGAAATGAAAGCATTCGACTAGGAAAAATAATCGAAAAACTTTATCAAGAAAGGGACCAAGTAAGTCAAAGTAGACAGAATAGTACTGTTCCAATCATTTTTGTCTACGGCTAAATAAAACATGATGATTTAGGCCATACAAGATGCAAAGCAACTAGCAAAAGCCCTTGAACGGAAGAAAGAAAGCAAAGGTTCTTCCAGTGTGTCTGCCTTGTCAACGAAGCATATTGTAAGAAAGCGTTTTACGTGAATTTGATTCATCATGAACTTTTGTTAGACCTGCAATTTGTCTCCAAAGCTTCTTTCTATTTTGGCTTATAGTGATATTATCTTTATAGGTCAGAATGTTTCTCTCACTTATGGATGATAGCTAAAAGTATACTTTCAAAGACTTTCAATAATTCTGTCAACCTCAAGTGGGGAAGATTTTACTTCCTCGAGTCGTACTCGATTCACAATGTTTCTTGGAAGATATGAAATGGAAATGGTTTGTTTCAGATGAGTATAATTGTAGGCTAGTCTCTACAGAATGTTTTTATATTCCCAATCCAAACGACGTAAATCAAAATCTACAAGTGGAATGGACTCGAAAGCTTGAAAATGATATCGTAGTGCAAAGTTTCCATTTGGGAAAAATTCGTCTCTGTTCTTATGTAGAAAAACTATTAATGTCCTTTGAACTTATGGGAAGCGCTATATTCACAGGATTGCTCAATCATCAAGGAGAAGTCCTCACGATGGTGATAGAAAAGGAATATCTTTCTATAGGCTATGATATGAAAACTCATACGGATGGCAATTTTTACTTTGATATGAAGGAAATCAGAGTTCATTGCATGGACTCTTCTCATTCAAAGCCTGGCTTTTGTATCAATTCCGAATACGAATTCTTTGTAGAAACAAGGTTGGAACTGATTTTGATATACTGTACTATTCATATGTTTGCATTATCTGCAAATACTTGGGGAACCAACTCGCTTTCATCGACAAAGTGGACACTTGGAAGAAAGCAAAATGTTGAAGACAAAATGGAGAGAGATATCACGACCAACCCTTCCCTTATGAAGAGATTTCCTTTTTTACCAACAAAGCTACGAACCAAATATGATTCGACTATACCATACAAGCCTTTACAAATCTCAAGACCAATACCAGAAACAGTATGGCATGCCAAAGAAGACATGCCTCGTCGAATACTTCAATACGGAAATGAACAACCAATAAACGATAATAATGAAGCATACATATGTATGAAATGAAAATGATGTCTTTATATTCCGTTCAAATCATTTTCTTAATGAGTCTATCGATTAAATGCTCACGATTACCAAATTCACCACCTTCAATGAAATGTCTACGCTTTCCATGACGTGAGAAACCACCTCTTGGAGAGTTCAACTTAAAAGGCCACAAAAAATTGTTCACTTTCTTGAAACGTCGCCCACAAGTATAGATTTCGTGAATCATATCTTCCACACAAATTATGCCATACTTTCCCAGAACATCTTCAATAAGACGATTGTCCGTTAAAGGAATTCGCGACCATGCCCGTCTCTTTCCTATTTTAACAAAGCCCCTCTTATATATAAGATCACGGACACTTTTCAGACTTGGATAGCCATATGCAATATAAGGCTCAACTCGGTGTAACATTTGCATAGTTGCCTCGTTCACTTTCACAAAGACACCGTTGTGAATCTGTCGCAAACGTAAAAGTTGTAATATTTTCCGCGTTCGGGGATCGACACCGTTGATTCCTCGAATGCGTACAACAAAGGCCACTTTTGCTCCAGCAGGTACATAAAATTTCTTTTCGGCTTTTGCACGTCTACGAGCTTCGATTTCGGCACGTTCCTTTTCTCTATACTCTTTCACATACTTTTCAGCCCTTTTGAAGATTTCTTTTCTACGTTCTTGTCGTTGTTTTTTCAACTTGGCAGCTTGCTCTTCTCTCTTTGTCCTGATCTTTTCATGAAGAGCCTTTCGTTTCAAGATTGTTTCTGGGACCTTGGCAGAACTATCATACAAGAAATATAAAACACTTTAAATAAATAATGAACCATTACTTGCCTTGCTGTTTCAGTCATGTTGACAAACACTAACACTATCCACAATCCCAAAGAGAGAAAGGAATGGACGACGCCGATAAATGGAATGAAGTGGTCAAAGTTAGAAGAAAGAAAGAATAAATACAAAGCAGGTTCCAAAAACTTATGTATATAGTTTATTTATTCCAATCGTTTCAACAAACCCTCATGAGCATACTTTTTGTAAACCGGTAACAAACGATCTAGTGGAAGCTTGGTTTCTAGGTAGTCGGGATCCTTGTCCCAGGTATTCAACCACAAGTTGAAATAGGATAGACCCATTTGACGAATATCTTTTTTGAAGAACTGGCTCAATACCAAGGAAACACGTTCTACAAAAGGAAGGTAAGCAATATCCGCAAGGGTCCAACTCTTTCCGAATAAATAAGGACCTCCAGAGTTCTTCACTTGGTCATCAATTACTTGGAGTTGTTTGCAAACTTGCTGCAACAGTTCGATCTCTCCTTGACCATCTTCCTCTGGATTCGTCTTAAGTAGTTTGAACATAACAGATATCAGGCCATCTACTCGGATAGAAAGGATCCTCGCAAACGCTCTTTGTGAAGCGTGTTCTGGAAGAAGTTTGTTTCCAGCATAAACTTCGTTCAGATATTCATTGCAAACCAAGGACTCATAAATGATGGCTTCTTTTTCTTCTACGGCTTCACGTACTCGTAATACTGGCACCTTCCCCAACGGGTTCAGTTCCAAAAACCAAGGTTCTCTGTTATCCTTTCCAAGCTCAATGATTACTTCTTTAAAGTGAACTTTTAGTTTCTTCAAAAGTATCCAAGTTCTCTGTGCAAAAGGACATATTGGGGCATACAGAAACGAAAGTTCCATTGTCAAAAACTAAAGAAGGATGAAATGCTTTCTTTGTATGGCAGGCATAACGTCCTTTGGACATGCTGTTCTATGAGGAAAGTCCACTCGAGCTATGACAATTGTCACACATTGAATAAGGAAGCTATGAAATAAATGCTCTTAAAATGCAATAGAGACTGACTTTTAATTCAGCAGTTTTCATTGTTGAGATATTTTAATTGTTTCATCTTTCCTTGGAAGTCGAGTCTCATATTCTATGGCTCGACTAAGAACAGAAAGTGATCGTTATGAAGGAATCGTCCAATTAAGTTTTTTCTATAAAGCAGTTGCCCAACCTTGGGATCAATTTATTTATATATATATATATATATATATATATATATATATATCAATAGGAGAGAGAGTCCAAGGATTTCTAAACTTGCCAGGAGCAACGTGGTTCGTAGAAAAGGCAGTAAATGTATATATCATTCGGGCAACTCGTGAAGAGTTGATAGTCTATTGTAAGATGAGATGCTAGTGAATTATAAAAGGTCAAAAGTATAATTTAGATAATACCTCAAAACTACGGAGATAAGATAGAATTAAGCTGAATCACTCCTCTATTTCAATTCTCTTGGCCATATTTTTGAATTTGGGCCGAACTCTTCATTTTGGCGCTCAACTATTTCCTGTTTTCAGTAGAGAGCCATACTTGAACCTTTGTAAAAACTTATGACAACCGACTTGAACAGACATAATATGAACAACTCTTTATTTGGGGCTAATTTTAACCTAGGTGGAACATTTCAGCCTTTTCCTCAAACAGGTCAATCCTTTGCTTCTGACCCTTTTACCAGTCCCTCTAAATACGCACCTGCGTTGCAGACTACAGTGGATAGGAACCAAGCACTACAACCTGTTTCACTGAACCAGCTAGTGCATGCAACTCAAGAACATCCAGATGATGCCTTTCAGGTAAACAACACACCACTTAGAAACGTTACCTTCGTTGGCTACATAGTCAAGTTGGACGAGCTTTCTACAAACTTGTGTTACCAAATAGAAGACGGAACTGCGACCATGGAAGTTCGTCTCTATATGCTAGATAATGATTCCGAATATCAAGCACATAGAAGAGAAGCACTTCAACCCGGTGTGTGGGTGCGCGTTTTTGGCAGCTTGAGAGAGTTTAACGGGGAGAGGTCTGTAAAAGCACACCATATACAACCAATCGAAGATATGAACGAAATTTTATTCCATCGCTTACAAGTTATTCAAGTATATCTTCAACAAACGCACGGCCCAACTAGCAAAAGCAAGCAAACTATGAATAGTTCCATTGGAAGTGGAATACAATCAGAACATTTTGACCATTTCACAGATAATATGAACGATTCTAGCTTTAGCCCGATTCAACAAAGTGTATTGTTGACGATCCGTCAAATATCTAAAGATTATAGAGGTACAAGCACTGAGGAAATTATAGCCAGTCTGAAACAAAAGTTTGCTCCAAAGGATATTCATGAAGCCATTCACTTTCTTATGGAAGAAGGGCATATCTATACGACGATTGACGAATCTCATTACCAGGCATGTAGCAGTTTTTGAAAACTTATCCTAACCTGTATGAAGAAATGTGGTCTCACAAAATGTTCCAAACCATATCCAAAGATTTCTATTTAAAATCCTGCTCTTATTAATGCAGCTCCTACATGCCGACCTTCTTCATTCATAAGATTAAACAAAGAACACGCATCTTCCTATTAGCGCAAGATTCAAAGATATTCAGAAGCACATAGAGTTGATTCTCTTACTGTCTTTAACAATTCGAAAGCTTGACAAACAGAAGATACTTGTCGATAGTTTTCCTCTGAAAGATGCTATCCAATTGGAAAATATTCAATAACCGATTCAAGCAACAAAACTTAACGCAACTCTTACAGGTGTAACACTCCCTCCGCCCACAATCAATATATCTATAAAACAATAACAAAAACATGAATGACCAGATGACTCTAATCTTACCAAGTTTAGGGACTAACAAGCGAAACAAAGTAAAGGAGTTGGGAGTGACCTCTGCAAAAGTTTGTGGTCTCCATAAATAACCTGTATGAGGCAATAGCAGTATCTTTATTTATGCCCCGAGTTGAAACTCTCAGTTCTCTCGTTAGTTGCTGCATACTTACTGAACTTCTCACTTCCACATTATTTACAACGAAATACGCTCCCGAATATCCTATCTAAAGTCATCATAGTTCTATATTTTACTGGAATATCACGTTACCATCAAGTTTCATTCTATTTCCATTTGTTTCTCCTATCAAAGACTTGAAAGAGCTCAACTTGCGATGAGACAAACATTGCCAAAGACGATCACTTGTACGATAAGGAATCATTATCTCATTCCTGCCGCAAAATGCATACGATAGACCTTGGCTTTATTTCTTTGTATCACACTTTACAATGTAACGCAAAGGAAACAAAGCTTTTCACTGTATCTTATTGGAGTAAAAGATGTCGTGAAGTGAATTCAAGGGCTGGCTTTTGTCGGTCAAGACCAGTCGAGCGCAATATTCGAAACAAGTTTATCGCTTCCGTTGCATCGACAACTGTACAAGTTGGCATTTTAGGTGCTTCAGGATATACTGGAGCGGAGCTACTTCGAATACTTTCAAAGCATCCACATGTTCAAGTTAAAGTCGTTACTGCTGAGAGGTCAGCTGGAAAGTCTTATGGAGAAGTTTTTGGACAATTCCAATATAAGAACGGTCACAACTCGTTACCCGAAACTTTGATAGATGTTTCTAGTTTATTAGAAAACTCCAAACTTTTGAACAGTTTACAAGTCATTTTTTGTTGTCTTCCACACGGAACTAGTCAAGCCTATATCTCACAAATTCCTTCGAGCATTCGAATTGTTGACTTGTCGGCAGATTTTCGGCTTCAAGAACCCACAAGTTATCAGAAGTGGTATGGAAAAGAACATAAAGCTGTAGACTTGCAGAAAGAAGCTGTATATGGACTTGTCGAGGTTAATCGTGCTTCCATCCGAAATGCTCGTCTAGTTGCCAATCCAGGTTGTTATCCAACAGCAGCTCAACTAGCTCTGATTCCTTTATTGAAACATCGCTTGATAGATCCGAATGATATAGTTATTGATGCCAAATCGGGAGTTTCTGGAGCAGGTCGAGCCTTAAGAGAAACTTCCCTGTTTTGTGAGGTTCACGAAGGTATTCACGCATATGGAGTTGGTTCGCATCGTCATATTCCTGAAATTGAACAAGGACTTAGTGAGGCTTGTGGTCACTCTGTCGTTGTTAACTTTACTCCGCACTTGATTCCTATGTCTCGTGGTATTTTAGAAAGTATTTATGTCAAGTTGTCTTCAGGAGTAGGAATAACGGAAGTGAGAAAGTGTTTAGAAGAAACTTATGCTAATGAACATTTTGTTACTCTTCTTAGTGAAGGAATAGTTCCACAAACCCGTTTTGTCAAAGGAACCAACCATTGTCTCTTGAATGTTTTTCAAGATCGAATATCAAATCGAATTATTTTATTTTCTGCCATCGACAATTTAGTGAAAGGAGCTTCCGGTCAAGCTGTTCAAAATATGAATCTTTTATGTGGCTTTCCAGAAGAAACGGCGTTGCAAGATGTTGCCTTGTTTCCTTGAGTATTTATCTTTATTGATGATCATAAAAAGAATATATTTGGGTCAGCTCCATCGAGTTATATCCCATAGACGAAGAATTTTGTCACTTCCGATTGAAACAATAAATGAAGGGAAAAGAAAATTCCATTCGAGTTTCGAAATGAGTTCTCTTTGTCCAGGCAAGTTCTTGGAAGGTATCTTTTCCTTCATTGGCAACCATATCTTGAAAAAATCAAGTCTAAAATTGCAAAATTTAGTTTCATTGCTTACCTGAATACTTCCATCTGATAATGCAATAGCAACTTGAATAGTGGAGTCTTGAATTGAGCACAAGGAAACAATTGGCTTCTGAAATGAAACTTGACACCAAATAATATCCTCAGGATAACTTTCAGTATTATCTATCTCTTTGGAAAAAGTATTCCTGTCAAAGTACAACAAACCTACTCGACCATCTGTACAAGAAAAAGCGATTGGAATCTTATCTGTTAAAGAACTATCTGCAGCTTGTGAGATGCATCGTGAAAGCAAATGCAACTTGGCAATTTCCATATAAAAAATCAAGTTGAAAGTGTTCACATCCAATATCAAGCAATGTTGAAAGTTACATGCAAGTGCAATATAACTTCTATCGGCACTACAACAGATACTGGAAATATTCATAGGATTGGATAAATATTTTCCTCGCTTCAACTCTTGTGATAAACAAGCACGAAACTGCCATGTCAATTCCTTTGCAGAGTTCATCTTTAAATACCACAATGAAGCTTCCAAGCATTGTCCCAAATGACCGCCCTCAATGACAATCAACTCGTTGGTCATCAAATGATGCAATATATTCTCTTCATAACAAATTTTCTTATCTTCCCTTTCATATGCAGTGATCCAGCTTAATTGAAATTTGTTTGATATACTTTTGCTCTTTCTAGTCTTGGAACTTAGATAAGTGGAACATATTCTCTGCAAACAGAAGCTCTCCTGTAAAGGATTCTCGTCTTCATTATCATTAGGTGTACCAAACTGAACTCTTCCAAGGACAAGCTGACCTCGATTGGTTATCATCGCCAAAAAATTCGGATTGAAATTTGCCAAATAAGGCACATAACAAATATCACATATAAACTCTTCTCGACTAAGGAAACTCAGTCGCTTTGTTGTTTGTATATCTGGCTGTTTTCGAATATTCAGACATTCTCGACTATCTACGAACCCAATACTACCATTGGAATAACTAATAACCAAGGGATATTGAAAATCGTTTGCTATAGAAAAACTCAACGGAAAACCATTTGAACCTTTCAAGATCCAATGATGAAAAGTTGCAGAATCGGCATCCCAAAGAGCTATACACCCATTCATTGCAATACTGATGATACATAGCCGACTATGGTACTCTAAAACAAGTAAAGTCGTGATGGAATTACAATGCAAAGCTGATGTCTCATTGAATGGGATAATATGAGCTGAATTGTTGCTTTGAATTTCTAACAAAAACGGTTTACCCAAACAACCGATACTAACTGTCATTCTAGATTGAGACACATATTTCAAGACATATCTTTGAATATGTGCTTTGGAGCAGTTGAAAAACGACGAGATTTTCTTTTTGATCGAGACCAGAAAACAGGGAGTGCTGCTATCGATAACATTCCAACAACAGACAAGGCCATCTTCAGATATGGAATAGAAATATTCACTTTGTCCGACTTTCTTATCATACCTCACAGAGCAACTCGTAATACTATGAACTGGATAGGTATGTTGCTGAAACCTCTTCTGTACAGAAGGTGAGTCAAAAACATTCCAGCCCAATATAAGACCACTCGATAGTCCTAATAATAATAAATCAGAGGCAGTCATTTCGACAGTAGTGATGTTTCCCTGAATAGAGCTATCCCCATCGTGTAATAGTTGTAAACTGTCACGCTTATCTAATGTAAGATCCCATCCATATAGAGCACTATCTTCACGTAAGATTAATAAAATATGAGGATAAATACTTGAAAAGAAACAGGAAATGATTGCTTCATTGAGCTGAATGGAACGTATTTCTCGCTTAAGATCTGTGTCCCATACCTTTACGGTTCCATCCACGGAAGCCTGTTAGGACAAATATTGTATCAGATAGGAATAAGCTGGTCTTGGTAACCTACTGTAATTAAAAGATGTTCAATAGCAAGGGCTTTTTGGAAACGGACACAGTGGACTCTCTTTCGATGACTACGAAGTTCCTAGAGTATTCCTTTAGAACCAAGTTTTCTATTCCAGCAATCAACGAACTCCTAGTATCGTGCGTTGCTGTACACTTATCAAAAGGACGATGTTTCCACAGGACACAGCCAATATACCGTCACGAGAACAGTCTGCACTAGTCCAATCCTTGTTTGGAGGTGCACTTGCCAAAATGTTCATCTCATTGCATCAAGTTTCTTTTCTTTCCATGGATATGAATGAACAATTTTGCTGAACTGATATGATTGCAAATATAGTATGACGAGTAACTACTCTACATGAAAATGGAAAATTCCGAAAACTTAAAATAGGATCTTTATATTATGAAATCTCAGAATTATTCATTTTTACAAAGAGAGCTTGAAATGGAACCTTTTCAGTTTCCAAAATTTTGTTAGAGTTTCTAAAGAGAAGTTGTTAAGTGCAATTGTCCAATATTTTCATAAATTAGTTAGGGCGGGCTATCATTGCTGTCTAAGCCATTGTTCATATTTAAAATTGCAGGGTCTTTGATACTTCTTTATTTTTAAACCTCTTGAGAGATTCTCAACTAAATAATGACCTTTTAATGCAAAAATCAAATATTGCAAAGACTCCTGAAGAAGCAACTCACATAGTAGCTCTTGTTAGGAAACTTGTCTTGGCAATAAATGGGAACACAAACGAAGAAGGCATACCCAATTCTCAAGCCAAACAAGTGCGTTTAGCTCTCAAAATACTTTCCTCTCGCATATCATCTAGAAAGCAATCTTATGCTGACGAACAAGTTACTATAGAAAGACTTAAACGCTCCCTTGCAAAAGCAAACAGAGTTCGAGACGCAGTGCGACTTTTGGAGTTGGTAAACTCCCTTAAACAATTGTGTGACAGTCATCAGTTGAAAGATATTCTTTATTTCTTGGAAGAACTTTCTTACCATGAACAGGAATTGTCTCTCAGTAAGCAACAGATGTTTGCCAATCGACTTTCAGAATTTTCTCTCGATTCGAACTTTTCCAACTCGAAGAATTCTTCCAAAACTAGTATCCCACTACTAGATAGCGGAATTGGAGAATACAATCAAGTAGAAAAACTAGAAAATGGAAGCAATGAAGACAATTCTTGTGAAGACTCGAAGTCGAACAATACAGTAAGAGAAGATGCATTTCAAGAATACATTGTAAAAGAAAACGAAGCCTACGAAATTTCCGAGGCTATTCTTGTGAGAGAAGCCATTTATGCTGTTCAAGGAATAGAAGGCAAATATGTGAAATATCAAGAGCAGAATGAAGAGTACGCAGTGGCTCCCCATATAGGAGTTCCACAGCCTGTTAGAGAACTGGTTCGAAGAATTTGTAAAATGGGATGGTTGTATAAGTACCTGAAACAACAACTGCAGCAGTTGCAAAGCAATCCTTCTTATGGTGCAGTAAGCCGAAGTTTTTGTGGTGCCGTTGAAAATGAATTGGATGAATATTACGAAATGCTTGCAGAAATAGAAGCTCAGGTAAGGATGTTTTGTTCCACGAAAGATTCTATCTATAACATATGCGTACATACATAGGCTGGAATGACTAATTTTGAAAATATTGAAAACGCTGGTTTACTTGCTGCAAAAGGACGCAACGAATTGACTTTGAGAAAGTTGTTTGTTTGGTGTCAACAGCCTTTGGAGAAACTGAAATGGCTCAGCGTTTTGACTGAAGCTGCATATAACAAAAAGGGCGGTGAACTGCTATCTATTCTTCATGAATTTACCTTACATGGTGACAAAAACACGCGAAGTTTAGTTTGTTCTGTTTTGCGAAAGGCATCAGTACCTCTATTTGACTCCATTCGTAAATGGGTTTTGGATGGAGAATTGGATGATCCTTATGAAGAATTCTTTATAGCTTCTCGTCAAGGCATTACTGCAGAAGACATATGGGAAAAGAAATTCTATATTCGTCAATCCATGGTGCCTTCCTTTTTAGCCATAGAGCCTTATCTTATTTCTTCCATTTTGTCATGTGGAAAAACTATGGTTTTCCTTAGGAAATGCTGTTCTGATGGGTCATGGTTAAGTGATAAATTTCGAGAGCCATCTTTTAGAGAAAAATCACTTGGATACAATCAAGTCGATTCCCTTCGTGCTTTTGTTCAGACTGTCTGCGAAGCTTCTTCGAATCGTTTGAAATTTTTACTATTTGAAAAATTTCTTTTGAAAGGCCACTGCATGGCTCTTAGAAACCTCATTTTGTTGGGACAAGGAGACTTTGTGCAGAATCTTTTAGATAGTTTGGCTGCTGATTTGAATGAGCCATCTTCTGATTTATATCGCAACAACCTGTTGGGTACTCTTGATGCGTCTTTGAGAAGCTCTTCTGCTGCAGTTACGATTGCAAATGCTCTCAATGCAGAAGGTTTGTAAAGTATTTATGCTTATTGTTTTAACATTTTACTGGATATTCTTAGACTCCACGATTGACAATTTCACAAATGAAGTATTGGATAGAATGGATGTGAGACTTTTACATCCCTCTTCTGGTGCACAAGGATGGGATATATTTAGTCTCGACTACAGATTCGATGTACCACTGACAAGTATTTTTACGAAAGATGTAATGGAAATGTATAGAAAAATATCTCGTTTTTTATGGTATCTGAAACGTTCGAACTATTTGCTTTGTACTACTTGGAATATGCATTTCCTTTCGTCTTCTGAAGAGCGTAGAAATACAAAACTTCAAATGAAACCAAATGCAAGAACGCTTTATAATAAGATTCATTTTGTACGAATGAAGATGATGCATTTTGTTGAAAATTTTCAGTATTATGTCATGTAATAGCAATTTTATCTCTTGTAGACAGTCTACTAATGTCATGGATTAGGTTTGAAGTTTTAGAGATTTCTTGGAACGAGTTGTTAAATAAACTACAAAAAGCTCAAGATATGGATGAGTTGATTCAAGCTCAACGATTATTTATCAGTAAAATACTTGAGAAACTTATGCTAAAGGAGAAATTTCGAAGTCAGTATGAACGAATTCGACAGCTATTGGACTTGACTGTGCGATATCATTCTTTTATGGTGAGTATCTAAAGTTGCTATCAAGTGGATTGTAAAGACTAAAGTGTTTTTCAAAGAGAACCTGGGCAATGCATAAAAGCATCAAAGACTTGGACTTTTCGACAGAGAAGGAGAAGGTATGTAATGGGATGTTGACATCGATATTTGAAATTATATATATATTTTTATAATTATAGAGAGATGAAAGCTTATTGTCGAAACTTGTACAGATTGAAACCCAATATGATACGATATTTGATGAATTTCTTTTAGATTTGCAAACTATCGAAAAGGACGAAACTCGAGCACTTTTATTCCGACTTAACTTTAATGGATACTACTCCAGCAACATGAATATGGCAAGTCAAATTACAAGAGAACGTCATCAGCATCTCTCCTTATGAAAAAGAGAAGGAATGGTGTCCATCTTAAAGAACATAAGTTTAAAAAGGAATACGTGCAACATTAAAGAAGCCTTGTTCTGCTTGGCCTCCACTCTTTCGACGTCGCTCCAAACCAAGACGAACACGAAGAGCTTCACCAATCGACTCATGAGGAGCTGCTTCCAATACTCTTGAAGAGAACCGGTCTTGCACCCATGTAGAAGAATGTCTTGGTGGTTCAACTCCTCCTAATACCTTTTCAAAAAGTTATCATTCACTATAGGAATCAGTCGTGATCAACTTACTCCTTGCTGTGCCTTGACCATTTCTAAAATACTGTCTTTGTAAAGTTTCTCAAATGCTTCTGCATTTTCTGTCTCGACAGCAATCTTGCGATGAAAAGTATCCAATACTTGAGCAATTTTCAAGGCTGCTCCTAAATATCCCAAATGAAGCGTCTGTGGAACATCTTTTGGATCCTAACAATAAGAACAAGGTTCAGTCATGAGTACCATCCATAAATATGGAATATAAACATATATTCAAATATACCTTGTCTAGTTTCTTCCAACAATCCAAAACGAGTTGCATCAAAAAATCTGCAAACAATACCCTTTCCGATTCCGCATCATTGCGTTGCAATAAGAAAACTTCAGCACCATCTGCGACAAGACTATGTAATAAACTATTGTGCTCAAAGGATATAAACATCTCTCCTATTGTACGGTGAATGTTGTTTACAATGATAGCTCGTACAGTTTCCTATAGAAAGCTTTAAAAACTAAAAACACTTGTACAATTTGAATACTTACAGGTCGAGAACCACACAAGATATCGACAAAAAATTCTGCAATACGAAGTCTCAGACGGCCAAGTCTTGGAAACGAGCTTTGAGAACAAAAAGACTGACCATAATTCTCGTTGGGTAGCCTCAGCAAGATGCTACGTAACACTGGAAATCTCTTTCTCAACATGGTCTCAAAACGAGTTGTGTTTAAGGAATGGATAGGAAGTCGAACTTCTTCAATAGGCGAATCCTTTCCTCTCATCAATGCGCGATACAAATCTCTCACCAAACGCAAAGAAGAGCAAAGTGCAATACCCAAATTATCGCCATTATAAACAGCATTAATACTATCATCGAGTATAATACCAATGACTTCTGGTTCGTTAAAAATATTAACGGCATTCGCATATTTTATGCTTTGATTCAAAGTTCGATCAGTAGAGAAAATAGAAGGTGTAGTAGTCATCATAACTCGAATAGTTATTCCCAAAATTGTCATACATATGTTAGCTACAACTTCTTCGTCATAAGGAGACATTGTTTTGCCTGACTGACAAGACTCATGAAAAGCATCCGCAAGAAGTTTGAAAAGATTGACTTTGGCCAACAAACGTGCTGCTTCATGATTGATAAATTCAAAATAAAGTTGCTTCGAGTCTCCATCATTGACTTCAGCTACAAGTCGAACTAAAAGTTCCGCGGATCGAGCTCTGTCCCGACCTGGCTTTTGAGTGCCATGACCTCTTATGTGGCTTCTTCTCCAAATAACGCACAATAGAACTCTAACTTTTTATGAGAAATTCAAATAAACCTTTAAATATCAAAACTTACCGGCTTATCTTGGATCATAGCAGCAATCACTTTTGCAAATCTACCAGCGGTAATAAGATTTAATGGAGCTGGAGACTCAAGATAGCTAAACAATTTATCTAATGCTTCATGATCTTCAACTAATACGCGACGAGGTTTCTTTGGTCCATAAGCAAGAATTTCGGAAGCAACATATGGATAGCGTGACTTGCGCCTTGCATCCATTTCTGAATCGTCTCGTCCACTTAATTGAGTAAAACAGTCACCTTCAGCTGCAGTCCGTTCTTCGTCCATAATCACAAAATGCACAAGTTGTTTCACAATATCCTTACGAGAAAGATAGTCATATACAACACGCACAGCATGTTCTGGAAGCTCTTCTGTTAAGTCATACATAGCATCCATTACTTCTTCTAATGTTCGCTGTCCGTATTTCGCTTCGTCTATAATCGACAAAAGAGCAGTACAGGGTAGATCTCCACTCGAACTACTGGAGGTTCTACTACGTAAAGCTTCTAAAAACGTGTTTCGAGAACCTGAACTCGACCTTCGACGAGAAGTTGTCTTATTTGATTTGGAAGATAAAGGCTCGGCACTAGCTGATCTTGTCATCTTGGACGAAGAATTTTTTGGAGCTCCACGGATACCCAATAAGCCTGATATGGAATTCGGATGCTTCGGAGGAGGAAATTTTGTCTTGCTCGTAGCTTTCGTTTCATTTCGTTTTTGTAAAGCTAAATGATCCAACGACTCTGACTTTTTAATAGCACTTGTGTCTTGCTTTGGCTTCCTTTCCACTGCAATAGAATCTAAAGACTGAGAATGGTGGATGATACTTCCCTCGGAACTCAAAGAACCCATTTGTTGATCGCTTTCTACTTTCTTTTCGGACTCTAATTCACAATTCTCAATAGGTCTATCCCGTTTCTTCAATACATCATCACCTGTAGCCAACTCATCTCCAAAAACTGTTTCCTCTGAAGAAGGATATTCGTTTTGTTCTAAAGTACCATTCTGTGGTGTTGTCTTTTGTCCAACCGATAACCCAACTGAGGAGACTGTACTGAGGCGTTTCGAGGCAACTTGGTCTACATAATCGTTTTGAGGGTGACTAAGAATATAACTCTCTTCTCTATCGGTTATTCTTCCTTCGGTGCCATTTCCATAGGGTTGTTTTCGGGACTCCACTTGTCTAATTCGAAGTATATCATACTAACAGTAAGTAGACAAAGAGTTGACATACCTCTTTTCAGTAAAACACGCCGACAATATCTCTATTAGCCCCATTTAGTGAGGACAAACTATACAAAACCCTCAAGTGTCCTTCCAAACTGCAAACCAAAGCATACTTGCTGCTGTTTATTTATGGGTCGTCGGTTCACAATCAATCAATCTTCGATGGCAAAATTTCGTTCAAAGATTTGCTTTTCTGTTTTAATAGCGATAGGAACTTAACGAAAATGCGATATCTCATGACTCATCCTTTCGAGATATTTTTGATAGAAAGATTGTTATTCTCTTTTCTGATTTTCAAGTTGTTTTCCAATACACAAGTTGTCATTTATTGAAATGCATAATTATCCTATTTGTATTTTGGGTTTGAAAATTTTCGACTAGCTTAGGGTCCCATGCAGTTGCAGTTGGTCAAATACCAAAGAAGGAACGTGCACTTTAAAACAGCTGTTTAAAACATGTCTGCACAAATTATTCTTTATCAGGATTCAGGAGCCTGGGGTATTCCAAGTACTTGTCCAAAGTGTACGGCGTTGCAAACTTTGTTAAGATTTGCCGATGTCAGTTATGCTGTTTCTCCTGGTGATTCCAGTCCTTCTATGACCGAACAAAATGAGTTACCTGTTTTAAGAGTTGTTAGTGATAAGGAAGATGTGGTTGTTCCTGGTTTGGAAAGTTGTGTGGAAGCACTAAGTTCGGTTGGTTATGACGCTTATGGAGGTCTAACTCCAGCACAAATAGCAGAAACCAAAGCCTTTAATTGTTTGATTTTGGATCGTTTGGATTTAGTGAGGCAATATGAGTGGTACTTGGAGGATAATAACTTTAGTCGTTGTATAAGCAAAGTGCGATATCAAAGTGCAAGTTTTCCCGTTAGATGTGTTTTGACTCGATTGGAGAGACACGAAATCCGAAAAAGATTGAATGTGACGGTAAGTAACTACATTTGGGTTGGATTCTTTGCTAAGCATCTGTGGTCTCTTTTAGCCGTGGATTCAACGTGGACAAATGTATCAAGTTGCAAAGGAGTGTTTGGAAGTACTTTCTACTCGATTAGGTGAAAGACGCAAATATTTCTATGGAGATGTTCCCCGTTTATTGGATGCCTTGGTTTTTGGTGAAATTGTTGCGCAGTTGTATGCTCCTGTTCCACATGGAAGGTTACGGCAATTGATTCTTGAGTATCCCAATCTTTTGAAGTTTGTAGAAAATATTAGACAGACCTATTTTTTCAATGGTATGGATGAACTGCAACATTTTGAAAAAGACTATCATTCCAATCATACCAGTCCTATCAGGACTGCATATGAAGCAGCATTGCATAGAAGCAGACACATATTCTCGTCCAAAAAAGAAACTTCTCCTATCGAGGAGGCACGTAAAGCAAGAAATAGGAATTTCATTATAGCTGCAGCAACCAGCTTTTTGATTTTTCTGTTGTTAGGAAACGATATGGAAGTGCAATTATCGGAATAAAATAGTTTATCATTTTTGGATAAATACATTCCTAAAAGTAAATACTTGTCATACAAACTGTTCTATTTTGAATAACGAAAATTCATATGGCTACAATGCTTCCTGATTTGAGTCCTTATAAGAGTATCGTTTTCCTCGACTCACTCTAGCTATGTTCAAAAGTTCTTCCAACAGTGGCCTTAAAAGAGAAAGTGGCCATTGTGTATGAGAGTCTACTGGAGCCTTATCCGGCTCTTCATCGACTTCGATGAAAATACCGTCAACTCCAACTGCCGCTGCCATTCTACCAATAGTTGGAATCAAATATCGTTCGCCAGCACTTACGACAGCACCATCTTTCATAGTACAACTACTTGGCTGCTGCAGTGCATGTGTAATATCCATAACTACAGGACATTGAGCCGCTCGTAAACGAACCAAACTACGAGGATCCACTACAAGGTCACAATATCCAAAACAAAACCCTCTCTCACAAATCATAGCATAATCATTGCCAGTAGCTCGAACTTTCTCAACAGCAGCAACCATCACAGTGGGTGAAGCAAACTCTCCCTTCTTCAAGTGCACTATTCTACCAGTTTCTGCAGCTGCTTGACATAAATCAGTTTGTCGACAAAGGAAAGATGGTATTTGCAATACATCGACAACCTCGGAGACTAAATTACACTGCCACTAGAAAACTAGTGAACACTGAAGACTAGTGGTCAACGAAAATCCTACCTACAGTCTCGTGAACATCTGTCAAAACAGGCAGGTCAGTATCTTCTTTCACAGCTTTTAGAATCTCAAGACCAGCATCCAATCCAACGCCACGAAAGGACAAGTGACTCGTTCTGTTGGCCTTATCAAAGCTGCTTTTGAAAATACACGGTATTTGGAGCTGTTCTACTATCTCTTTTATCTTCCTCGCCGTCTTTAACGTTTTATCTCGGTGTTCAATGACGTTATTTCCACATATGACGAAAAATGGAGGGCTTTTGGTCTCTGCAAAACTTCCAACAAGACGGTTCCAAAGCACTTTGCTATCATGTCGATGGCGTAATGCGGAACGACTCATTGACGAACTGAAAATTTCATACCACCTCCTAAACTATGAATGGTCTTTAAAATACGACAATGCTTTCTCAAAATGTGTTCAATCTTCATAACATCGGAAACAACGGGTAATAAATAAGGTTCAATTTCTTCAAGAGTCCAATTACTTTTCTTCTGAAAGAGCAGTTTTACACGATTATCGATATCTTCTGGCAAATGTGACTCAAACAATGCGTGAATCAACATTTTAGGACCAGCTTCTTCAAATATGGCAAGTCCAGAAAGCATTTCCATACGAGGCTGAAAAAAGTCAGGGACCCTATTTTGCCATTTTGTCTCAAAAGTGCTCCATTCTACAGAAAGACCATCTTCGTTGAAACTTTGAAGAAGTCCCATGGCCTTGAAGCGACATACAGAATATTCATCTAAAGTCAGATAGTTATCAGATCTAGGAATACAAAAGAAATCAAGACAATGTCGCACTGCGACCGAATACTGATCTCCGCAATACTTCAGAATCTCTTTAGCAGGAGGCAAACGAAGAGGCATTTCCCAGTTTTGCAGAGTTCCTGTAGAGATAATGTCATCTAAAGCGCGGTCAATCTCAGTGTCAGTCAAAATCTTCAAGCCGTCCTCAACAGGGACAATGTGCATTCTTCGCAACTCATCGATAAGCTGTAGTCTACTTATTTGAACATTGTCCAAGATTTGTTGAATATTAAGAGTGACTAGATTGTTAGATGATCTATGGTTGCCAATCAAATATCTCAAAACGTCGATTCGGGGGCCAGTGGTCAATAACTCCAAGTGTCCATGGAGTAGTGTAACGACAGGAACTACACAATCTTGAAGGAGAGAAACTTTAGAACAGTTATTCGATTGACTTGCTTGAACTGGAATTATACAGTTGGAGCTTTCTCGAAAGAACACCTTGAAGGTCTTTCTTTCTGTGCAAAAGTACGCTTCGTTCGCTCCGGCACAAGACAAGTTTTCCTCGTTTCTGTTGGGACAACCCACAAAATACGGAGCTCTTTCGTTATTTTCGACTAATTCAAGAAGACTTTCTTCCAACTCTACTAGAAAAATGTTATCTTTAGAAAAGTCTTGCGAGAATATCAGTGTATGTTGTGTTTCCATGAAATTTGAAATTTTTGGACCCTCCAATAGAAAATACAAAAAGGACTCTAAAGTGCATTTTATTCAGTATAAGAAAGAGGAAGAATAAGTGACTTGGTATAGAAAAATAACATATTTTTGCCATAACTTGTGATATTATTTTCGAAGACAGAGATCAAAATCTTATTCCATGACAAGAGATTCATTGTATGGATACAGTGATAGAAACTATTTTGAGTAATAACAAGTCTCTAACAACATATAAACTTCTTATCTCAAAAGAAAGGAAGCAATGACTTTCATTATTAGACAGTGGATCTCATGCCACGTGTTGAACGGAAATCGATAGAGCAATTTCTCAATTCCACGTGGCAACTTAATGGTGACTTTTATACTCTAAACACGTTTCGACGAGATCGACGTAACAGAATGAGAGTTATACAATGAAAGGATTGCTTGTTGAAAGAGACATTTCTAACGAATGAAACATATCTCTCGACATATCTCGCGATGTTCTTTGGACCTAAGTGCGTTAGAAGAGTCACAAAAGGAAAACCTGGACGGGAAGGAAAAGAATTGTGTCTTTACACGCGAGAAACGAACGACACCACCTTCTATATCCACGAAAGAAATAGAAAACGTTCTCAACCTCTTCCTCTCGTACGACCAAGATAAAGATGGCAAAATATCTATCCAACAGCTGAAAGAATTGTTATCTACACTGTTTAGCGAAGGAGACTTGGAAGATTTGTTTGCTCAACTTTCTGTAGATAGTTTGTATAGCAGTGGTATTATTGATTGGATCGGTAAGAAAGTGATTATCTCACGTCGTCGTTACAACGCTTATGATGTAAAATTGTAGAATTTTTGTTGGGCTATGGTCAACTTGTTGCTCGAACGCGTTCTTGTTCAGAAAACAACTAACTTTAATAAATAGACTCATTGTTTTTTCCTAATCTATTCTGCTTTTATGATACACAAATTATTATGCCTTCTTAACGGTCGAGCGGCAACCCGCCTACAGTGGCTCATCATCGTTTGGTTGTTTGTTCTTAACCAGGAAGGCTAGACTATATTCGCGTACATTACTGACCTTTACTGAACGAAAAGGAAGTAATGGATGATTCTGTGCGCACAAAAGACTTTGAATTGCCACTCAGGAAAATACGCAACGTCCTAAAAACTCAACTACGGTATTGAAACCGTCCTTGCTATTTGAAATAAAGCGAAAAAAGTCTTCTGGTTCCCTTTTTCTATCTTCAAAAGCTGCCTTCATAGATACGATTCCTTCAAACTCGCGCTCACAAAGTGAACAACTCAAAGTACTTGTGTCCACTCTCAACTCTGAAGTTTGACCACTGTAAGTACTATTACCTAAGGCTGTTGAGACAGATCTTGTGCTCGATTGCATATCTACCAGACAGTCTATATGGTAAGAATGACCACATAAAAAGTGGATCAATGGCACAGTGAGTTCAACACCGCATTTGCTACAACGATCATTCTGAATGATCATAACTGAATCATTCAACTTGCTTCTTTCTTCTTTTAAACTACGCATTTGACTCTCTAAAGTATTCAGAGTAGCTTCCTCTTCTTCCAGTTGATATCTTAATGCACTCAATGTTCTATCCATGTAACTCTGAATGATAGGAAGAGGTATTTTTCCATCTGAACAATTCATAAGGCTTTCTACAATACCCAAAGGAGTCATAATACCAGAACGATCCAATGCATCGATAGCTTCTTGAAGAATAGCTGGAAATCGTTGTCTTTCACGATTCACGTTATCCTTATACAAAGAAGCATAGAATTGCAATAATTGTATCCATAAGTTAGGTTCACGAATGCCATGACGACGACAAACTCTCAACAAAGATGCTGCATCTTCCTTCAACAAAAGCATCTGACCAACATCTGAATATTTTTTGGTTCTTTCATACAAATATTCCATACAAGGAGCATGTCCATACAACTCCGCAAGAGATAAGGCTTCAAAATCTTCGATACCGACTCGAGAACTTTGCAATAGATTGAGTGCCTTGTTGCTCTTCTTGTTCCGAGTAGAAACTGCAGGTCTTCCTATAAGCATTGTACTTTCATATAGCGTTGAAAGAAAATGTGGCTCAGCTACTTTCATGTTTGTTTGTTCAAAAGGGATCTTTTCTTCAGTTTCCAAAAAATTCATCGAGTCTGTGAATAAAAGAGACTCAAACCACATTCGACGTAATGTTTTCACATCCCAAAGAACAAGAGCGCTATCTACTTCGGAATTGAATATACTTTCAAAAAATTTTATCAAACCTCTTGGATTGTCTATATACAAATGACATATCGTTTGAATAAACTTCTCCCAATGTTGTTGACTTGAAGATGAATCCGCAAACAAACGGCAAGTCCAGTTACTCAACCATTTCATAAAATGGATAGAAGAACAATCAAAGAATCTTCTTGCATAAGATTCCAATGCCTCCAATACCTTGTAAGGTTCTAAACTAGAAAATTGTTCAAACACGTCGATAATATTGGATTGATTCTTTTGAAGACTCTGTTCAAAAAAGATATCGTATATCTCGAAAGACCAAGCAAATTCTTGTGCCAATGTTGTCAATCCTGCATCGATACACAACTCACATAGTTCTCTCGCATCTCGTTTCGATAATGAATATTGTACGATATCATTCCGAAGTTTCTCTTCTACCGATGGAGCATCATTAGATAAACTATTTCCATTTTCTAACTTTTCATATTTATAGCAAGTTAGCAATACTCGAGTATATGGCAGACTTGCATCACCGTGCAAGTGCAAAGCTTCTAAATATCGAATGAGAGCCTTTTTTGTACAAGGTTGATCACACAATAGCTTGATTGCTTTAGATGCGGGAATACCATAATGTATCCCTTCTACAAACTGATTAGCAGCAGATTCAAAGTCGCCTCTTCCTAAGAGATGAATTCCAAACTCCAAAAGAACTTGATACATCAGTTGGCGAGAAGACTCTGAAGGAAACTGTGATGCACAATTTCTAGCCAAAGCAACAGCTGCTTCATAGAACCTCTTTTGCATGAGTAAATGAACTCTCTCTCGAACCGATCTTTCTCTCAGCACAAAACATGAGCCATCTGTAGCTATGAACAAAAAATATATTTCTCTTGTCTCAACAAGATCAGCTTTCTCCATCCTACGAAATATTTCTCTTGGAGAGGAAATAGCACATAAACAAGCCAATCTTGTGCAGGGAGCCTTTTCTCGAAAGGCAATTAACTTGTGTTTCATATCATAAATCATCCACTCTCCATCTTCCATTTCATTACATACCTAAATATTTCTCAACAACTTGGAGTTATTCATAACAAGGAAGATACTAATTACCAAAATATAATTATTTTTGGAACAAACTTGAGAGTGTAGACAAGGAAATGCAATGCAAGGACCACGACCATCCGCATGAAAAAAATAGATAGCCTCATCTCGAGCAACAAACATTTCATCCGAATTACTTTCAACAGAAAACATAATAGAACAACGCATTTGTTCACCTCCTTTTCTATCTAATACTTCTCTGTGATAGGAAGCAAGAGAATAGACCTTGATAACTGCAACTGAAGAAGATGTGGTCAGAAATATTCTCATTTCTGAGCTATTCGGTGTCCATGATGAACAACTTGTCTCAAAAGAAAGAAAGTGAACTCCATAAGGTCCCGTTGTTTCTCCAGCACCAGGAAGAATTCGAAGCTTATTTGTTTTGTCCACTTTTATGTCTCCCATAAGAAGCAAAACTGTTCCATCTGCAAAACCCACAGCAGCGTTGTTACAATGACTATCTACAGCAACAGCGGTTGGTCTACTTTCATAACTCAAGTGCATCGTTGTGACCAATTTTGCAACTTCGGGATAAAATATGGCTCCAGTCTCCAAAAGGGAACTCGTTTGTTCAAAACTGGAATACAAATAATACAATTTGAGCACATTTCTTTCTCTATCTAAACTGGAAAAGCTACTACGGATAAGTTCAAATCCAACGAATGCAACAAAGTCATCCATTATCGAAGGAACTGCAGCATCGCACAAAGTGCTATTGGGTACTTCTATAATACCGTGCCCAAACATGGGTTCTTGAAGTAAAGAGGAACTATGTGAGAAATTGAAGTGAAAAGTTTCCATAATATTAGGTTGTCGCATAAATAATATTCTTCTTTGGGTTGTCAGAGGTCTCTTAAAACAAGAAAGAGCTGATTGCCGGAAAGCTCGAGAGGACAACAGTCTATAGAAAGGAAGCAACGTTTTGTCAATACCATCGTTTCTATTCTTGTCGGTTTGTTCTACTATAAGTGCGTTTGTTTCTTCAAGAGGACCGGCAACTTGTTCAATAGAAAAGAATCGAAAAAGTTTCCAACGAAACATAAAGACAAATTGTTGTGGAAGTCTATTCGGATACTATTTGATTGCCAAATGTGACTTGTGAAAACAAAATATAATAAAAGAAGAATGTTCTTTTTATATACTCTATAACCTTGTAACATACAACGTACTGGAACAAGGAATCACCTTCTCTCGAGTTGCATACCAAACATATCTACTTGGTACAGCAAGGTTATTTCCACTTCTCAGTTATAAACCAACAAATACGATCCCATCCGTTAAGAGTTTCAAATAAAACCACGTTCTTCAAGAAGCAGCAGAAGAATCTGTATTCACGGGAAGTAAGGATGCCGGAGCTTTCTCTCCCATTTCTTGTAGAGCTAATAAGGGTGATTTGGGTAATCGAATGTGTTCAGTTAAACGAACATATGCTACTTTGAAAGGGGAAGTCTTCAACTTCTTGGGAGTTGCCATCAACTGTCCCATACGACCATAACGAAGATAGTAAGTTTTGCCTCGACGAATACTCGTATGTACTTTTTCAACTTCAAATCCATAAAGTTTTTCAAGGATTTGACGAATTTCTGGCTTGGTCATTGTCGTTTCGGTTCGAAAAGCCAAGACGCGAGTCCAAGTGTGATCCTCAAAAGACAATCTTTAGCTAAACTTGTAACCAAAGTATGAACAGGATTTCTTACTCTTTCAACTTGTACATTTTCTGGTCCAGAGCTTTCCACTACATGTTTGGGTAAGCGAAAACGCAACCTTAAAGAAAAGTCGGGAAAAAATACTTTTGGAAATGACATTACCCAACAGAATTTTTCATTTTCAGTAGAAAGAAGCGATGAATCATTTTGAAGAGACTTTGTATTTCAAAGAAATTGGACATTTATTTCCTTTTACTAACTTGTTGAAATTATTTCCATTGTCTTTTCATATCTAGTCTTCATATGGTATACCAAAGTTAAGTTCTGAAGAAAGATTATTTTCGTTAAGCGGTTATTTGTCGAGTATTTTAAAGAATAATGGGGATTGAATTATCTTTCAAGACTTTTCCTATAATCGCACAGCTTTCCTATTGAGTTCTCTCTTGAACTAGAATTCTCTCTTTCTTTTATTGTTGTATAGTTTTGTAAATCGAAATGCTTCTTATCAAAACCGCCTCCCACAATGTGAATTGTAATCTCGCAAAGATTAAGAAAATGTTCAAAGGCTTTTGTATGTTGAATCCATTTCTCAATCGTTGCATATGAAAACACACAAGTTATCCGTGAAATGTTTCCTATTTTGCAGTTTGTTTGTAAATAAATATACTCTTTGCTCCTCTACAAGGATAATCTATAGACAAGAATATTCAGTGAGGAAGAGTTTGTTGCGCTATGCAAGTAAGATGGACTCCATTCTTTTTGTCAAGTATTCAATTGTTAATGCAAAGGTTTCCGATGCTGCAATAGATCTCAACTGAGAAATGATCTCCAAGGATATTCATCTGGTTATCTTTGTAAAGTGGTTGCACCAATTTCACGAAAAGTTATCTCAACTCCTTCAAGAGACTTTTTGGATAGAAAAACCAAGATTGCAAGAAGGTGTAGTTTCTGTGGGGAATTGGGACACAATTCTCGTACCTGTAATAATATGAGTGATATAAATAGGGTTAGAAAGACTTTGTGTCCCCGATGTAAAGGGTCTGGAGTAATTCCTTGTTCTTTATGTAGTTGCCACGACAGCAGAAGCATACAAGTGTGTGATGAGCAAGCAGTAGCATCCACTTTTGAACTGGCTAACTTTTCAAAACTAAAATTTATATACAAAGGAAAGAATTTGAGACAAGTATGTACGAAATGTGGAGGCAGTGCTCTAATGGTTTGTCCTGATTGCTTCGGATTCGTATGATATTCGTAATATTTGTTCGATACAAATGGGAACTGGGAAATATGATTTCACTTGCATGTTTACTCCGAAATGTTACTTAAAAAATTCATTAAACCAAAAGGATAATTGGAACAGATCAAGTCAACTTGAAGTTCTAAACACTTCTTCCAGTCTTCTTCGGAATCATCGAATATCCAAGGCATCCAAACTGTAACTGATAAACCTTTCTCATGAGCTGTACAAACTTGTTCTTTAGTTAAGTAATGAAAGAGCATCGAAACACCATTAGCATCACCATAACAAGCCTTTTGTGTCTATGTCCATATAAAACAAATAATGAATAGAAAAAACAAACTTACTTGTTCTACAAAATCCAAAGGAGTTGGCTGTCCCATATAATTGAATAAGTAAGTAATCTTTACATCGGGACATAATGCTTTCAGATGGGCTAAAGCTTCATGGTGGAAAGAGCAATAGTCTACTCTTTCTTGCATATGATACTTTTCTACAAGTAACAACAATCTCTGATGGTCACCTGACTCTTTTCTCTTCCACTCTTCACCTATATATGACTTTATATCTAACAACAATCCACAACTTCTGTAAACCCATCTCACCTTTCAATTCCAAATTCAACTTCAAGTTAAACTTTTGTTCTTCAATAGCAACAAATAATTCTTCCAATGAAGGAATTGTGTGTCCTCCACCGACATCCAATCTCTTTAGTTCTTCCAGTGAAAGGTCACCAATTCGACTTGTTCCATCCTTGTAAAAAGGGATAGTTCCTTCCTATTCCAAAAAGAATGAATATTGTACGCCATCTCTCAAGTACATAAGAAGCCAACCGGTGTACCGTGAAAAAGAACAATTTCTCCAGTTTTACAAACGCGTAAATCAGTTTCAATATACTATTGGAAAGTGAATCAACGATCATTGCATCGAGTGAATAGCATACTGGTATATTTCTCTCCATACAGAGAACAAAACTTCTTAAAGTATTTTCTGGTGCAAGTCCTTCCTTTCCAACTCCTCTATGTCCCACTATCTTAGGAATAATAACTTTGGACATCATTCGGTATAAAATATGCCAACGATTGCTTATTCTTTTCCCAATGGAGGATGGCGGTTGGAATACTATTGAATCTGATCCAGCAGTCTTTACTCAACTCTTGGAGGATCTTGGTGTCAAAGATGTCAAAGTAGAAGAAGTTCTACAGTTAGATGCAGCTTTCTTACGTAGTTTAGAGTGGGTTATTTTGGGAAAACTTTCTGCTTTCATAGTAACCAATCGTCATTAGGCCAGTTCACGGTCTCATATTTCTATTCAAGTGGTTGCCAGATCAAGGAAGCGAACAAGAATTGTCCTTTTCTCAAGATGTCGATTTATTCTTTGCCAATCAAGTAATCCAAAATGCTTGTGGCACTCAAGCACTACTCTCTGTTGTTTTCAATGCAAAGGACTTGGAACTAGGCTCTGAACTTGCCGAGTTTAAGGAATTCACCAAAGACTTTGATCCACAAACCCGTGGTTTGGCTCTGAGTAACTCGGAAACGATTCGTTCTGCACATAATAGTCTATCAGGATTGCAGCATTTCTCTTTTGAGGTTGGTTTTAGACTCTTTGATAGAGCACGAGTGAACTCAAAAGTCTATTTGTACAAAAACATAGTTTGATGAGAAAGAGAAAAGCGATTCTTTTCACTTTATAAGTTACGTTCCATTTCAAGGAAGGATTTACGAATTAGATGGTTTGAAGAAAGGCCCCATCTGTAGAGGTATGAAATGGTTGAGTTAATGAGTCCTGTTAACTGAAGGGAATTTTAGGTTCATATACTGCGGAAAGACATTGGACAGATGTAGCTATCTCAGAGATAGAGAAACGTATTGAACGATATGGTGAAGGAGAAATACGTTTCAATTTGTTGGCAGTTGTGAGGGATCCTTTAAAGATATGGCAACAAGTAAGCATACTGCAAAGGCACCTTTGAGATTCTGAAATAAGACAGGAATTGCTATCTTATCAAACTGCCTTGGAAAGTTGTTCTCTGGAAGTGGAACGGATGAGTATTTCCATGCAAATGAAGGAGATACAAACTCGCATGGAAGATGAGAAGAGGAGAAGTATTCGAAGAGAGTCGAACAGGAGACGGCATAATATGTTACCATTTATCTTTCATTTGTTCAAATGGTTGCATGAAAATAGTGACTTGTCATTTACATAGGAATATGAAAGAATGTATGAGACTTTATTTACATTGTTCGATCAATCCCTTCTCTCCCAATAGCATATACAACATGTACAGGTTTACCAAATGATTCCTTTCTCAACCCAAAATATTTCCAATAAAAGGAAGTTTATCAAATGGAAAGATGATTTCCATTTGTTTCAACAAGGATGGATGAGAAGGATTAAAAAGTTCGGCGACGATCATAGAAAAGAATCCTATCATAGCGAGACGCCTAGTAGATATGAGTTTCTATTTCTGTCGATTGAGAATATACTTACCCATTGACAGTTTCAGCATAAGGAGTAAACCCTTGAGGACCTCGATACTCGGCATTCTTCTTTGCTTGCACATTCTCTTCCAACTTTTTATAAGGAGACTCTTTCTGTTCAGTTGTTTCCGTCTTCATACTGATATATTTGGAATTCTTCATGCTCCTAGCCTGAGGAATAGAATGGCGAAAGGCTAGTCTTGTAGTTGTGCTCCGGCGGAATATCGAAGGAGACTGTACTAAATAACTACCAGTGATAAATGCTACCATTTCTCACAAAGCCCAAATAGAAAACTAATATTCATTATTTACTGTCACATCAGCTGCTTTTAAAATGCCCATCGAAGCTTCGAATTTACCAAAGCCATTCATTTGTTACTCGTGTGTCGAAGAATATGCCTTTGGAAGGTTAAGAATGTCGTGTTAAAAGCGCGCCAATTAATATAGCCATGAGAGGAACTGAAAAGTTGTCATCCCAGAAATTTACCTAAACAACAACAGATAAGACTAGCCATATTCTATAAGGGTAACCTACCAACTCGACAGCGGAACAAGCCAAAGTAATGATGAGGAGAGAAAAAGTAGAAAGCTCCTCAGTTCCGTAAAACTTCATACCTACAATATTAAAATATACAACGGCACAGTAGGAGGCAAGAAATCCAGCGATAGAAAAAGCCAAAGTTCCTATTACACTCTTGTCCCGACAAAAAGGCCACGTAAGTGACTTTCCCCAACGACGACCGACCACTTCTGCAAATCCATCTCCAAGGCAAAGCTGCATCAAGGCAACTATACCAAGTGGACTATCTTTCCAACAAAACAAGGTAACCAAAAAAGTCACAATGACATAATAAAGAGGACCCTTCAATGCTTCTTCTATGGAACCTTTTCGAGAGACTATCTGAAAGCAAGTTGACGATCACTACAGAAATAATAGACTTACAACTTACTTTGCTTATTGTATCACTCGACCAACCCTTTCCAGCAATCCACAACCGTAAGCCCATAATTAGTGGCACTAAACAAGCAACCCAACGTGATCCAGACGAATCAGTAAAGAACGGCCAAGTCAGCACAAACAGTGGAGTACAAGTCATGTGAACAATCTTTCTACTAATCGTTCGTTCTATCCAATTCTTGGAAGCGACCCACTGCCAGCAAAGAATCCACGCAGTAGCACCGAGTAGATCTGCAAAGGCTACAATCAAATCCTTCCTCTCAAACACAACTTCAGTTGATAATAAAAAAGGAGGAATACTAGAAACAGTGGACATAAAGTAAGAACCCGTAAGCGCCATACTAATTCTACAACGAAACTGTCAAATGTTTCAACTCAACAGTCTTAGTTTAAGCTCCCAACTCACGAACCTTTTCTAAAACTCTACTTGTTGTGTTTTCATAAAAGAGATTTTTCCTATGCTTTAAGAATACAGTAGAAACTCTCAATCTATTGGTTTTCTTATGTGGTTTTTGTTCTTTTATAAAGTTTGTTGCAAGCACAAAACAAGTATTCGTAGATACTCCATAGTGAAAAGGAATCTTACCAATCTCCACCATCCATTTCATGAAGAAGCTCATCCTTTCTTTCATAAATGCTTCTCTCAACAAACATGTTTAATAAAAACACGTTGTATACTTGGCGGAAATGAATAAAACGTATTCCAAACATCATTAGAAAATAATCCTTCGCTGGTTTCATACTCTATCCAACTAGGAATACTATTCCATCCATTCAACTCTGAAGAACACTCAAGGTCTTGGATAGTCCATTTATGAGGAGATATGGAAGTATCTGAAACATATCGCAAACAAATATCTCTTTCGGTAGCAATCATCTCAACTCCTTCCTTATATTTATCTGCTTCATCATATTTGCCTTGGGCTTTCAATACTATCGAAAGAGAATCCATTAACCACAGATCTAAATGCATACAATGCTTCATAGGAACATCAAACCATAAATATGAACAACTCCAACTGCGTAAAGACTCCAAGGCCAAACGTAAATTCCTTTCTGCTTCTGTTAAATCACCTGAAGCATAAGAAATAAGACCAAACATTCCCATCGTGTCTGCAAATAATGGTAACTCATCGAAGCCAATCTTTCGAACAACTTCTAATAAATCAGAAGCAGTTTGTTGAGCACTAAAAATGTCATTTTCTTGCAAAAAGAGATTGACAAGAATAATAAATGCGTTGGCAGTATAAGACGAATAATAAAGACCAAAACGTCGAATGGAATCCATTGCTGATAATATGGACATTTTGGCTTCTTCAAAACGTTCGGTTTCATATAATATATTACCAAGTAGTAATAAAGGTGGAAAGTAAGAATAACTGGAAATTTCCAAATGCAGTTCTTCCAGTAAACGAATGCTGTATCGTGCAAATGTTTCTGCCTTTTCCCATTGCATAGCGTCCGCATAAGACTCCGCTAAATGATACAATAATATGGCATCTTGTTCGCTATTCCAAGAATCATTTGGAATAGTATATACATTGTTCATTTTGGAATGAGATGAACAACAAAAAAATTCTGAACAACAAAGTCCCAAAGCATCTCCAAAATAATGAAGACGTTTCTCTGCTCTCAAACCAAAACGAAAAATACTGCCGCCACTGCTTAAGAAGTCTTGTAAACACTCTTTGCTCTTTCTTCGTGCATGTTTCAAACAAATAAGAATATTGTCTCGTTCTCTATCGATAAACTTCATCGACATTTTGCGTTCCAAACCTGATACATATATCTTGTGATCTCGAACTCGCTCCTTTATCTGTTCATAAAAATATTGAAAAATAGCTATTTCGGCTTCCAAAACAGCCCATCTTCTAGGTGAATTCAACGGTCTATAATAGTGCCATTCTAAATAACGTTTAACTAGAGGATTTAAAAAGAATCGAATATCTTCATCCACATAAATAAAGCCTTTCCACAAAAACTGTCGTAATACATCTTCCAAGACGTTGGGACTGAAGAATTTTCCAACTACCAACGCTGCTTCAAGTGTAAAAGAACTGGGAAAGACCAACAAGGATCCTAAAAAATTTTGAACATCCTTATCTAAGTTGGAGAAGCCTTGCTCTAGTTCTGCGACGAGATGTTTTCGAAAATTAGTAAAGCTGGAGAATGAAGGATATACCAAGGACAAGTTATTTCTAGTAAAATGAGTGAGCGTTATATCTTTTTCGTTATTGCAAGTCGTTGACTCAAAGTTTAAGTCAGTGGTGGAGTCCAACTTCAAAGAGGACGCTTGAGACTCAACTTTTCTACCAAGCTTCTTTCGTCTATAAGCTCTCTTCTGTCTTTCTCTCCTTTTAATTATTTGAGCCTTTAGTCGCTTCTCTTCTTCATTAAGTTCCGAATCCGGTCTACTTGCAAATAACAGTGGAGGTCTTCCAGTTCGATGAGTAGAAATCATTGAGAATAATGCTGTGGAACGACTTTTTCCATCGATAGGAAATCTTTGCATACAAAGATAAATTCTGCCTTGCGAGAAATGCGTTAACATCTAGTGTCTTGCAAAATATGGAATATTTTAGGACGCCTGATATATAAGAAATAGTATTCAAATACTGTCCTTTAGACTTGGATGGTTGAAAAGGAAATGCATCTTTTTCTGGAATATTATTGCAACTACTAACAAGTCGGTCTATATAAATGCAACATAAAGAAAGGACTATTTCAAAACAAAGTGTATGTTACTTTCGATTCCCAAAAATCATAAGTTTCATACTTCTTCCATCCTATTTAGAGGTTATTTCGACACTGCATTTGCAATTAGGTTATAAGACAGCTGTTTATAATCAGTTAACGTAATTTTCATATTTTATAAGCAAACTGACATGTGAAATCACCCATTACAATAAAATACTTCAATTCCCTAATGCATTTCGTCGTCCTCTTTAGAGTCACACAACAATTTTGATATCTGTCGTATTTCGTAATAAAACGTGGTTTCAAACCGTATCAAAATACTTGTCAATCTCGACTATGGCACTAATTCAAAGTGTTAGGATAGTAACGAGTGCTGTTTTTCTGCCGTGATGGGTACTTCACGTCGGACAGTGATCACTCGGAGAAAAAGTTAGTTGATAGAAAAACCGTGAAAAGGCGACTTCAACTTGAGAATATGTCGTTTTCACGACCTGAACTATCAAACAGTTTCTACGATACTCTTTTGTCTTATGCCACTCTTTCTCAACATTAAAAGTTTTCTTGAGATGGAACACAACTCGCAATTCAGAATAACCTTGTCAAGAATATAATCAACCTATGAAATACTAAAAGGGTGTTTATCTCAATGGCTTTACAAAGAGTCTACTGTTCATTATGAATAGAAAATGATTTTTATGGATGGTAAGAAATAATACGATCAGCATGTTGTTGGGATTCACAAGCTTATCCTTTTCCTATTTGGATTGTTCCTATACAAAGATAAAAAAACCACGTGTGGTTGGTTGTTGTTCTGGCAAGGAGCGTTTCTTTTGTCAATCTATAACGCGTAGAGCGATATTGTGTACAAAGGTAACACTCAGTACACGTCCGACTCTTTCCAAAAGTTTCTTCTTGTGGATGGCAGCAAAGGTGAAAAAGGATATGTTGGAAGCTGAAGGAAAAGTTATAGATACGTTGCCCAACGCAGTATTCCGAGTAGAGTTAGAAAATGGCTCTGTTATCTTGGCACATATTGCCGGAAAGCTTCGAAAGAATCTCATTCGAATCCTAGAAGGAGATAGGGTCAAGGTAGAAATATCACCATATGATATCACAAAAGGAAGAATTATTGTTCGACTTCGTTAAAACACTTTTGAGAGTAGGAATGGAGAACGTTAGTTGGGATAAATAAAGAAGGAATGACCGTCTATTTCGTTGTATCCAATGGGAGGTTGGAATGGTTACTTTATCCAATAAGGTATTCCATAAATCAACAAACCAATAACTTGACCCAAAATGACAGATATAGAAACATACAAGTACTTATGATGCAACCTTGACACAAATGATTACTTTTGTGGATATATTATTCCCCAAACAACTTACTTGACTATTGAATACATTTCTCCAACAAAAGTAGACACAGTGCTCATATCACCACAAAAGCCTAAAGACAGACCATGAAGTATAACAAAAGACCAATATTCATCATGATAAAGTAGAATAGCTGCAAAAGCCTATATTTCATGTTCAAAGGATGAACAAAATAAAAATTCTCTCAACTTACAGCATCAAATGCACTTGCTATCATATTCGTAATAAAAGTACCCTTCGGAAACCATACAACATTTCGATTCAAAGCTGCCAATTGCCAACGAGAAATGGCACCTCGAAAAGCTTATCTCAATAGGATATCCAAAGTTTTCAAACGAACAGTACCAAATGGACCGAATATACAAGCAAACCAATAGCTTCTTCTTTGTCTATCTGTATCTACCACAGCTGCACTTATAAAACCACCATAAACAACGACTAAAAAAATAAATGAAAATAAATCTATCAAAGCAACTTATCATTACCAAAAAGTATGAAACCTAAGAACAAAATTAACTTGTTCGAAAACCTTTGATCCTCTTGAGTAGTTGCTTGGCTAGGCTTCGTAACTTGTGAATTTAGCTTTGGTGTATGTTGCTGAATATCTTTGGAGTTGTCTTGCTGTTGTCTTCTTTCATATCGTTCATCTGAAAATGTTTTTCTACCCATTCTCTCAATAACGGAATTCAACTGGACAGCAAGATAACCAAGAAAGTCATCGGAAGTACTTGTACGACGAGAACTGGATGTTCTATGCTTTCGACTACTTAGCTCTCTCTGAATTTCCTCGAGATGATTCTCCAAACTTGTTCTGGAAATGGAACCAAACATGGAAGAGTCTCTTTGAGTATCATCAACATGAGGAGTCCAGGTGGATTCTACACCATTTCCTTGTGAAGTTTCTTGTTGTTCAAAATGTTCTTCATGATTTTGCTTTTCAATATGATTTCCTACCAAGCCTCGATTGACTAGTGTTCTAAGATAGTTACGAACAAAGCCTTTCAAAGCCAGTTCACTATGGAGACCCATCATAAACGAAAAATAGCACAATTCTACACCAATGACTAACTCAAAAAGTGCTGCAACTTTGTTTCCACCAGCAAACATTTCTACCGCTTGTTGATTCCAGGAAGCAAAAGCTAAATATGATCATCAAACGTTAACAACACTTTTGGTCTCTCCAATGCAGCACTTACTTGTCACAGAACCCATATAACCCGTAGTAAAAGATAAATATATTGTAGGTGCTGATTGACTTGGTATATATGACTTGCCAGCAACAAATATACCCATAAAAAAGGAACCGACAGCATTAGGTGGCAAGTCATAAAATAAAGCTCCAGTCTTTGAAGTCACGTCTGCGTGTTCAGGACCAAATAAAAGAGAAAGTCCAATTCGAGTTAATACTCCAAAAACGGAAAATAAGGAAAGCATCAAAACATCTCTTAATAAGTGTTCCAACCAGTGATTGGTAAAGCCATAAGCTTTGATATGATAAGGAGAAGGCTTATTAGAGATGGAAGCTGGAGTTAATATGGGAGAGTAATGTTCTCCTTGACGATACAATTCTTCTTCTATTCCATCCACAGCATATCTTTCCTCAAAGTCGTCCACTAATGAAGTACTCGCTGTTTGATGATCTTCGCTCATATAAGTTGTACACACACACAATCAGTAGAAATGTGTATTTATGAATAATACGGAAGAGGATGATGGCCTTCCTGTTGCACATTCACATATTCATGCTTCTTTACCTGTGGCTTCTTCTCTCAACTCAAGACAACGTTCTGAACAAATATCTAATCTTGGTCAGGGAGAAGCTATATACTCCTTCCCTAGTGGAAACGAAAATGGCCAAAGGAATATGCTTCCAGTTGCATATTCAACCGATACGTTTCATCACAACCCTAACGAAAGGTCTAATATTTCTCGAACTAACGTAAGAGAAGATAGAACAAACGTATTTACTCCGGATGCTCCGAGAAACTTTTATAGAAGTCACTCAACTCCTATTCGTTGTATATGTCCCTTTTGTGGCGTATTATTATTGGTTCAAAGGAGTTATGGACTTATTCAGTGTGGAAGTACGTATTATTAAGCTTGGCTTCTTTATAAAGTATTCTCAATACTTTTTATAGATTGTCGTTCTTTATTATCATTGGGTGAAAATGGAGTTCCTTCTGTTGATTTGTTATTGCAGTCTCATAGTATTGGAACTTGTTATGGTTGCAATCGCTTTATTATATTTCCTTCTGGAGCGACGAGTGTTCGTTGTGGAGGTTGTGGTACTATTACTGTTATGACTCCTCGAAATATGTTATCTTCTGCTATGTCTTCTACAAGTAGCACTAGTCGTACTGGCACACCATCGAATCAAAGATCGACTTCCTCTCACATACAAAGAAGTTTGTCCAATTCCTATTCCGGAGCAAATGATATTGCCACTGCTACAAACAGTTTGGATTCTTCTAACGTTGATCGATCTAGACCTACACGTCATTGTATTTGTCGTAAATGTGGTATTCGACTTTTGTTTCAAGGTTCTCCACAACGTGTTCAATGCGGCTCCTGCGGTTTTGTTACTACTTTGATTGAACCACTTCCAACAAATTCAGGTGTAGTCATTCTGGAAAATCCTTCGACAGAAGCGACACCCAAGTTGCTATTTGGGAAACTCATCGCCAAAGGAAGGAAAGAAAGAATATAAGATTATCACGCAATATTCAGTCATCACAAGTTTTCTTGAAGCGACATATTTTGTATGCTTATCTGGCAATTGTTTGTTTTATCTTGGAGTCTATTCAACCATTGCAATATTCAAGTGACGTAAACAAGCCCTGATATTCTACAAGGGAAGAAAGAGAAACTGTTAAAAGGATAAAGACACTCTTAAGGATATTTCTATAGATATGGAATACCTCAAGTGAAATTTTCTCATCATCCATAAATGAAATTGAACTCAAGTAAGTAGCAGTCATTTTTGGATATCGCATTTGTTTAGAAAAGTTTTTTAACATTTTCTATACAATGTCTATATTTAGTGAACATATGAGAATCAAAGCCTTATAGAAACTATGTTCTGTGGAATTTCAATGATATCATTTTGCATGTTTTACTTGAGTGCTTACAATTCCATTGCTTTATGAAAGATAGATTATAAATACTATCAGTAATTCAGTCGTTCTTATATGGCACTTGTTGATTGTACTTACTTTATCAAATTGTTTTGAATCTTTCTTTCCTACTTTGAGAAGATGCCTATAGAGGAAGTGATAAATATGTGTTCATCCTAAAATGATAAGCTTTGTTTCAATTCGAATGTTGTTGTTAATGTATTCTTTCAACAACGATCATCTCATAATATAATATCCTGAAATCCTTCAAAGAAAATGAAATGAAGGAACAGTACAATTGTTCAATAGAATTGTATTTTTAGGAACTGGTCAATTGTCCAATAGTGAATATGAAACATGTTGTCAAAAAAAGCTAAAAGTTTCAAGCCTCATATTCTTCCGGTGACCTTGAAATGGAGAAGAAGATGGAGTCGAAAGAAGAGAAAGTTATTTCTATTGGGAAGTTGCGTTTTGTTCCTATTTGTTTGTTACGTTGTTGTTGGTCGTCGTTGGAGTAGTTTTACTTTACAAGAGTCAACCATAGTCCGTGACAATGGGGAACTCGACAACAACTGGACCTTTGTTGATAGTTCGAAGAGTTTTGATGTTGCTGACTCGGAGGCCCAAGGTTCTTCATTGCTTTATCTGATCTTGTCTGGTCACAAAACAATAGAATCTAGAGGACCTGCAGTTTGGAATACTTGGGCATCTGTTCTTCATCCAAAGAATGTGTTATTCTTTACGGAAAAAGTAGATGGGATTTCTGATAAAGTTGATATACCTTCAAAAGGACTGTTGGTAGCTAATCAAAGACTTCCAAGTGCTCCCATAGTAGTTGTTCGACCTGCAGATTTAAATCGGGAGAAGAATATAGATTTCTTCAACGCTTGGAGTCACTTGGTAAGGCTACGAGTTGCCTGTGATAGACTATTGCAGAATGAAACATCGGATAGAGAACACGAGTGGATAGTTCTTGTAGACGATGATACATTTTTGTTTCATGATAGATTAGAAGAATATTTGAAGAATTTTGATGGATATAGACAGATGATATATATGGGTTTTGCAGAATATGTTCGTATCGATAATGGCGATAGTGGACCCTTAAGTGAGTTATTAAGAGATGTTCATGTAAAAGGTGGAAATGAATGGTGCACTTTGCATGGAGAAAGTGGACATGGCAACGGAACTTTTAAAATGTGCAAAGATGTATTTTGTAGAAACTGTCCTTGGATACCTCAGGGAGGTTTTATTGTATTATCTCGAAGGCTGGTAGAACATTTGAGACCTCATTTGGAAGAATGTGAAGTGGCTACCAAAGATGTTTGCACTTCTTGTGGTTCTCAGCGTCTTTATTTTTGTATTCAAAGATTTGCCTCTGAAAGTATTTTTCATCCGTTGTCAGATAGTGATCGTTCTCCTTGGTGGCGAAATAGGCGAAGTGGTGATGGTCGACCTATTTCATTTCATGGCTTTGATCAACAAGTAGTTGGAAATTTCACTATAGTTCCTTTTGTATTTGAAAGACTGTGGAATTTAGTGCAAAGGGCCAAGTCTTTACATAAAATAGTTACTTATGAGGATGTGGCAAATGATTTGGGTTGTAATGGAGAAGGTTTTTGGAGTCGTTTGGGAAATGTAGACGATGCTGGTATTTGCCAACTATCGGATGACAGTATTCAAATGTCACCAAGCAGTGAAGAATTGTTAATGTCCTATATGAAGTATGCAACTCCATTACGACCTCAACTTGGAAATGCACAAGTATCATCCTCATGGTCCATTGTAGAATCTTCTTCACAAGCCAATCATATTCCATCAGAGACAATTCCTTTTTCTCATATTTATGTATTGAATCGAAATAGTTGTTCAGAACGTTGGCAGTTGATGCAAGAAAAAGCTGCTTCATTTCATTTTCCATTGACTCGGTTTCCAGCTACCGATTTCTCCGAGTTTACTCTTGACAATCCTCCTGTTTCTATTTCTCATGCAAAAGTTGCTGGATTTTCAAGTTCTGTTACAACAGGACAAGTAGCCTGTACTTACTCACATATGAGAATATGGAATGATATATTGAAACACCAGTATCCAGTCGTCCTGATATTGGAAGACGATGTATTCTTTACAAAGGAAGGTATAGAAAGATTACCTTCTATTATGAAAGCAGTAGAGATGGGTTCCAAAGTACACCAAAAACCTTGGCATTGGATATTCTTTCGTAGACATGCCTTGGGAAATATCCAACTTGAGAAAGTGTGGTATTTGGAAGACAATTCTACAGATTCCAATGCGATAACTATTGCTTGTAGCAGTTGGGGTACATCGGCTTATGCATTGAGTTTACAAGGAGCTCAGTTTTTGATAGAACATATTCAAGAATATATTATGCCTTTGGATGTTCAAATAGCACAACTACAGGAAGACCTTGGAGAGGAGTTTGTTACTTTGAGTGCCTGTAAGAATGGTCCATATTATACTGCTCCATGTCCAGAAACCGTAGAAGAGTTTACAGATGAAGAAAAAGGCACATGTTCTTATTCCGCAAGTCAAATGGGAGATAGTAGAAAGATTACCGAATCATGAAACGTTGAAGTGAATCGTCGCCATCGCTCTCTTCTGGAAGCCAAAAATAGCAATGCATTGGACAAAGAAATGATTATTTTGCATTTTTGGAAAATATGAAAGCCATCTGTCAAGTCCGTAGTTTGTGTTTACTTTATTGCTTTTTATTTTGTATTGCTTTTGTAAACGGTGCTACAACTATTGAAAGTGTATTAAAAGCAAAGGGTGACTTTTCAGATATTATTGATGGGGCTTCAGAAGCAGGCATATTAAGTCTCTACAACAACCCTTCAGCTACTGAGACAGTCTTCACTCCCAATAATACTGGTTTGATGAACACACTGTCAGACCTTAATATAGGTGCTATTCAAGCCTTACAACTGTTGCAAAATCATACCTTGTTGAAACAGCTATTATTATATGGAACTGTCAATGAATCTATTTCTGTTGCTTCCTTAAGTAGCGGAACTCATCACTTTCCATCAATGTTAGGGCCCAATTTGACACTTGTTAAAAACTCCACAGGTAAGTTGTACAATTGCGTAAATTGAGAGCTTTTGAATAATTTTTGTTCCCGAATAGGAGCTTTTGTGAATGATATTCCCGTGATTGAAGAAGACGTTGCAGCAGGTTCTTCAGAGATCCAAGTAATAGAAACTCTTTTGATACCTCCGAATGTACATATATCTTAGAAAGGAAGCGTTGGTTTGGATGTTTGTTTTGTTATATTTGTGTGTTATAAAAGTGCATATGAGTAGTTTTACAGGAAAATATTATTTGCTTGTTCTATTTTGACTTTTATTTATTGAATATTGTTCTTTTATGACAAAAGATCAAGGTTAGACAACCAAGCTTTGACCTCACTTCAAAGTCTGGAATATTTTCTTCGCAGCCTAACGAAAACAAGAACAAGTCAAAAGCGGAACACTTGGACAATAGTTTTTGCTTACGCAGTGATCTACACAACGCCAAAAGTCCAAGTATTGTCCAGTACAGTGAGCTTCTCCAGTTGTATCATTTTCGATTCGTTTGACACAAGCTCGATATTCCGCCCATTCCTAACAATCCAAGGTTATTGATAAAACCTTTTTGAATGAAGCCTCGTACGTGAGAGCAATGTGGTTGACAAGATTCTTCTATTTCGGGTTTCTTATCCACTGGCTCTTCTTCGGACATGGCGACTCTCCAATAATAATCCAACTAATTCCCCCACCAATGAATAAAACAAGTAATGAAAATAGAAAAGTGTGTTAGAAACCTTGAAAAAATAAAACAATTTCCTTACATTCTTCTTGGTTACCTATTATAGAATGTATTTTGTCTATAACTGGAACGTATTCTTTTCAAACACTGAAACAGTAATTTTATATCATCATGGAAGGATGAATATTAAGAAACTGCAATATCATTAGATATATTTTGAACTCTAATGGGAATGAAAGCGAACCAAATAGTTGATCATTTTCCACAAAGGTGGAGACCTCTGGAGTCAATAAAGTTAACATATAAGGTAAATAGGTAGGAAATTCTTATTCATGACAAAGACCATTAAAAAACATTTCTAAACGATATCGATATACTTCATCCCTTGGCTTTTGAATTTTCTTACAATTCTCTTCGTATTGTGAAGTGCAGTCATTTCAAGAATACTTTCAGTGAAATACTGTCTTTGACCATTCTTGAGTGTTGTTGATTTGAAACTGATGACATTATCACTTGTATTCTCAACATAGTATCGGAAAGAGACGTTTTATATTTTACACAAAGACGAAATGTGAGAATTCTTTTACTTATACTTATTTCGTTTGCTTTCCCAAGTGAAGAGAATGAAAAGAATTAGTTTTTTTTGTTTTGTAAAATGAATTGAATGAAGAGAGAATATGAATCGTATTATCATTGTTAAACGATACTGTTGAAGACCTGAATGAATAGTTGGTGGTTGAATAAGGAAACCATCATCTTTGGTTTTATACTTTATCATAATGGCGGCAAGTTTCCTATGCTTCCTTTTGAGAAAGAAAAGTTTTCCAGACGTTCTCACTGTTCCCGTTGTAACGTAGTTCGATACAAAAGCGGCTTCCCCAAGTTGCCTAACAAAACGACTTTTGATTTGTATATGCAAAATGTTCACAATGAAAAACATCATACAACTGTCTATGACTCTCACGACAAAGCAAATGGGGCGATACAGAATATAGAAACAAAGATAGATGCCCATCTAAAAGTGGAACCTCTATCGTGGAAACAGATGGAAGCTGATCGAGCAACCCCTGGACTATCCATCTTACCCGGAGATTATGTTGTGCATATGAAATTTGGTGTAGGAATATTCAAAGGAACGGAATACAAGTCTAAAGATAATACCATCTATCGAGAATATTTTATTGTTCAGTATAGAGACGGAAAGTTGAATATTCCAGTAGAAAGAGCCAACGAAATACATCGCTTTCGTTCCAGAGAATCTGTAGCTGTACAAAGAGTAAGAGCACCTCGACTCGATAGTTTGCGAAAGAGCTCGAGTTGGGAAAAGAGGAAGAAAAAGGCACTTGTTTCCATCGATAAACTTGCAGTGGATATTGTCAAATTGTATGCCATTCGAGCAGAACAAAAACGTCCTAGATATCCTGCAGATGATATATTACAAGCCAACTTTATCAAGTCATTTCCCTTTGAGTTGACTCCCGATCAACTTGCTTGTATCGAAGATATTCGAAGAGATATGTGTGAAAGAGACTCTCCTATGGATCGACTTGTTTGTGGTGATGTTGGCTTTGGAAAGACGGAAGTTGCTATGCAAGCTATATTTAGAGCTTTTAGAGCTGGAAAACAAGTTGCTTTTATATGTCCTACCACAGTATTAGCAAGTCAACATTACCGCACTCTACAGAATAGAATGGAAGACTTTGGAGTGAAAGTTGCTTTGTTATCGAGACATTTTCCAAAGAGAATGAAAGAGAGACGACAATTGCAACAAGATTTGAGTTTGGGTCATATTGATGTTTTGGTTGGTACTCAATCTTTGTTGTCAAACAAACTAGAATTTGCAAAACTTTCGCTTTTGATTATTGATGAGGAGCAATGGTTGGGAGTCAACCAAAAGGAACGCTTGAAGACTATATCTACTTCTATTGATGTGTTGACATTGTCGGCAACTCCCATTCCGAGAACTTTACATATGGCAGTTGGTAATATTCGAGATATGAGTTTAATATTGACTCCTCCAAAGGGGCGATTGGCAGTGGAGAATTTTGTATTGGCTTTTGATGATCCCTTAGTGGATAATCATATTGGAAAGGAACTCGCAAGAAATGGTCAAGTAAGCCGCTTCAGAATGTTTTCTATGGATGGATGGTATTGAAAGTATTGAATATTAGGTTTATATTGTTTGTCCTCGAATAGCCGATATTGATCGAATCGGACAGTTGATAAAACAAAAGTTTCCTCATTACCGAATATTATATGCGGATGGAACTATGAAAGATGTCGAAGATCGCATTCTTTCCTTTAGTTTTCATGAATATGATATTCTAATTTCAACTTGTATTATAGAAGCAGGAGTGGATATTCCAGATGCGAATACTATTATTGTGTACAGAGCAACTAGTTTTGGTTTATCACAATTATATCAAATACGTGGACGTGTAGGTCGTTCGAAAGTTCAAGTATGTGAATGTAACAATGACCAATCCTCTTCTTTAGTCTTCTGATTATGTTTAGGCATTTGCTATTTTCACATTTGATCCCAAAGTAGAAATGACGAATGAAGCTACCGAACGTCTAAAGGCATTGGAGCAATTGAGTTCCTTAGGTAGTGGATATGAAGTTGCCAATCGTGACTTGGAAATTCGAGGTCCTGGAAGCTTGATTGGAATAGAACAGAGTGGAGAAGTTGGTTCCATTGGCTTTGAGATGTATATGAATCTATTAAAAAATACTTTGGATCGACTTCGAGGAAAACTGGTTCCTGTTGTTGAAGATTGTGAAGTGAATGTAACTTTACCAAGTTATATTCCAGAGTCATATATAAAGGTTGAATCTGAAAGAGTAAGTTGCATATGAATATCTCAAGAAGGGTGTTGATGAATGGAGGAGTTTAGATGGCAGCTTATCGAACTTTGGGACAAGTGACGAATACAAAAGAAATGGATTGGCTTGAAAATACTTGGAAATATAATTATGGTGAATGTCCCTCATCTGTATCTTGTTTATTTCAAGTATCCAGAATACAGTTATTGGCTCGAAAAGTAAGAACTCTGTATAGAAAAAATTGCAAGTTTCTCAAATTCATTTGTTGTTGTTGTTGTTGTTGTTGTTAGGTTGGAATTTCGGCTATATGCATAGAAGAAGACTTTGTGCAAGTTGTAGTAGAAATGGAAAAGTTAACGTGGGATTGCCTTTGTGCCACAGTGTTCCATTCAGTTGAGAATAATAATAATTCCACACATCATGAATATTTACGTTCCTTTGTATTGGTTCGAGAAGAAAAGGAAAGAGACCCATTAGAAAATAATATCATTGCTATACGTTCTGTATTAAGGTCTACTATGATTGCAACCGTTAAGGATCCAGAAAGAATACTATACATTTTGCGGCAAGTTTTACAAAACATGGCGAATGTGGCAGAAAAGATGCGTTTTCAAGAATTTCAGACGAAAGCACAATAAAGCATCCCATGAAAATATCTCAAAGCAAAATGGAGAAAATGGCCATGGGTAGTATAAGAAGACTTTTCTACTCACGGAACTATTTGATTCATCAACTTAGCAGTAAGACTCCTACTCTTTCACATTATCAGAAATGTCGTACTTTGTCTGTTGAAAAAGAGCAGTTGGAAACTAAAGGTGGAGACCTATCTTCTCTAAAGGTAGCTTCTGCTCTATTTTCTGCACCACAATTGGATAGTGACCGACAGAAAGTCTCCCGATTATACAAGTTAGGGAAGTTGAACCATGTGGCTGTTGCAGTGAAGGATGTTCAAGATGCCGCAGAATTGTATGAAAAGGTATTTGAAGCAGATGTCAGTAAACCTGTGCCACACGTGGAGATGGGTGCAACAGTCATATTTGTCAGATTGGGCAACACTAATATCGAACTTATGGAGCCATTAGGGAAGGCAAGTCCCATTGAGAAATTTCTAGCCGGTAATAACTCTGGTGGAATACATCATATATGTTTAGAAGTGCCCAGCATAGAAGCAACTATACAGCGATTGAGAGATAATCACGTGGATATGCAAACAGAAGAACCTGTTATCAGTGACCATGGAAAGCGTTCGGTATTCGTGGATCCTAAAGACTCCAATGGTGTGTTATTAGAATTAATGGAGGAAACAACTGCAAAGGGAGTTTCTGCTTGATAAATAGAAAGGAACTAAAAAATGTTGTTGTTCATAGATTAGCCTTTTGGAAAATGGTATTCAATTTCTAAAAGGCTTTCTGAGAAAACTTGAGTTTGCTATAAAGTGCTTGAGGAATGAATGACTATGAGGAATTTACATTCTTGTTTAACGGACTCTGTTCATTTGCTTTTGTTAATGACTGCAACATTCTATGCCAAAACCATTCAATGTCCATCTTCTGTACTACATTGACATTCTTTGGTTTCCTTAAATAGCGACCATAAAAGTCTCCAACAGTTTGACCTGCACAAAGTCCTTTACCCGTTTCCACTTCAACTCTATTATACAATGAATATATATATATATATATTGTAGAACCATAGCTTCCACATGTAAAGGCTTACCTTATCAACTGCGTTTCAAAACGGGAAGCATCCAAAACATATGCTACTGCACATGGATCATGTAAAGGAGGTGAGGCAAAACCAAAAGTTTCTATAGTACATAAAGTTATGAGCACTTTCAAGCTTTGGTAATGAAGACAACTAACTTTGATAAGAATTGCGAAAAAATTCAACAAGTCCTGCCATGTTCTTAGCAAATGGAGTATTTAAAGCATGAATTCTTCCTAAAATATCTTGGGTGACCAAAACTTGATGAGTCAAGTCTAAAGGGACCATAGTCAAAGAAACTCCACAATGGAAGACAATATGTGCTGCTTCTGGATCATGAAGTATATTAAATTCTGCCGTTGGATGAATGTTTCCTCTTTCAAAAGTGCCTCCCATAAATACGATTCGAATATTACGACGAAGTTCAGGATATCTAACCAAACAAAATAAGAAAAAGAAGGAGTGCTATCCAATCGTACTACTTACAGAGTAACAAATAAAGCAATATTTGTCAAAGGTCCTGTAGCGATAATGGTTAATGGAAACTCTGGAGAATACAATTGAACAATATCAGCCATAAGATTCCAAGCTTTCCTTTGATCTAGTTTTGGAATGACTGTTGAAGGAAATTCAGCTCCGTCCATTCCTGACTCTCCATGGACTTCCACAGGATGTCTTCCAACTAGAGGTTGATGATAAGAAGTATCATAATGGGTAGAAACAATTAAAGAGATTGACTCTTCTTGACTTTCTAAATGAAGAGAATGATTCAGTCTCACGTCGTGGAACATTCCTTACATATTCTCCTTACTAGGTTGTGCCAATTCCGGAAGCATGAGAGGAGCACTAGCACCTTTGGCAACAGGTATTGAGTTCTCCTGAAAGCCACAAGCGTGTAAAATACGAAGAGCATTGAGAGTTGTCTTTTCCAAACTTTGGTTTCCAGAAACAGTTGTTATGGCCAACAGTGAAAGTTCTTCTGGACTAAAAGCTGCCAAAACTATGGCAAAAGCATCATCGTGACCAGGATCACAATCAAGTATAACAGGAGTGGGTCTCCTTTCCTTCATAATATCAACCTTATCTTGTAGGGCTATTCCTTTGTACAAGTTAGTCATTTCACAAAAGAGAGAATAATAAACAATGATTTGTCGATTGTTAATGATGGTGTATAAGAAGGAGATTGTTTAGGAAAGGAATGAAACGATAACTTGATGCAAGTTACTACAGATAACGAGAATATTCCTGAGACTGGACCTTTAACAAAAAGACCTTCTGCAGAACTGGTTGGAGTGTTACAGTCAGCCACACCTCCAACTTCTCCAGAGTCTTCAGTTCACGGCAAATTTTCCCAAAACCGAATATATAGTCATAGTGTTCATGGTGGTAATATATACGCTTCTCGACCCATTCCATATCCTTATAAGACACCTTTGGCTGGAAAGAATTCTGATGTTTATAGGAAAGATTCCACTTTCGTTGGACCAGAGGAAACAACAAGTGAATTTTTGGAAGACAATAACCAGATTGCAAGTAGTGAAGGTAGCTTGGTAGAAGATAGGTTGTGTATGAAGGAGGTAAGTGGAATATATATATATATATATATATATATATATCCTTGCATATTTATTCTACGATTGATTGGATTCAGTCAGTTTCACTTTCAGTGAATGAGCAGGTCGCCAAGTTATTGAGTGTTGAACAACAACTGGCAGAATATCTTAGAATATCGCATTCTGGAAGAGTACAAGATTTGAGACTACTAAGTCACTGGGTATTTGTATATGGAACTTTGAAACGGAGTTTTCCCAATTCACACTTATTAGAAGACGGTGCCTTATTTGAAGGAGACTTTATGACTTGTGATAAGTATCCTCTCGTGATAGGAGGTCCTTATTATAGTCCTTATTTACTAGATATGAAAGGATACGGAAATAATGTCCGTGGAGAACTATATAGAGTGTCCAGTGAATCCTTGAAGGAATTGGACAAGTTGGAAAATGTGGGAGTCAACTATACCAGAAGAGTCATACCTATTTATTCAGTGAAGGATCGTTCTTTCATTGTGAAGGCCTTTGCTTACTTAAAATGCAACTATACCGATGAATTATTGCAAACCAAGNGGTTGAGTGACTATCAAGACCGTCGTTATGTGCCTAGACAGTTAAGACCCAAAGATGATAATGCACAGTCATATCGAAAGACTCAATCCATGCAAGACATATTTTCAGCCGATTCTTCAGCCAATTGTAACTAAAATGATTCCTTATAAAACTTTTATTACAAATACATATCTTGCATCCAAGACTCTGGTTGATGACCATGACAATGTGGACATGTTTGCCAACCTAATCCTATTCATTCCAATAGCTGAGACTTGTGCAGTTTATTCTATTTGAATAATATTTACCTAAACAATGAATACAAATTGCTTTGGCTCTCCCTGTCTGAGTATATCGAACACCCAACGTGTTGCAATATGCACAAGGCTACTCGACCATTTCAATATTCACAAAAGTATATGCCATCTAACAATATTTACCTTGAAACCGAAGGAATGACACTTTTCACATATTGTTGGTTGCTTCGGTTCTCCCCATTCTACTAGTCCTATTTCACGGATTCGATTCCTTAATACCGAATGCCAATCCACGATGGGAGCTAATAAACCTGAAAAGAACACAGAAATTCGTTTTTTCAGTCTCCGAATACGTCTTTCTGATCGAGAAAGTAAGTAAATAGTCTTGGGAGTTTCTTGTTTCTTCTTTACAGAAGAAGCTGCTGCTCTCTGATGATAGCGCTCGATGCTCTCTTCTCCACTCATTCTTTCACCTCTTCTTGCTGCTTCCACTTGCTTTTTCGCTTCCCAAAACATTTCGTTGATAAGGCTAGGGTGGTCTATTGGATTGATATTTTCTGTCAAAGAAGGCTGCCAATTGAAAACTCCTCCAGTATTCTCTGCATCAGGGTTGTCTTGTACTTTGCACTTCCACTGCAGTAATACTCTACTCTTGCGTAAATGAGTTGTTCTTAACCAAATATCAAAATAAAGGTGTTTAAACTTTGTTAGATGAGTAGTTGAAGTATTATTTGTTCGAAAACTACAAAGTTTTGAGTATCTCGGGAGATTTGCGTTGACAAACATACAGAAATGACTCAATGAGAATTGGTTTATTTTTTTAAAGGGTTGATGGTGGATCTTATTCTATTTCTTTAGAGTATGATTTTCGTTATTCATAGCATTGCACAACGAATTTATTGTAACGAGTTGCATATTTTGAATAACTAACTATGTTGATGGACATGTGAAGGGATTGTAAAAGAGTTTATGATTGATTGATTGATTATGACGACTACACATCCAGCAGATGCACCTTCCAACTGTCCTGGAACAGAGTCTGAAAACGCAGGAAAAGCAGACGCTTGTGTAGGTTGTCCTAATCAGTCTTTATGTGCTAATGGAAAAGGCACTCAAGTGGACCCTGATTTGGAGCTCATATCTTCTCGTCTTTCTCATATAAAACACGTGATTTTAATATTATCTGGTAAAGGTGGAGTTGGAAAAAGTACATTTGCTTCGCAGTTAGCTTTTGCTTTGGCAAGTAGAGAGTATTTTGTAGGTCTACTAGATGTGGATATTTGTGGTCCTAGCATTCCATATATGTGTGGAGTTGAAGGAGAGGAAGTTCATCAAAGTATTACTGGTTGGCAACCAGTTTATGTAGAAGAAAATCTTTCTGTTATGTCAATTGCCTTTATGTTGCCAAGTAGAGAAGACGCAGTCATATGGAGAGGAGCAAGAAAGAACGGAATTATCAAACAGTTTTTGAAGGACGTGGATTGGGGCTCTCATTTGGACTTTCTTATTATTGACTCACCTCCGGGTACTTCTGATGAACACATAACTTTGGTACAGTGTTTAAAGTATTGTCATATTGATGGTGCTATTATTGTCACGACCCCTCAAGAAGTATCGCTATTAGATGTTAGAAAGGAAGTTCATTTTTGTCGTCAGGCCTCCATTCCAGTATTAGGAGTTGTGGAGAATATGTCCGGTTATGTTTGTCCCTGTTGTGGCAATTGTTCAGAAATATTTGCACCTACAACAGGAGGAGCTCTGAAAATGTGTCAGGATTTCGCAATTTGTTTTTTAGGTAAAGTTCCGTTGGATAATGAAATAGCATTGGCTGGTGAAAAAGGAATTTCACTTTTTAAGGAAACCAGTACGTCATCTCAAGGTGTAAAACATCTTCAAAATATTGTGACTCATTTATTACAGTTACTGAATATAGCTAAGGAATAATCCTTATCAGGTATGATAATCATAAAAGCCACGACCTGTTTTCTTTCCAAGTCTGCCGGCATCGACATATTTGATCAACAAAGAACTGGGTCGATATTTGTCATCTCCCAATTGGCTATGAAGTACTTGCATGATGGAGAGACAAGTATCCAAACCTATAAAGTCTGCCAAAGTAAGAGGTCCCATAGGCACACGAGTTCCTAATTTCATTATCTGATCGATATCTTCTTTACTTGCAAGACCTTCTTGAAGAGCACAAATGGCTTCGTTGATATAAGGCATAAGAACTCTATTGGAAATAAATCCAGGAGAGTCTTGAACAACAGAAACCTTCTTATTCATCTTTTGAGCCAAAGATTGAGTTATTTGAACAGTAGCCGCACTGGTACTTAGACCAACAACCAACTCTACTATATCCATCACGGGAACTGGATTGAAAAAGTGCATACCAACAACTTTATCATCTCGACCCGATTCCTGAATAGTTGAGGCAATCTTCGTAATCGAAATAGAAGAAGTATTAGAGGCAAGGATAACATCAGCAGCGGTTATTTGTGCCAGTTTTTGGAAAATGTTCGTTTTCAAGGACAAATTCTCAGAAACTGCTTCGATAACAAAGTCACAGTCTTTTAACCCTTCCAAGTTCCCTACAGGTCCTATTCTTTGTAGAATGGAAGCAGACTGTTCCTTATTGACTTGATTCTTTTGAACAGCTTTTTCCACTTGACTATCTAACGTAAAACAAGTTGATTTATGCAGCGTACTTATAGCTAAATAGAAATTCTTACTGATGTATTCCAACGCTTTGGCACTCACTTGTGGATTGCTATCATACAACAATACTTTAGCTTCAGCATATTGTGCAGCAACTAGAGCTATTCCAGATCCCATCTGACCACAGCCTACAACTCCTATTGTTTGAATATTGCTCTATGCACCATGTTCAACTTTTGATCGACGACGATAACTGCAAGTCTTACTCTAGGCACTACAGAGTGAGATGTATTTTTAGTATCCTTAGAAGACAACATTCTCTTGAACAACCTGACGGATAGATTGTACTGTTGAAATGCTCTATACCAGACTTTAAAAGTATCTTTCCAAACAACACCAGTCATCTATGTGAATGTCTATGGGTCAATACAATTTCCAACAACTAAAACTTTTTGGGTTCCTTTCAATTGTTACTAAATATAGTAACAAGATTGCCAACAAAATCAACACAATTTACTTAACCTCTTATTTAGACAAGGGACATGTCTTTTCTTGAAGCCACTTGAAAGCCTTTTCGTCTTTCAAATGAGGTGATACCTTATCAACATAAAAATAACTTTTGAATGTAGAAATAGAAATACAGCACTCACTTTGTTCCAACATTCTTCGTGATAACGATTGATCCAGGCCAGTTCTTCATCAGTCAACAAGTTCAAATCTATCAGTCTATTTTCCATAGGAACAAAAGTAATGTGTTCAAAACCAAAATAAGGCTTTCCTCCAAACTGATTGGGAGTCTTCACACTCTTTACCAACAAAACATTTTCTATTCTTATACCAAACACTCCATCTTCATAATAACCTGGTTCATCTGTTACCAACATATTAGGTTCCAATGCAACTTCACTAGCAGATGGTCGAAAACTTATACTTTGAGGTCCTTCATGAACGTTCAAAAAGGAACCAACACCATGACCAGTACCATGACGATAATCCAAACCAACTTTCCATAAAGGAGCTCTAGTCAAACAATCCAAAGCTAATCCACTCGTGCCTTTGGGAAATATGGCGGTATCCATTTGAATATGGCTCTTCAATACTCTTGTATAACATTCTTTTTCTCTTTGCGATGGAACACCAAAATGCAACGTTCTTGTAACATCCGTAGTGCCATCTCTATACTGACCTAATTACGACAGAGTGATAAAACAAGTGGCTTGAATTGCTTTGGCCAACCTCCAGAATCACACAAATAGATATGCTCGTTGTCCACTCGTTTACAATCCTTTGGGTTAGGTCGATAATGAATGATAGCTGCATTGCTTCCAACTGAAGAAATAGTTGGAAAGGATAAAGAGACAAACAAACTCTATACAATCGTCCATTATCTTTCAACACACTTTTCAAGCAACTTACTTGTTTGCTTCTCAAAGAGTCTAATATGTCTGCTGCCTCACATTCTGTTGGTTTTTGCTGTTCAACTACGACTTGATGTTCCAACCATGCAAAATAAGTAATGAGAGCTACTGCATCTCTTACATGTGCCTCTTTAGCTCCTTGAACTTCTTTTTCATTCTTTACTGCTTTAAACCATGAAATAGGACAAGGGTTTTCCACAATCTTCTTACAAGGAGCATTTTGACAAACTTGATAAAGAGCCATATTTCCCTTGTTTTTATCCAACCAAACCTGAAAGGATATCTTAAGCACTCTATTTAAAGAAGCCAATGTAACTTACTATGCAATCTTTAGCTTTCTCTTGCAACACTTGAAAGATATTTTCATATGGAATAGTTTGTATATTTTGTTCTTTTAAACTCTGTTGAGCTTCCTTTTCTAACCGACTCGAATCCATAAATAATAGACTTTGAGTTTCAGTAATAATAGCGTAAGATAAGAAGACAGGATTATATTCTACATCCGAACCGCGGAGATTGAAAAGCCATGCAACCTTATTAGGAATTGAATATGGCTTATTCAACAAGATTATGTAATATCAATGTACATACCTCATCCAGTGCTGAAACAATCAATAGATTGCAATGGTTCTTTGCCATTGACTCACGAACTCTTGCTAGTTTACTTTTTACTGATTCTCCCTATAGTCAGTTAACACCATGGATATTCAATCAATTTTCCAGTCCATTCTTCCATATCTTTCATTTATTGACTTACCGCATACTCTTCTGAGTGTAAAAATACCAAACTCTTTGGAATGGGAGGTTTATGTTTACCCCAAACTTTGTCTACCAAGTTTTCTTCCCCAATAGGAAGCAACACTAGGGATGCGCAGGATGGACATTTATCTTGCAAGATTCTTTCTAAGCGTTTGAACGAAGCAACCGAAATAAATCTTCCGTCCATTCCAATACTTCGTACAGTTTGTGGAGACTCTGCAATAAAGCAATCCACCAACCAATCTTCCATACTTTTGTCTTCCAACATACGCATCAATTTCCATACTTTTGGGTCCAACTCTTTCTCTGCTTGCAAGAAATATCTTCCATCTGTCCATAACAGTGCTTCTTGTTGAGTAACGACTGCGAAGCCAGCAGAACCCGTGAAATCTGAAATAAACTGACGTCTTTGATCACAGTTGGCGACATACCTATGAGACAAAGCAAGAAATCATATTTCAGGGTCGTTTCTTCCATAAAAAGCAACATACTCGCTTTGATGAGCGTCTTCGCTGGGTATTATAAAACTAAAATTGAATATTTAGAAAAGTGTTTCATTCAAGTCTCTTCTCTTACGCATCCAATTGCAAGTCTTTCAAATATTTTCGTAGTCGAACAACTTTTTCTTCAGCCTTCATAAAATCCATTCCAACCGACTCCATCCGCTTTGAAATATCCAAACAATGTCCAATGACGAAACTACTTCACCTACAATGGTTGGGTCAGTAGAAGGTGAGAAAGAAAGAACTGTTGATTATTGATATGAGTAGTTGTTGATTACATATAGATGAAGAAGAGGATGACGAAACTTTTCTGGATGATTCTATTTTAACCATCTCTTGGCACAAGGAACCTGTTTATGCAGTGGATTGCCATCCGCAACTTTGCCACACATTTCTTACCGCTTCAGGAGATGGAACAGCTTGCTTATGGAAAATACAAGATGGGTCTCAGGTGCAACCTTATCATACTGTAGAGGAACGTGGAGATTCTCAAAGTCTAGCAAAGTTTAGTCCCAATGGAACTTTGTTCGCTACTGCTTGTCTCGATGGTTCTGTACAAGTTTTCAACGCCTCAAATGGTTCACTTATTTCAGATTTGGTTGGTCCAACTAGTAGTGTTGAATTCCTTCGTTGGTTTCAAGATTCTTCGTGCCTTTTTGCAGGTTGTAGTGATCAAACTGCTTGGATTTGGTCCATGTCCGATGGAAATCCAGTCAATGTGTTCACTACTCAAGCTCCAGTTATGAGTGGTTGTCTCTGTAGACAAGATGAATATGCTGTATTAGGAATGGAAGATGGAAATATTTCGGTTGGTGAACTCCTCCCTTTTGACTCATTTTGATAAGGAGATAGGTATTTCGAGCACTTGAAGCACCACCAACATCATTACAAGTCATTCCACCTTCATTACTAGGTCAAGCGATTATTTGTATGGAAAGTGCTCCTTTTGAAGACCGCATTGTGGCAAGTGGAGCAACAGATGGTCAAATATTATTGGTTCAACCAGAAAGTGGCCGAATTCTTGCAAGACCCAAACCACACAACGACTCTGTAGAAAGTTTAGACTTCTCTTATCAATATCGTTGGTTAGCTTCAGGTTCAACAGATGCAACTATATCTGTTTGGGATATGGAAAGGTCCATTCAAAGATATCGATGGCAACATGAAGGTGCGGTTGTAAAGGTGAAATGGTTGATGGGAAACTCAAGCCAACTTTTATTATCCGGCTCAGCAGATCATACGCTTCGTTTATGGGACATAAGAACAGCAAGTTGTATAAAAATATTTCATGGACATTCTGATACCATATTAGACTTTGCTATAACCAACAATGAAGAATATGTCATAACTGGATGCGATGATCATGAAATACGAATCTTTTCCCTTTTTTATGAATGAATAGAATAGTTACTCAAGGACTCGAGTACTTTTCTTAAAGGCAATTGTTCTCCAATAGTTTTAGGACGAGGTTGGTTTTCTTCCGTACTTGGAAACTGAAGAATATCATTTGTAATATTTGTCATTCCATGTTTGTTTAAGAAGCGAATCAAGTCATCTTGAGACAAACAAAGTAACTTCTATCAGTCCAATATGATGAGTAACCAACACTATTCAATTATTAGGCTTGTATTACCTGCAATACCGACAAATGAATTCGGAAATAAGTACGAGAAATGACAGCCAACATAAACTCTCGAAACGAGTCTTCTATACCTGGCAATCCTTTTATGATATCTTTGTTGTTTTGTAGACTATTCCAAAAGTCCACAAAGTTTCCAGATTCCAAGGCATCTGCCCAACTTATCACGGTAGCTACAGGAACTTCTCGTTGGGTTTTCTCACCAAGTAAATACAAACAACTGATAAAATCAGAACTAGGAAGTGCTGCCAAAGCTTTCAATAAAATTTTGGATACGATGGAAAAGTTAGTTTTTTCCGGATAAAACTGATAAAGCTTTAAACAAGCTAAATTGGCGTCACCATCATAAGCTCCCTCCAAACACTGTGCCTCTACATATCTTTCCAAGTCTATTAATATATCAGGATCATATCTTCTTGATTGTAATAGGTCATTAACTTGTTGAGAAAGTTCTTCCATCGTACTGGACGATGATGAGGACGACAATCCCAGAAAGAAACAAAAGGAAATACTACTAATACTAATAATAATAATCCCATGAAAAAGAAGATCAAAGCCCTTTATATCTTTCTTTTATAGATCAACAAAACAATTTCAAAAAGAAAAGCTTCAAGTTCTATGTGAAAGTATTCAAACCTATCACAACTCCTCCTCTTCCCTACAAAACCAACTGTTAGTATAAAGGAGAAAATAAAAGCGCGTGATTAGTTTCAGATAGTAATACACATCACTAATGCTTTTGAACGAGCATCAGTTGTCCCTATTTTCGTATTTTTCCAGTTCATCATTCTTTTGTCTTACACTGAGCTATTTCTTGTTTCCTTTATTACCTTTTTTTTTATTCCATCCAAAAGAACTGCAAAGTCTTCCGTAACAACAAAGATGGCTTTTGATAAGTGGCTTCAACAGCGTCCACCGCCGTCGAAAAGAACCGTTGTGAAAAAAAATGTGCTCCGAGACAAAACAAGACCAGAATGGAACTTTGGAAAGATTAGCTCTTCAGAAAGTAATACATATCAAACAAGGTAAGAAATATCCTCTCTTGATGTGAATGGAACATTAACTATTTATATCTCTTTGTTGAGAGACGTGAATAATATCAAATTATTTTGATGCAATTCGTGAATCGTATAGAAACTTTACAAACTGAATGCCAACAAAGACAAGAAAAGCTGAAAGATACAGGTTATCTAGTAGAAGAGAATGAAGAGCTTTTACAACTTAATCTATCGGATTTGAAACAACTTCAAGAAGCAATAGAGCAGTTGGAACTATTTATAGCTGAAGAAGAAGATGAAGCCCTAAGACACAAGTGGATACAGTTAGTAGAAGCCAAAAAAGAAAAACTTCAACAGTTACAGAAACAACATAGAATTGATTTGTTACGTTGGAAACAGTGGAAAGAACAACATCAACGACAACTTTTATTGGAAGAACAAAGATTACGGAGGAGAAGACCACACAACACTTCAGAGGAGGAGCGTCCTGATGATTGGAATACAAAGATACAGTCTTCTTTACAAAATACAAAGCAAATATTAAATTCTCAAGTGCTTGTAACCAATAGTAACCTCGATAGAATAAGGAAAGATGAACGACTATTAAGGGAAACGCAATCACAACAGCAAAACTATTCTGAACATATACAACAAGGAACACAGCAGTTGAGAAGTATCACTAAAAAGTAAGTGGATACCAAACTATACTCTTTTGGTAACTGAAAATCGTTTATAGAAGCAGGCAAAGTCATTGGAAACTGATTCTATCTTTCGTTCTTTTCCTATTGGTTTGTGCTTTGATTGTTTATCAACGTCTTGAACATTCTTCTTGGTTTGGTGTTGCAAGAGGAACTCGAATCATGAAGCGAACAGTACTAGTTACATTTCAAGGATTGTATATCGGACTGCAATATTTATGGAACTTGTCCGTTCATGTTGTGTATTATATTTGGGAGTTGACTCAGTTTCTCTGGGTAGCTTGGCAAAAGGAACCGAAATGGGAAGAATCCTTACAGCACACAATCACACAGAACTTTTCAAGAAGTGACATAGAGCAATGGAAGGATGAAGACTCTGAGAAGAATCATTCTGTTGTCTTTCCAACATCCTTTATATCGGTTACTTTATCAGTTGACAACCCTTGGAATAGTCTCTCATCAGCTGATGATTGCTCTGTCTCAGAAGATGTTGTTGATGTAATGAATGATGAAAGTGTAGAGCATCAGGAAAGCGTAGGAGTGAGTAGAAACGATTGGAATGAAACCTTTTCTAATGAATGGCAAGAAAAGGAAGAAGAAATAGAGCTTTCTAAGAATCTGGACGAAGAACAAGAAACGAATGCTTTTGAGAACATGGACAATTATTCAGATATTACAGAGCAACAAGTTTTCACAATCTATCAGACACCGAATAGGAATGAAATACTGCAAGTGAGTGAATGGGTAGAAGATGCAGATGGGTTGGAGGAAAACAATCAAGACGCAAATGCCTTGAACTTGTCAAAGGAAACCGATCAATTCTGTCTCAATGGAAATATTCATGAAGAAGATATCTCTCTTGGAATAGAAGAGAATGGCGTGGATGAGAATATTATTATGGAGATGCATGAAAGTGAAGAGTTTTCTGAAAATTATGTTTCACAAGAAGATGTATTGGATGAGAACCTCGAATAGTGTAATGATTGGTCTTTCACACACAACCCTTTTATCGATAATAGATAACCACATTCGATGGTTGTTGGACTTGCATAATGTTGTTTCAAAACATAAGGAGAACTGAAATGATATGCGCAAAAATGGTAATGCATAGTCGTCAACAAATATATCAATACATAAAGCAAAATACTTACAAAATGATCATTTCATTCTTCATTTGATTACTAGTGATGAAAATCACTCCTTGGTGAATAGATATATATATATATATATAGCATTATAATATATCACATCACCGTTTGCATCCGAAAAATGGAGCGGCAACAAAGAATATCGTATCTAAGCGGGTATAGTTACTGAAAAGAAAAATATCAAGTCAGTAATGATTCAAAGCAGTCATTTAATGATTTCGTCGCATGGAGACTTTTGGAAGTCTCAAGAGACTGCCTCGCTGACGAAGATCGACAGCATAGCAATTTTCTTTATTCGAACTATCGGAAAGCGTGTCCGATGTCTTCTCTTGAATATTGAGCTTACCTCGAGAAGATGACAAAGAAACTTCATCATTTGAAGTTGGCAATTCTATATCGGAAACTCCATTAACAACATGGCTATCTTTAAGAACTTCTTGCTGATCATCAACACCATTATCATCACTTTCATCGGATATCTCACTTGGTTCCTTATAATTGGCATAAAATATTCTCAAGAGTTCCTCATATGATTGGGTACGTTCTAAGACTTGAGGATAATTCCACTGTCTCTTGCGAGGAGTATTACTTGTTGGTTCGTCCACACGTAATCCGGAAGTCATCAACTCATCAACCGAACTGGCAATACTATCAACAAATCCAACTTGTTTCTTATTGAAATCTTGTAAAGCTGATTGTTCTTCAGATAGACCATCCTTCACTTTTGCCGCTGTTCTCGTGTCATTTTGTATGCCTTGTTCAATATGTTCCTCAGTAAGATTCTTCGAATTCAACAGTTCTTGAGTTGTAATCTCAGAAGTTGTATCTCTTCTCTTCACATAATCTCGAGTTATGTTTTGAGAATCTTCAAGGAAATTCTTATGCAATTCCAATCCTTCCGTTCTTGTTCGGTCTGCTTCTTTCATGCCTTGTTCTAAATGTTTCGTGGATAATTCTGTCTTTTGAAGAGCAGCGGACTCTCTGTCTATCTGTTGTTTGAGTGATTGATTGGTTTCCTCAGCCATCTTGGTTTTAGAACGAATAGCATCTTGACGATATTCTTCCAAGTTTTGTTCTGCTTGTGATACATTTCGTTCTAATTGTTGTTGCATAATTGCCAATCCATTCGAACAGTCCAACAAAGTATTTTTGTTTTCTTGGGTAGCTTCAGCTTGTGCTGACTTGCTTCTGGTTACAAGTTTATCTAATGTAGCTTGTATGGCCTTGAATGCTTCATCTTTGGCCTCGTCTAAGAATTCACTCTGTTTTCGAGCATTGCTTTCTATGACTTGTTCTGTTGCTCGTAGTCGTTCTTTTTGTTTTTCATTTTCTGCAAATAAACAATTGACAATATCATGAAAATGTTGTACTTGGCTATTTAGAAACACTTGCATCGAATTCTCTTGTTGTTGTAGATGATCAAGTGACTGCCGTGCAAACAAATGAATACTTTCAATATTCTCATTAATATTTTGTTGAATATTTCTATTATCTTCCGTATACGTTTCGACCAGTTGTTCAAAAACACTTTGCATATGTTTGATGTTCTTTTGATAATCAACTCCATAGTGATTCTGTCTCTCAGTATATTGTTTGGTATATTCATCGGATTCTTTCACCAACTCTTGCAAACCTTTGTTGGCTTGAGACAGCAAATTTTCCACTTGGAGCTTGACTTTAGAACTTTGCTCTCGTTGAAGTTGTAAAAATTCATCAGTTTGTTTTTCTATCCAACCATACCTAATGAAAAATTTTTCATATCATTATCATATGTTCATATTCAATTGCTAAAACCACAAACCTTTGAACACGTTCTTGTAAGTATCTTTGAATATTCTGCTGCAAAGATGAGACAGTAGTTTGAGATTGTTGAGCAAACTGAGAAGCAGCTTCTATATTATGATCCTCAATGGATTGTTTTCGTTGAATTTTGGCAAACAAGTTTTCAACATCCTCCAAACTCTTCTCCAATGTGCCTTTGAGATCTGTTGCTTGACCATGTAACTTTACTTCAGTTTCCTTGTGACATTTCAACAGATATTCTTTCTCATCTCTATCCTTAGTAACTTTCTTCAATTGTCTTTTAGTTTCCGCTAGTTTACGTTTGGTATGTTTCAAACGATCTTGTGTTCGTTGCAACGTATGTTTGGTTTCTTCCAATTCTTTTTTGTTATCTTCAAATAGCTTGCGCAATTGTTCCATTTCTTCTTCTGTTTTTGCCATCTTTGCTTCTAAATTATCGATAGTATCGCTTTGTAATGCCTGTTTGGCCATAAGTTTTTCATACATATCCGTAGGCAAATAAATTCCTAATCAGATTATTATTATTCATTTTCAAATAATGGTATATATGTTTTCTTACCATTCTTGGAACGGGTAGCTTCTAATTCGGCCTTTAATCGAGCAATCTCATCCGTATATTCCTTAATGAGAGTTCGTTTGGCCATCATTTGATTGACTGTTGGTCTATTCTTAATATTCTTTGCTCGACATGCATAATCCAAAGTACTCAAAGTCTCATCCAAAGAAGAAACTCCAGGACATACTGTTGCAATGATACATGTTTTGTTTCTTCCACCTAATGACTCCTATAAAAGAATGTAAGATATTCAACAGAACATAAACAATTGGCAACTTTCTTTACCTGTAATAATCTTGTAAGTTTGGAATCTCGATAGGGAATATGTGGATGATGTTCTACAAGTGAAGTGATAACTCTTCCTAAAGTCAGTAAACTCTGATTGATATTTCCAGCTTCTCGAGCTCTCATATTCTGAGCACCACTTCGACCAATATTCTCAGAACCAGCCAAGTCAACCAAGTTCAGTTTACCAACTTTGAGAAGATCTTCGCCTTCTGGTGTAGACTCTTTGATATGGATAGTAATGGAGAATATACTATGCGAACGCGAAGAATACTTATTCATCAGTGTTTCGGCAGTTCTTCTTTTGACTGCGCTCTTTTCTAATATAGAAAATATCTCTTCTTCGGATCGAACAGGAACTTCTTCCAGTCCAGCAACAAATGTACCTTTTTGTGGATCCTCATATATCCTCAAGTCTACTTCATTTCCATCGATACCCAATAAATCTGTCAGTTGTTCGTTATACAATTCAAGATAAGAGACTCTTACAGTATATTCTGCTTGAATATCCTGTAAGTAATGAAATATATGACGAATAGCTCTAGGAATTACACCTGCAGAAGGTGGGCACTTCCTTTTCAAGTCTTTTGTGTTTGTTATATCAAAAGTGAGACCATCCTTTTCATCTCTCTGGCCTTCCATAGTATGAGTCTTTCCTGTTCCTGTCTGTCCATAAGCAAAGACTGTACAATTGTATCCATTCAATACTTCTTCTACAATAGGTTTGCATACACATTCATAAACCTCCTCTTGGGTTGCTTCCATTCCGAAAACCTTATCGAAAAGAAAAGACTTTGTCTGTGATTTCTTAACGGTGTTAGCTGCCTTTTCACCATTAGCAACTACTTTTACTTCCTTTTTTGTTTCATTACAAGATATTACGCATTCTTCTCCAGCAAGCTGTTCTTTTTTATTGAGTGGTCTACATCTTAGAGCAACTTGCACATTGACAGCTTTTTCTTCTTCACCAGCTCTTTTTCCTTTGATATATTGTACAGGAGAAGCAAAGCCTCCTGGTGACTGGGTTTGGTTGGACGAAGCCATCGTCGTTCCATTTTCCATACTCCCCTTACTAGAGGCAGTTGAAAGTGTACCGCCTTTTGACCTCACACTTTCTTCCATATCAGTCACTAGAAACAACAAATACAATTCCTCGACAATTCGTAAAACTCAAGCGTCTTTTAATAAACGAAAGAATAACGTAGATTGAATATGTCTACCAAGAAGAAGTGAGACACGAAGATCGTTTGTGCTGGCTAAGATCCCTTAAAAGGTTCAAATTGCCCGCCTAAAATTTCTTATGAATTTTGAGATGTTGTATGTCTCTCTATGGACTATGAAAAACAATTAACTGAACTTGATCCACTTTGATCGGTAGAAATATTCTTTATGTTTTCCAAGAGATAGTTAAATAACAAAATAAATATCAATTCCTTTCCTTTTCTTTCTCATAACAAAGCCCTTTTGTCAAAGGGGAGTATTCTTATGAGGACCATTCATGAGTTTTCATTCCAAACTTGTTGTGGGTACTAGTTCCTTTCGTGTAAAGTATTCACAGCCAGTGGATATAAGTATTTCTGTTAGAGGTCACGTGGGAGAATTCACTGTTGAAGCTTTTGGTTTAGGTAAGACATAAAAGGGGCAAGTTTGTTTGGAGGTCACATAGTCAACAGTTCTCACAGGTCAACCTAAAACGACCGAAGTTTGTCAAGCTTACGGAGGGATTGGTGTAAACTGTACGTCTATAGAGTTCAATCCTCACGCAAACGGAACGCATACCGAGTGTGTGGGTCACGTTGCTGAACAGAAAAGGTTTTACGTGGAAGACTGTTTTCCTGGAATCATTCAAGGCGCTTGTCTCTTGATATCGGTAGAACCTTTACTGGTTGGTGAGCATAAACCAGAAGATATTATCTATTCTGCATTGTCAACAGGTGATCGCGTCATTTCTGGTGAACTTGTAAAGGAAGCCATTGTGAAGACTTTAGAGGCAAAAGGTTTAGCCAAAGAACAGTGCCCTTCCATTCTTGTGATTCGTACTTTGCCCAACGACTTGAAAAAGTATCCAACAGCAAATAACTCGGTGAATTGGCCTTACTTTACTTCAGACGCTATTCAAGTTCTTGACCAGTTTCAGATACAGCATCTGTTGGTCGATACACCATCACTCGATAGACATCCCGACGGTAAGTTTAGGTTGTTTCATAAAATGGATAATATGAATCAATGTATAAAAGGGGGAAAAGTGGAATCTCATAAACACTTTTGGCAAGTATCTTCTGATTCAGTGCAGTCTCCACGAAAGAATAGATCTCTCACTGAACTTTGTTGTATTCCTGATCCCTTGAAGGACGACATTTACTTTATAATACTAAGCTTATCATCCTTTGCATTTTTAGACGCTGTTCCTAGTCGGCCTATTCTTTTTCCTTTGGAAGTAGATAGAAACTGATATCGTATAGTATGAGTTGGTTAGGTCGTTGGATGAGAAGTTATCATCAGCTCTTAATGGACAAACCAGTAATGACCAAGTCAGTCACTTGTGGTATCTTATCTTTCGCTGGAGATGTTGCGGCACAATATATCGAGCAAAAATATTCCAACAGGAACTCTTCCATAATCATTCATTTGGACATGCAACGTACTTTGCGTTTTACATCTTTTGGATTGCTTATCTTTGGTCCATGTGCTCATTATTGGTATCGGTTGTTGGATCATTGGTTTCCCAAAGCTACGACGAGGTCCTTGATAAGCAAAGTATTGGTTGATCAAACATTATTTACTCCCGTGGCTATAGTGAGTGTATTTTCTTATGTTTCCTTATTAGAAGGACATCCTTTCGTTGCTGTTCAAAAAGTGAAACAAGACTTTTGGACAACTTTGAAAGCAAATTGGGCACTTTGGTTACCGGCTCAAACTATTAACTTTCGTTTTACTCCACCAGATTATCGGGTATTGTTTGTTAACTCTGTAGCGCTCATATGGAATGTATATTTGGCATCTGCTTCTGCTTCTCCAGTTACCAAATGTACTAATACTGAAGAGACTCTGACTAGTTGATATCATCAAAAGTATTTGTTTGGTTGGTTTTCATAAATCTTGTTTTTTTCTATCCAAAGAAAAATTGTTCCACTTGAAGAATGGAAGATGAGAGGAATAGTCGTTTGCTTATTCAAGGACTTCCAAAATATATTGCTGAAAAGCGGCTAAAAGATATTTTCTCCAGTCAAGGTGAAGTAACAGACGTGAAAGTATTGAGAAAAAAGTAAGTTTGTGCAAGATATTCCTGGTGGCCTATTCTAAAACTCTTGAAAGAGATGGTACTTGTCGACGATTTGGTTTTGTCGGGTTCAAAACTGTGAAACAAGCAAAAGCAGCAAAAGACTATTTTCACGAAACTTTTATAGATACATCTCGCATACAAGTAGAATATGCTAAACCAGTGGGAGACCAGAATTTGCCACGTAAAAGGAAACCAAAATTAGTTGAGAACGAGTTGCCAAAAAGATACCGAGAAAAAGAGCAAGAAAGAGATCCTGCTTTTCAAGAATTTCTACAAGTTATGAAACCACGAAAGAAGAAAGCAATATGGGAGAATGATTGGTCGGTTGATATTTTTGGAAAGAACAACAAGGAGACCAACAATGCAGGAAGAGAAGAAAGGAGATTGGTTGCTTCTAAAAAGCCTGGTGGTGAAGACGTAGCTTATGAACAACTTCACGTTCGTTTTGATGAAGAAGATAACAGCAGCGAATCTTCTTCTTATCAACAATTGGAAGAGTCAGTGCCCGATGCGCAACAAGAAGACTCCACTAGTCTATCTTCAGTATCTTCAGAAAAAGAAGAAGAGAAAGTGGAAAATGACCAACAAGAAGAATATAGTAATGATGAAGAATGGTTGGAGTCCAAGTTGAGTAAACCGATCATACCCATCGAGCCAATGAAGAAGAATGATGAAATGGTTGAGAAGGAAATAACATTGACCGAGAATAACGATACAAAATCAGAAAATTTTTCTGTAGAGAATACAAAAGATTCCACAAATAGTAACTCATCTAATGTATTGGAGACCGGACGTTTGTTCGTTCGTAATCTGGCATATTCTGTTACGGATGAGGAGTTAACAAAACTTTTCGAAAAGTATGGTTTATTATCGGATGTTCATGTCTGTATCGACTCAGAAACTCAAAAAGCGAAAGGCTTTGCTTTTATAACTTTTGTGCTTCCTGAAAATGCTGCACAAGCCATGGCAGAACTGGATGGTCATATATTTCAAGGTAGATTGTTACATATTTTACCTGCCATGGCTCCCATTAGAAATGAACAAGAAAGAAAGACTAGTAACTTGTACAAAGATGAAAAATTGGCAAAGATGAAACAATCTGCAAAACTTGGCACAGACAGACAAGCATGGTCATCACTTTATATGTCTACTGATGCTGTAGCTGATTCAATTGCTCAAAACTTTCAAGTTTCCAAGTCACAAGTATATGAAAATCTTCAAGATTCGGGTACAGCTGCTGTTCAGTTAGCTATTGGAGAGGCGCATTTGCAGGAAGAAACTCGGCAACTCTTCCAAAGTGCAGGAGTGAATGTAGACGCTCTGAATGACTCGAAAGATGGTCCACGTTCGAAGACTGTTATTTTGGTGAAGAATTTACCAGCAACTACTTTGGAAAAGGAGGTAGTTGACTTGTTTATGAAATTTGGTGCTTTGAGACAAGTTATTATGGCTCCTTCCTGTCTGATTGGTTTAGTAGAATTCATCGAGGCAAATGATGCCAAACGTGCTTATCGAGCATTGGCTTATTCCAAGTTCAAAGATCGACCTTTATATTTGGAATGGGCTTCGCAAGACATATTTCTTATGAAACCAAGTTCAGACTCGAATGTAATGATGATAGAAGAGAAGCAGGAAGAAGATGAACCATCATCGAATAATTTGGATAGGATAGGAAGAACTAGTTTATTTGTCAAAAATCTCGACTTTAATACAACAGAAGACCAATTGAGAAGAGTCTTTGAAAAGGTAGCTCCTGTAAGATCCGTAACCATTGCAAAGAAGAACAAAATTTCTGCAAGTGCTCCAGTTTCATTAGGTTTTGGTTTTGTGGAATATGCTACGGAAAAGGATGCACAACGAGCTTTGAATCAGTTGCAAGGTACAGTTATTGATGGCCATGCCGTTGTATTGAAACTTTCGGAACGTAGCGGAGGCAAGAAGATATCAGAACCTAAGAAGGTGTCCGATTCTGTCTGTAACAAATTGTTGGTGCGAAACATTGCCTTTGAAGCAACAGCGAAGGAAGTTCGTAAACTTTTCGAGACTTTTGGTGAGGTAAAGAGTGTTCGACTACCTCGTAAACTGGATGGCACTCATCGTGGCTTTGGTTTTGTCGAGTTTCTAAGCAAGAGGGATGCAGCTGCAGCTATGCAATCTTTGAAAGATACCCATTTCTATGGCAGGCATTTAGTTTTGGAATATTCTAAAGGTGGCGATGAGTTATTTTCAAGTCAACCAACTGTTGTGTGAGGTACACACACAAGTCTCTTGTTCGTCATTACTCGTGATTCTCAACTATTAGCCTACTTTCGTATTAGCAATTATTTGTAGTTGTGTTAGTTATTTCTACCTACTTGGACAGTTTTATCAATCCATTCGGCATATACGTCTACAGCTTCATCCAAGTGTGTAACTTCTGCTGTATAAGAGGCTTGACAAACTCTACAGGAAACCGAACCAATTCCCTTTGACTTGGAAATGGTACAGTCTACTGTCTTTTCATGTCCACAAAAAGGGCAGTTGAAAACTTTATCAAGTGTTGGCTTTTTTGGTTTCTGAATAGGCTTCTTTCGAGACTTGCGCTTTCCCATTCCAAAACAAATGAATGATAACTCGTCAACATTTTATGAATTTTCCATTACACTTGGAAACGAATGAATGACTGGATAACCATCTTACCATACATTTGAATACTCTTATAAATAGTCAACCAATCTTGTGTGGAAAATAGCGAATCTGATAAAGCAAATAGAAGAGAAGTCATAATAGGTCCATGTGCATATTCCAACATCCAAGTATCTTCCTATAACGAATGACTACATATCTTATTGTAGTTGAATAGCTAACCAAAGCTTACCTTCCAACAAACTGCAGTGGCTGATAAACGTGGATGATAAATAGTATCACCAGCTGAATAAGTCACGTAGTGTGTAGTGCCTTCAGACCACTGTTGAAAGGTACCTCGAAGTAACGTATCATATATATCTATCCAATAACGACCACTATGACCTGCTGTTTCTATGGCAGTACCGAATAACAACACATATTCGGTCAAGGAAGCATGTAAAAGACAAAATGATCCCATCCAACCACCTGCATTGATAAATATCCACTCTAAATCACTGTTATAAATGAGTTGAGGAAAAGCAGCTTGCAGTTCTTTGGAAACGTTATGGAAAGCTTCTTCTCGAGGAAGATCTAAGAAGGAAACAAACTATTTGAGACTTTTGTCGTTTTGAAAACAAGGACAACCCAACCCACTGCTCTCTCAGCTATTTTCCGAATGATATCCTTGTCAAACTTGGGTTCGGAGAAAGTTGCCAAAGTACTACTTATCACAATGATAGAGCATAATACAAACAAACTTATAAGGACAGCTTTTCTAATCCACGAAACTTTATGTGACAACGTGGATGATGGTTGTTTGGCTTTCATTTCTCTCAATCAAGAATAGTAGTTGCGTTTGCATTGGGTTTTCATCAACTATAACAAATCATCCATAATTCATTTTATTCAAGCAACTGGAATAGTCATCTAAAACACATCAATGTTTATCTTCCATCAAAGCAGAGGCACTGATATGTTCTTCTTGATGTAAAGAATCCTTGGTTGCAGATCCTGTAGCCACTTCCTTCTGTTTCCTGGATTGATAATACGCCATATCTTCTGATTCTCTTTCATTGCTAATACAACCTTCCTTACCATAACGGATTCTCCAATATATTTTCAAGAAAAAGGTCAAATCATTGTAATAAGTAGGCAAACAAGCAGCCTCTTGAGCTTCTTCTACGCAACTAATACCTGAACGTTGGGCCAACATTGCGGCATATTTACGCTGATAAGACATATAAACTTCCTTTGGACCAAAAATATAATATTTCATCAAACGAAAGATACCACAACTTTCAGCATCTTCGGATTCAATTTCATGATCATTCAACTTCAAGTGCTGTACATATTTCCCAGCATAACGACGACGAAGTTCATTGTATCTATCATCTTCTCCGACCAAAGAACGTTGAGAATATTCTGGAACAAAGAAGATGCAAATCACCAGTCCTACATAAGAAAGTCCAGCATTGAACCACATCGTTCCTCGAAGACCATCTAAACTTTCAGAACCACCTCCAAAACGCTTCCATATCTGAGGAAATATAGTTGTACCAACGATTCCTCCCATTTTGCCAAGAGATGAAGAAACTCCATACATAGTTGCACGAATTCTGGTGGGATAAGCTTCAGCAGGAACCAAATAAACAGGAACAAATACAAAATATTGAAAACTAGTATCAACTCATTCAATAACAATAGAAATTACAAAAAGCACCATTCTTACCCTCCTTGAAATGTACTCCAAATAATATAAGCCACAGGTTGTGCTCGAAGCTGCCAAAAGAAGCCTGCAGTAATTAATGTAGTGGATGCTAACCACATCCATCCAAATATTTCTGTTTTTCTTCTTCCCAATCGATCCACAATGAAGGAAACTAAAAATGGCATCCATACTGCCCATGCTACACCTTCCGCCAAAGTAATCCATACTGTCTTAAATAAAGAAGCTCCAATCACTTTCTGTAAAACTAAATTGCCAAATGTTCCACCGGAATAGTTAATCCAATCAATAAGAAACCACATAATCACTGTTCCAATGCAACGAGCCCAAAAATGTTTAAAGAAAATATACAAGTCCAATCCATCATACTTTCTGCCTCTCTTGGCTTGATCTCTTGTAAACATTTTTGAATCTTTCATTTGAGTACGATATATTAAAACAATAATCACAGGAATGGTGGCAACTGCAAATGAGACTCGAGTCACTACTTGGTCCTTGCATCCAGAACGAAGTCCAAGATGTGCATTACGACAAGCTGCCGCAATAATAATGAGTTGAACAACAAAAGGAGCATAGTTTCCCAATACTTCCATTGCCATGACCAACCTCGTTACTCGTCCTCCTCTCTTGGAAGTATCCACTTCTTCACTATCTTCCATGGAGTTGGGAACATTGCAAGTATATTCTCCACCCATACCTAAGCCTGCCACTCCCAAACCAATACACATCATCCATAATGCACCATCGATATCTGTGCCATTGTAAGCAACTCCAATAATGTTTCCTAATAAAACCAATGAGGAGCACATGATGAGACCTTTCTTTCTTCCAAAATAGTCTGCAATAAAACCAAATATTAAAAGACCAAACATAACTCCATACAACATGGCCACTCCAATAGCAGTTTGTAGGAATACATCTGTATTAAAACTTGGATAGAGATCTGTATACATAGTCAACAATACGGATGAAATATCATACATATAACCATTCACAAAGAAGCCCATAGCAGTTCCTAAGGCATTGAACCTGATAGCTTTTTGAAGTTCTCTGCGGTCCTTTTCTGACTCTTCCAAACTGGAGTTGTTGGATGAAGGTTTGTCTGCGCTATCGTTGTTGTTGGTTTCCCAATAAGTTTGCAAACTTTCAGGACCTTCTCTTTCATTAGCACCTAAAGAGACTCGTTGAATATATTCAGACGAGACATCCACAACAGGAGCAGACATTTTGCCAAAGCAAAAAATAAAAGCACAAAAAACTTTGAAAAAAAAGTAAGTTATATGTATATTCGTCTGCGATGTCCCTTTGTCATTCAAAGGGACGCATCATTGTTAAAAAGGACATCGTTCGTTACATGCAGCGGTGCTTCGTCTCCTCGATAATCCGCTCCTTATGTCTATTAGACATCGTATGCTTTGGATGAATAGACATTTTCTTACGATGTCCGTTGCTTTGGCAGAAAGACAATATCAATGAATTGCCTCAAGGTTTGACTAATGAAAGTTGAATTTCAGACAACAAAAGAATGCTTATGAAAACAAAAGTGTAGGTCTCTAAACTTTTAATATTCAGTTACATTTTTATATTCGTATTACTTTTCGAAATAAACAAACATATAGAGATTTTTTTCATATCAACTAGTATGTATATGATACCATTATTATATAGTAAAGTGGGAAACTCCTTCAACAGTTATTTTGAAAAAAGGTCTTCGAATGCCATGTCATGTTGGAGGTCACCACGTTTTCTAGCGTCTCTACACGACCGCTATTTGTTAAAGTTATCAGGAAAGGATACTACCAAGTTTCTTCAGGTATGTGTTAACTTAGTTTGCAGTTGCTCGTATCCATTCAAGCACTTAGGGTCTAATAACACAAAACGTGGAGTTGCTAACAAAACAGAGCCAAAAGCCAACTTTGGGTTATACAGGCTTTCTTAATAAGCGAGGACGTCTGATCAACCAAGGATTCCTTGCTCCGTTGAGTGAAAGTTGTGAAGACTGGTTGATTGATGTACATCCATCTACGGGTTCTGGTAGGTTGAGCCACAACTTTTGCGTTTGTTTATTTTGAGTATATTGATGAAACTATATATACAGAACTAGTGAAGCATCTTCAGTTATTTCGGCTTCGTTCTAAAGTAGAGATATCGAATGTTTCGGATTCATACTCAGTGTGGTTAGTATCAGAATACTGTTCGAAGACCTCCATCCTGCTAATATATTGCAACCAACTCTCAAGGGTTGCACCAGGTTTAGAAAGAATGGATCAGATATGGTCAGACTTTGTTCCAGATAAACCAACAGTCTATTCTTTGGACCCTCGTGTTTCACGTCTAGGTTTGCGTTTTTATACTTCTATCCATACCAAAGTAAGAAACTTGTCCCTTTTCAATTGGTTGATGATAACCTTGCCTTAAAATAGTATCAAGGACAAAAAGAAGCACAAGGAAGTGAAGAATTATATCATGTATGGAGAATGATATATGGCATTCCAGAAGGAGGAACAGACTATTCGTTTTTGAATAGTCTTCCGTTTGAAGGTAATCTAGATTATCTAAATGGTATCAGTTTTTCTAAAGGATGTTATCTTGGTCAGGTAATTCAGTCTCAACTCTTGCTTTGTGCTTAGCTTGATATGTTATTTTTGTAGGAAACTACAGCTCGTGTGAATTACACTGGAGTAGTACGAAAGCGTATTGCTCCCGTTTTGTTTGCAAAGGAAAAGGATAAAGGCCTAGAAATAGCACAAGCCATGAATCATTTTTATGAGTGTCCCAATGGTAAAGTTGAAGTTTCTGGATATGTAACATCCTTAAAATTGGTTTTGACTGTCAGATGCGATATGTCCGATACAAACAATGGAGCTTGAGAATGGCTTATCTACTGTACCTGTGAATAGTCAATTATTTGCACAGAATGACAAGGCAACCAAAGCAGTGGGTTATATTACTAGCAGTGTTTATAATATTGGATTAGCACGACTGGACGTTGCTTCAGCATTTCCTAATGGTTCTTCTGGTATGTTTTCTATTCGAATCAATTTGGTTCAAGTTGAAAGAAGAACATAGTCATAGGTATTCCTTTGAATGTAGAGCAATCGAAAATGTATGCAATACCTTTAAAGCCTTTTTGGTGGCCGAGGGAAGATATGGAATCATCACAGAAAGCAACATTTTCGGGAGAAACTTAGTAAGGAATGAAAAGATTATCAGACATCTCTCGAGTATTTTCCATGTATAAAAGTTTCCACTTTATATGACAAATGAAAGATTGAAAGTAATAAGACATCATTGGAGAATGAGATGTATTTTGAGTGTTTGATTGGATGGAATAAAAGCCTACTCCATTTGTATCACTTTTCAGAATCATATAAGTGATTTACGAATATATTCATATTGCTTTTGTCCACAATTGAAGAGTACTTTCCTGAACACCGCATCTTCACAGTTTTCTTTGAGAATATTTCATGTCTTTGGTTTTTATACGGAACCATCTGATTTCTTCAACATGGGCGCTATTTAGGTTTTCCCATGAGTAATACTATTTTTATATATATTTCTTGAAATGGAAGTGTTTCATCTCATTTGAAGAGTTCCAACCCATTCTTATATGGTGGATTGGATATTGTGTTGTTGAACTCAAAGGATATTCCTAGTAGTGTTTCTTTAGCAACTTGTACTCTCCATCTTTTCAAAGACATTTGACTATACGAGTGACTTTTGTCATCAGGATTCTATCCATGAGTTTTATGTACAAAACTTGCCAACTATCGCTGTTTCGATATGCACGTCGTTTCGTATCTTATACCAAAGTAACTTCTGACACCGAATTTGAAAAAGTGATGGAAGCTTCCAACCAAAAGCCGCAAGTTGTTTATTGTCATGCGGAGTGGTGCGGTCCTTGTAGACAGTTGGGTCCTTTATTGGAGCGACTGATGGAAGAGACACAAGGAAAAATAGAGTTGGCAAAAGTTGATGTGGATCGAGCATCGTCAGTAGCTGATAGACTGCAAGTTGCAGCTGTACCAACAGTATTTTGTTATCATAAAGGAAAGCAGAAGGACCAATTTGTAGGTGCTCTGGGTGAAAACCAAGTCAAGCAGTTTCTTCAAAAAGCTGTACAAATGAATGAATAGAATATTTCTTCCAGTTGATATTTCGTTTATTATTCGTGTCATCGACCACTTGTTTCAATATGTAAACACTTCCAACCGATATCCTTTCTGTAAAATCCTTGAGGCCAATGAATTTGTTCAATAGCTGAATAAGCTTTGTCTCTAGCTTGTTGAATAGAGTTTCCTATACCCGTAATACCCAAAACTCTTCCACCAGTAGCTATCCATTCCCCTTTTGAAGAAAGATCGGTTCCTGAATGATATATCTTAACGCCATCGATATTACTCGCCTCTTGTAAATGTTGAATAACGGTTCCTTTCTGATAAGCACCTGGATATCCTTGACTTGCCATGATGACAACAAGTGACCAAAGATTCTTGTGCCATTCTATATCCAAATCCTTTGTGTCACCTGTGGCAACCTTGTACAATACTTGTAACAAGTCACTCTTTAAACGTGGGCATATCACTTGACATTCTGGATCTCCAAAGCGTACGTTATATTCCAACACTTTAGGACCATCTTTTGTCAACATCAAGCCACAATAGAGTATTCCACGATAAGGTCGACCTTCTTCCATCATACCTTGAACGGTTGGCTTCAAAATATTTTGAATGATATCATTTTCTAACGATTCTGTACACAAAGGCGATGGTGAATAAGCACCCATTCCACCAGTATTTGGACCAAGATCCTGATCAAATGCTCTCTTATGATCCTGAGCCGATCCAAAAGGAATAACAGTCAAACCATCCACCAACGCAAAGAAACTCAATTCTTCTCCTTGTAGATATTCTTCAATTACTATTTCTGAACCCGCTGAACCAAACATCGTGTCATCCAATATGGAAACAATGGCTTGATTGGCAGTTGTCCTATCTTCTGCTATAATAACTCCTTTACCTGCAGCAAGACCATTGGCTTTGATAACCAAAGGAAACTGTTGCTTGTTCACATAAGACTTGGCCAACTGAGAGTTGCGGAAGCATTCGTATTGCGCTGTAGGAATATTCCGTCTTTTCAGAAACTGCTTCATCCAAACTTTAGATCCTTCCAATATAGCCGCATTCGAATGAGGTCCGAAAGCTGCTATCCCAGCTCTAGTCAACTTGTCTACGAGTCCCTCTACTAGCGGTATTTCTGGACCGACTATTACAAAGTCAACCTCGTTGTGCTTGCAAAACTCCACAATTTTCTCCGTTTCATGAGGATGAATATTTTCCACTACTATAGCGCAGGCTCGCATTCCTGCGTTTCCTGGAATAGCAAACAATTTGTTGCACATGGGCGACTGGGAAATGGTATCACAAAGAGCGTGTTCTCTTCCACCAGAGCCAATGACAGCTACGTGAAGAGCCTTTTTTACAGAATCGGATGCAACACAATATATCCATATGAAACGAGGTAATCCATTCCCCGGTGTCTGGACAATAGAAGAACGTCGAGTCTGTTTTATTTTCTGCGCAAAGGAAACGACACCGCGAAGTTGTCTCTGATAATTTCGTACATTGTTAGGTGAAAGCGAACGAATATCAAGTAAACTTGAGACGGAAGATATTCCAGACACAAACGATAAACTTTGACATGGAAATAATAGCGCCAAGAGGGAAGAGCCCGCCGTCATTTCAAATTTGTGTATTTCCAAATGGCCTAAAAAAAGCACAAGTGATTGATTCCTCTTGTGGTTTTATTATTATCATCGAGACATGGCACAACTCAACGAATGGCAACAACAAGTCAATAAACTTGCATCATATACGAGTTTCTTAGAACAACATCAGAAAAAAGTGGATGAAGAATATCAAGATAACAATATTCACACCCAATGGAAGATAACACAAGTATGAAGAATCTATATGCCTTCTTATATGGATAAATAATATCAACTCTCCTTAGGATATGATGCACAAACTCAAGTTTAGTTTTTTAGAGTTGGAAACCAAACGGCGTTTCCTAGAAAACATTCAAGTTTCAACCGATCAGGATATCATTCCAACCGACCAAAAAATAGCTGACTTGGAGATTACAACGGCACAATCCAAGAACCAAGTGAAACGCAGCAAACAGTATACGCAATCTCTATTTCAACAAATAGAGAACTTAGCAAATGATTGGGTACAAAAGAGAAAGCTCCATCAACAATATTTGCAAAGCTGCCAATATAAACTGGAACAGTTGCAAAAGTGGCAAGAACAAACCTCTACTACAAAAGATTACTTTAAAGAAGAAGATGGATATTTTCGGCAAATAAAATATTTGGACGAGACAAATGCCAAAGCTTTACTTCATCAACGAGAACTGCAACTTTCTCAACTGGCTTCAAGCAAACAACAATTGGAAGATAGACGAAATGAACTGATATGGGAATTAGAACCCTTAGAATCTGCAGTTCAACAAATGAGAAGTCATGTAAGTGTTTTAGAACAAGATGCAAATGAGAATATTCACGAAGATGATACTCGTTCCAAAATGAAACATATCATGACTTGGTATGACAATCTCATTCAATTTATACAGGCAATGAGTGGAGTTACTGTACAAGCCAGAGATGATAATACTGTGGACATAATCATTTCGTCGGAAGAAGATTCGATTCTGCTTTCGGAAGAACATCGACTTACTATCGAATGGAATGCTTCCTCCATTGTTCAAGTACAACTCGTTCCAGAACATATTTCCATACAAGATTGGAAACAAAAATGGCCAAAAACAAACCACATTCCTTATATAGTTCGAGAAATCATTCATCGTCTCTATGCATTTCATCATGAATTGGAAGAAATGAAGAAAGCCTACGAGAAAGAAGAAGAAGAAGAAAGAAACCTAAAACATTCAAAAGTCACACCACTTTCTCAGATATGGACCATTCCAACTTCCAATACAATTCGGTTATCCATCAATGAAACTATTTTCCTTGACTTGCAATTCCAAATTGGTTATCCCGATGGCAATACTCGTTTCGACATTATTCGATTCTTTGCCGCAACCGAAGAACAAAGACGCTGGTGGAAAAGTACTCAAGTGTGGAATAAGTTGATAGCTTTGAATACCGATAGTCTCATTGAGTGGCAAAGAGAAATGAGACAAATCATTCAAAGTACTATTCAGTCTTCCACAACATTTTCTCCTCTTCCTTCATAAAACTCGACTGAACATTACAAACTTTATCTCCATTCCAATGAAGATGATTGTCAACATTCGGAACACAAATCCATCGATGACTAACATCTCCCAGTTCACCTAATAAACTCTTTTCCCAATCCACTTGCATCGCTTTCTCCGAGAAACTTGTTTCTGCTCCTTGTAAAACCTCACAAGTCATTCCATTGATAACCAATTCAACTTTTCCAGAACGAAAAATCCTCAAACTACCCAATTTGCAACTTTTCATATGTCTAATGTCGGGATGTAACTGACTTTCTACTTCATTTTGAGACATCATATACTTCAATTCCCGTAGTTTAGCTTCAGTACTTGCACTTTCATCCACAGTTTCTTCCTTTTCATTATGCAAGTCTTTCTGTTGCATTTCTATAGAGTCCGATATAGGTAATGTAGGTGGCAATTGCACAAAGAACCATTTTTTTTCATGACAAAGTTTACTAGCAATGGACTTCTTTGCCAAGTTACCCTTCTGATGTTCTGTATTATCAACTTGTCCGAATTCATCCGTCGGCTGATTGGATATAGGCAAGACTACAGGCAAAAGAGAGGATGACCCATAAGTAACATTATAACCAACTGTAGTATTATAATTGTCATCTCGAGTATTCTCTTGTTCCTCGTCTGAAGAGTCCAACTGAAGACAAGTGTTACTATTCTGTTTAACTTTTGTCTCGTTGTTTGTTGTTTGTATGAGAGGTTCCTTTTTAATTGGTTGTTCTAAAGCTTTGTTTTCTGTTTTTAAAGTGCTTCCTTCAAGGGTCTTCTTGGTTGACTCGTTTCTTGTTTGTTCCACAGGTGGGCTATCTGTCGTTTTATCTTGTGAATCAACTTGAAGTTGTTTTCTCCTTCTCCTTTCACTAGGTATTGTAGGTGCAAAGCGTCCACGAGGAACCATAGGTACCTTGCTTTTATTGTTCATATTACTTTGCTAGTTGTTCATCTACAAAAAGTTTCCAACCATTGATGCATCTCATAAAGTACATGCAATACGGATTCTCTTGAACGATAATGATGTGCTTCTAATGGCAATTTCAGAAATCGAACGACTTTTCCTAATCCTTTTAAAGCTGAAAACATACGTTCGCTTTGTAACAAATGGGTGCCGTCGTTGTTATCCAATTCTCCATGAATCAATAGTAGAGGAGAACTTATTCTATCTGCATACATAAAGGGAGACATTTCTATGTAGTTGGATGGAATTTGCCATAAATTCCTATCTTCCATTTGAAATCCAAAGGGAGTCAACGTACGATTGTAAGCACCTGAACGAGCAATTCCACAACAAAATAATTTAGGTGCATGTGCTAACAAATTGGCTGTCATAAATGCACCATAAGAATGCCCACCTATCGCAATTCTATGTCGGTCACTCACACCTCGTTCGACCAAGAAATCTACTGCAGCTTGTGCACTTGAAACCAGTTGTGAAATGAAATGATCGTTGGGATGTCCATCTCCTTCTTTTGCTATAATAGGCATTTCGGGACCATCCAAAATAGCATAGCCTTGAGTCAACCAATACAAAGGTGACCTAGCTAAATGAACAAAACGAAATGGTGAATCTCTCAACTGACTTGCAGTATCTGATGAAAGATATTCTTGTGGATAGGCCCATATAAAAGTTGGCAAAGGTCCACTTTTCTTTGGATCGTAATGAGGAGGAAGATATAAATTAGCATGTAATTTCACTCCATCTTGACGATCATATTCTACCAATTCTCTTTGAATTTCCAAAAACCCTGGAAAAGGATGTTCAAAAAAGGTCAAAGGCTTGATACAAGAATCATGAGATGGCTTGTTGGATACGATATTATTCCAAGTATCCACGAGATGACCATTCTCCTCATATGTCTGCTTTTGCTGTATTTCATAAAAACTTGGCAAGTCAACAACATAAACATTAGGCAATTGTTTTGGAGACTCTCGAGAGATGAGCAATTGTGTAATTTGTTGTTGATCATCTTCAGAATATACTCCTATGCATCTTTCATAATAAGGTGGTGAACTTTGCCATAATCTCCATCTTCTTTTTGTTTGAGTATCCAATATATCCAAATAAGGTCTATCTCCTTTATCAGAAGCTCCAGGGCCTATCAAATAAACAAATGGACTTTTATCGTTCTTCAAAAAGTCAATAGTTCTCAATGTCCACTTTCCAAAAGTTTTCATTCTAGACATGGGATATCCTGGAAGGTGATAACGATCTTTCCAATTAGGAATGTCCCATAAACATTCCAAGTCACTAACCATAGATGGTTGGTTGATACAAAAAGAATGTCTTTCAACTATCGTATGATGAGATAACAAAGTTGTACAAGTCTTCCTTTCAATATTCAAAGGAATGTGACAAGAATAGACTCGTCTTGAACGACTTTGATACCATTCTTCCCATACCAAAGTATATTCATTATCACTCCAATCGATATCTTCCAATCTCCATTTCAACTTGAATAACAAAATGGGATGATCGTTGAATGGAGCAGATATGCAATATAATGCATCTCTATATTCTACTTGGTTCTTAGGATTGCCTTGATCCAATGCTTGAACCCAACAAAGAGTAGCATCCACATTAGCTCTCCATTGAAAATTTCGAGGACAATCAGGAACTGCATCCATATCGATAGGAATATGTTCTTGTAATCCCAATTCAGCAACTATTGTAGTAGAAGCATCCTGAATATGAAATATTTCAATCTTTCTAGGAAATCGAGAAGCAGGAAACAAATAAGAATAAGGCCTAGTCATCTCTTCAATCAGAATATATTTATCATCGGGTGAAATACTTGTTCCTGTAAAGCAACTGGGTTCCAATGGCAACGACTTGCAACTCTTATCCAAAATATCATAAATAGCCAACTCACTTGTACAATAGTACTCTAAACAAGCTTCATCATAACTATTCTTGAGTACATCTTGAAATGTTCTAGCAGGAGCTTCACGCTGTTCCTCATGATGTTGTATAAATGGGCCTTGTGGAATAGATGGACTATTCTTTAAACTTGTCTTGTTGGATACCAAATGGATTAACAAACGTTGAGAATCATGAAACCATTTCACTGGACTTTCACATATCGCATGCAGTTTTTGATTTCTTTCCAACAATAACGGATATACTTGACGCTCTTCAATATCACATAACCACAATTGCAAACCAAATTGGGGTTTGAAAACACAAAAAGTAAACTTTCTTCCATCCGGAGCCCAATGAATATCACAAAGCTTTAAAGAATATTCCTTTTCTTCTTCTAATGAATAAGTTGAGTGGCAAGCTTCCTTGTTCTTGGAATGGAGGAGAAATGCTTTCAAACTTTGAGAAATATCCATAATGCATTTGGGTTGACTATTCGATAACTGCCATATTTGGATATTGGATACAAAACTCATTCTTGAAGGTGTGAAAGTAGAAGGATGAATGCGATATCCAGCTAAACGTAATTCAGGTCTGGAAAGTTCTTCTATACTCGGTAAAGAAGGCGAGTCGATAACCAACATATATTCTTTAGGATATCCTGGAGGAAAGGAAACGGTATGATCCAACTGCATATCCACTAACTGTACCATTTCTTTGGGTGGAATCTGGTAAGGAATGGTTCCTTGTTGATTCCAAAGTCTTTCGCTCTGATTACTTGCAGCGGAGGTAGAAAGCATATTTTTCCTTGGAATATTACCATCGATACTACATCTGCGCAACTTGTATAGAAAATGGACCCGATACGAATATCCAAAGAATCGAACCCATTGCCTTGGTCTCTTCCATAACCGACAACAACTACTACAAACTTGAGTATGTATCCAAGCTTGGTTTGGAACAAGTTTTACAAACATTGTTCACTTTACACACTCAACAGTCAATAATCTCAATAGGAAAATAGTTGAGTCTATTTCAATCCTAAACTATTTTCGATTATCTTATTTCACAAAAGAAAACGGGGCTCGATATTAAAAAGTGCAATGGAACAACAAGGACTCAAGATTACTGAACAAGACAATATCAATGCCTTATTCTTTGAAGACCGACGACCAACTCAAGACGATGAACAACTATTAGAAGAAATTGTATTTGGTAAAGAACCAAGTGAAGCATACTTTCCTGAGGCAGGTTGGAAGTGGGAAGAAAGAGACGCGGCTCCTTCCGTGTGGCACGACGATGAAGAACAAGAGAACATTGTCCATCTTGCTAGAGATAAGAGACTGCGCAAGTTGAGAAGTAATATTGGAGAAGATGTTGTATCCACAAGACAATATGAACAAAAGTTGAGACGGCTGTTTGTGGAAAAGAATCGTTTCGCACTTGATTGGTGTCCTTCGGTAGAGAATAGGGAGAACCATTCCTCCTTCGATAATAATAACCAAGAAGAAGAAAACATTTGGAACGCGAAATATAACCATTTAAGAGCAATTGATGGTACATTAACCGTAGACAACGATTCACGCAATAGTCAGAGAAGAAAGCCTGACCGGATATCCTTACAGCGCGTATCAGACGCCAATCAAGAGGACCCTTGTTGCTCTACTATTTTTGCTACTGAGTTTCATCCAGGTGGGAGACTGCTTCTAGTTGGAGGTTTAGATAAAATATTGCGACTATTTTCAGTCGATGGAATGGTCAATCCCAAAGTGGAAAGTATTTATTATGCCAATCTTCCTATAAGATGTGCACATTTTATACTCGATGCCAGTCGCATATTGTCTGCTGGTAGACGTCGATTTCTTTATGAGTTTGATATGGTTTCTGGACAATCCCATCAATTACTTCCCTTTCAAGGTGAGTCATAATGGAATGTGATGAATATAAATATCAAGAGAGTATATGTGAATGTAGATCATTATGAACGTACTTTTGAGAAGTTTCAAGTATCTTGGAATGGAGACCGATTGGCATTTTTAGGAGACAATGGCAAAATTTTATTATTAGATGCAAATACCAAAGAAGAGTTGAGTTGTCTTTATGCCAGTCCAGGATTACACGATGTTGCATTTTCACCCAATGATGTGGATATATTATCATGTGGAGGTAAATAGATATTATTCTGGATGTTGTTAGATGACTCAATTGGACAAGATAATGGAATGATTCATCATTTTGACTTGAGAACTCATCGTTGTGTATCCAAATGGATAGATGAAGGAGCCTCATCACTTCATTGTATTCGTTTTAGTCCTTTGGGTAATTACTTTGCTGTTGGTAATGGCGATGGTTTAGTACATCTTTATAGTGCTTTGAATAGTTCTTTTTCTCTCATCAAAGAGTTTTCTAACCTAACCACTTCCATTCAAGATGTATGTTTTCATCCAGATAATCAATTGTTAGCTTTTGCATCTAATATAGGAAAGAACAAAGTTCGGTAAGCTTATACAACTTGTGAAAAAGTTTCTCTCATGGAATATCTAGTTTGGCAAATATTTCCACTCAAACAGTATATCGAAACTGGCCTCCACAATGGCAACATTTGAATCATATACAATGTATGAGTATGACGGAACCATATTTTGCTTTAGGCAATGATCATGGAAGAGTTGTGTTGTACAGTTTACCTTAGCGCGCATATATATATATATATATATATATATATACTCTCATCATTTTCTATCTATACTTTTTAGTAAAATAGAATACAAATTTTTAATTTCCCCATTATCCACTTTTTAAGTTTCAACTGTAGCACTTGAGTCCATTCTTCGATAGTGTGAATTATTATCTACAGAAGAAGAAGACATGGAAGGCAACCATTGAATATCCATTCCATTCCATTTTCGTTGAAAAAAGGATGCAGTTTTTCGTTCCTCTCTTTGAGTATCTCTACCAGAATGCATAATCCCGTTGAAATCTTGAGTTTCATTGTCATGGCCAAAATGATTACTACTCAATAGTTTCTTTCCATGGATAATGGTTTCATGATTCCTTATCAAAGAATGGGTTATCTTATTTTGTACTGCTCTTTCTTCAGATGCTTTAATAGCCTCTTCTTCTTCTTCTAATTGTATTTCAATCATTTTCTTATCGTTATATTTGATTTGAATCAACTCTGCAACTTCTTCAATCACATGCAAGGCAAATTCCAAGTCTTCAGAGGTATGTGCTGCCGATAAACAAATACGTGCTCTCGATAATAATAGTGGAGTTGCCGGAAAACCAACCACCACTACAGCTAGTCCTCTTGCTAAACATTCTCTTGAAAATGCTGCAATCTTGGCTGGAGGATAAAGCATGATAGGAATGACAGGTGAACCAGGGTCTCCATATACCTGAATTCCCAACTCAATTAGTCGACGTCTAAACATAATAGCATTCTCTCGTAAACGAACAATCTTTTGTTGACCAATATCTGTCTTATCCTTTCCCATGATCTGTTCTAAAGCAAATAAAATATGTTGTGCACAAACTGCAGACATAGAACTGGAATACAAACAACCAGGAGCACTGTTTCTCAAATGTTCAATCAACTCACGACTACCAGCAATATATCCACCAACCGCTCCAAATGACTTTGTAAAAGTACCCATCAGAATATCAACTTCACTATGAGGAATGTTCCAATATTCAGGAACTCCACGTCCACTGTGACCCAAAGCTCCAATACTATGGGCTTCATCCAAAAATAAATATGCTTTGTATTTCTTCTTCAATTCAATTATTTCAGTTAATGGACATATTTCACCTTCCATGGAATAAATGCCTTCTACAATAATAAGAATCTTCTTCCATGGACGATGAGTTCTCGGTTGTCCTTCAGCAATAGCCAATCTCAATTGCTTTTCCAAGTCTACAGGATTATTATGTCGGAATACTTTAATTTTGGCTCCAGAAGCCCTGGCTCCTACTACAATACTGGCATGGTTCAACTCATCCGAAAGAATCAAACAACCTGGACCAACTAGAGAAGGAATTATCTGGGAGTTGGTAGCAAACCCCATTCCCATAACTAGAGCTGCTGGTCGATTCAAAAACTCTGCTACCAAAGACTCCAGACGAGCATGGACATCAGTGTAACCTGTATCATTAGGCGTCCCACAACTACTTACACCATAAAAGTCAAGAGCTTTCAAAACTTGGTCATCCACACCCCCAGGAACATCCGCATAACCCAAATAGTTATAACTCCCCAAGTTGAGGCATCTCTTTGTTTTGCCGTTGATACGCAAGTCTTCACCATAATTGATGACGTCCCTCAACATGACATCTATGTACGCTCCAGGCGCAGAACATACAGGTCTACTCCAGCAGTCTCGAATTCGACTGTACAAACGACGAGTATAAAAGTCTTCAAAATCACTTAAAAGACGAGCATAACCTTGAGGTACCCTGAACTTTTTCCTACGAAATAGTTTCCCAATAAAGTCCTTGAGGTACCCAAAACAAATGACCATAGCATAACTAAAGTATGTGGTCAACGCTACAATATAAGGAATTCGATCATATAAACTTTTGCTATTGTTCTTCATCCTGATAACTTTAATAGTGAATTTCGAAAAGCGTTCCACAAACACTTCTTCTTCCTCCTCCCTTACACAAAAATGCAATTACTCAATTGGGAAAGCAAATATTTAACGGTCAGCTCAAAAGAAGTGACGTCGACCAACACAATTAAGCCAATCTCATCAGAACAATTTTTCGGGGAGTTCGGGACTCTCTTCTAGACGAAAGATACTTGAGGGTGCGCAAAAGTGGAGATAGGAAAGAATATGGAGTTGTGTTTCCTTTTGAAGGTGACATGACAAGAGAAGCAAATATGGTTATTTTATCTTTTTGTTATTCAAATTAATTATGAATCTTACAACACTTACTGTTATTGGTTTTTTCATATGAAGGAAATGGGAGAAGATTCTCATCTCTAGAATCGCATCTATCATTATTATGTCAACCTATGGTGTGGGTGGAGTGCTCACTTTTCTCGTTTTGATTATACCTTCAGTCACATACATTATTTATAAGACTCAAACCAAACCTGAATACAATCAATTGTTGTACGAGTCAACTCAAGAATATCCTCTGCGAAGGTTATTTGTTCCAGCAAGACAGACATGTCCAGTTGAGGATTTGTCTCACATAAAGAGCAAAGAAAACTTGCAGCCATTTCATCATGTCTTTATTATCATGTTGGAAAATATGGGCAACAAAGTCATTATTGGTAATGAATATATGCCATTTATCAACTTGTTAATAGAAAACTTTGGGTTTGCTGCAGAATATTATGGAGTTACACACACAAGTCTACCCAATTATATTGCATTGACTTCGGGAAGTAACTGGTGGAGTCATAACGATTCCACAGAACAAGTGTTCAACCATACTTGTATTGCTGACCAATTGGAACAAAATGGTCAAACTTGGCGAAATTACGCTCAATCTATTCCTTATGCAGGATATAAAGAAACTTCTATTTATCCTCCAAATAGCAGTTTCTTATGGTTCCAAGATCATTGTCCTTTTCTATTCTATCCTCAAATCTTCTCGCAGTCTGACAGACTCGCAAACGTTGTTCCTTTACACCAACTTGAAAATGATTTGGAAAATTGTACAACTCCTCATTTTGCCTTTATAACTCCTGATGCTTGTCATGATATGCATGGAGGTTCTGACCTTTGTCCATCTGTACATTTGTATCCTAATGAACCAAATAAGTTACTCGATTGCTTAGATGCAAATGTGACTTTGGAAGACTGTCAAAAAATACGTTACTTGTGGAAAACGGGAGACGATTTTGTACGTGAATGGGTAACGAAGATTATTCAGTCACCCAGTTGGATTGGAAACTCAGTTATATTTGTAACTTTTGATGAAAGCAACTTTAACGAACCACTTGACGAATTCATCCGAGGAGGTCCCAACACCGACTATATATATGGCTCCAACTTTACATTTGATGGCCATAGCTTTTTTATTCAAGGCTTGTACGGAGGAGGACATATACCTTTGATAGTTATTTCCCGAAACTATCCTTATCACGTTGTTTCTCATCGTACAAGTAACCACTACAATTTGTTAAAGACAATCGAGGCCTCTTGGGGTTTGGACTATTTAGGTTTCGCAAGTGATAATATACAGGTTTCTGTATTATCCGAGTTTTTCTCCTCATCATTTAACAAGTCTTTCCTATAAATATCTCGAGTCGGTCCCTTATTCCAAAATACTTTTTCCATCCATTTGCATTTTCCTTGCAACTCGTCCACTTTGGATTAAAGACGGCTTGAGTGGGTTTGCCTCGTATTTTTGTTTGCTTACTTGAACTATGGCTTCAGGATTGTTTCTTTTGAAACAACTTTTGGGGAAATGTGGGAACCGTAGTGTGGTTAGTGGTGTTGAATCTCTCCGATCCTTTCCTAATTCCATGTCCTCGCTTGTATACCCTGTTTCACAGTCTTATCATTATTTGTCGACTAGTAACAACAGACTATTCTCTGCAGTACCTTCGGAGGAGAAGTCCAATAAGGAAGTAAAAGGCACAGCTCAAGAAACTTCTAAAGAGAATACTTCTCCGGCCACTTTACAGGATAGTTTTGGCTTTCAACTCAAAACAGGAACACCGGATAGAATGCCATCCTCATTTGATCAAGCCACGGGAAGTGAAAGAGCAGAATTGGAAGATCCCGATTTGTATCGCAATCCTGAAAAGTATGTGAACAGTAGAGTAATGATTGCTCCTTTTGGTACCAAAGAAAAGCCTCTTTTGATTCCTAGTCGTTATGATTCACGCATAATTGGTTGCACTGGTACGTCATCGTGGGGTGGCAAAAGATTCTTTTAGAATATATATATATATATACTGAAATGTATTTGTGTTATAGGAAGAGAAGCACCCAATGATCATGAAGTTTATTATATGACTGTGAAGGAGAATCATGACAAAGTTTGTCCATTATGTGGTCAAGTATTTCGTCTCAAGAAAGTAGCTGGAGGTGAAGAAGCCTCACATCATCATCATGAATAGATGTATCCGTTGTTGTATGGAAAATCGACCTCGTTTCAACTCAAGAAATCATTCAGGTTTCTTTTCTAAAGTGATAATAAAATAATTTCTGTTTTATTCACTTTTAGGAACAAAAACATAGGATTGGTCTATCTTCTCAAAAGTAATTCGCAAACCACAAGTCGAACATTGCTTGTACCNTAAACGATGCCCCATATTATTATTATTATTATTATCATCATTTTCTTGACAAAGTTGTTCTTCTGAAAACTCATGAATATGTTCAGTTGAGGTTGGTATTGCTACATCTGTATGAGATGATGATTGTCTATCTCCTAATGATATGCGAGCTCTCTTCTTCGATCCCTTTTCATAGGAAAGGTCGTCTTGTAACAAACCTCCATATTTTTGTTTGACCTAAATATATTCAAAGCAATATGGTTACATTTCCTTCTATTTCCAAATGACTTACTCGAAGTTGACTTTGGACATGACGAATACAAGCCTTCCATAACTGAAGTGCTCGTTCATATCTTCGTTTCATTTGTTCATCTTCCTTGTGTTGGCAATCTTGTCTACAAGCATCCTCTATAACTTCCTAAATATCATAAACTTAATGGACATTTCTTGGCAAGTAGATAACATAGACTTGCTTGATATTCTTTTGCAATCACAATCCCATCCAATATAGGAACAGAACGACCTTGATGAATATCAAAACCAATCATAGCTGGTGCATAATCTAAAGAAAGGCGTTTGGCTATCATGGCAGCATTGGAATATCTCACATGTATGCAACTTAAACTCCATCTTAAAACAATATCCATAAAATAGATTCTCTTCTTATCCTACCCTTGTGGTAAATGACTTTTACTCCACAAGTCTACCTGTCCTCTTTTATTCTTAGGCACTTTTCCATTCTCTACAGATGGAGGAGTAAAAGGCTCAGTTTGCCATATTCCAAATAATTCGGTTCCTTCTTCATGATTTGCATTTCTTTTTGTCTTGACCTATTGATATATACAATGTCAGTCTTCTTTCATCACAAGCACAAATATACGTAACTCTTTTCCAAGCAACTTGATCCTTCAACACTTGTCTCATCTCACGTATCCAACCATCTCTGTTCTATTCAAGTATGTCTGAAATATCTATTTTATTTACTTACCTCGTATGTAAAATATGAACATTTGAACGAGGATATACTGGATATTCTCCACAATAACCCAATATTCTATCTTTGGGATAAATAGCTTCATATTTCTTTAGGTGCATTTCTAAAACATATTGAGGATGACCTTTTAACCTATTTTATATATATATATATATATATATATGATGACTCATATCTTTATATACAATATTTCATACATACTTTTGTATTTGGTTAGGAATGGGTTCCATGTTATTCCAATATTCCCATTCTCGTTCTTCATGTATGATACATACATCTGATTGAATAATGTTTCGTTGATATTGAGTATGACTGAAAGCTTCCATAGTCTTCTCCCAAAATTCATCTTTCAGTCGTTGATTTCTTATGATGGAAAGAGAAATATATCGAAGAGTTACATCCCTTATGATGGTCACATCATCTCGTACATTTTCTATCGCAGTAATATATATTGGATATATCATTCGCTGTCTAAAGGGATGCCATTTCCATTTCTTATAACTGGACTCTACCCAACTTGGTTCATCTATCAATAAATGAAAAGGATCGATATGTACCCAACGTTGTAATAGGGGAGAATATACTTCCAACCAATATATACAAGGAAGTGACTCTAAAGAATGACAAGACATTTCCTTGCAATACAAACTACCAGGCAAAGCTACAAAGAGAATGCTTTAGAATGATTGTTCTTATCTATTCATGGACTTACCCAACTCCATCATCCACGGTGCAAATAACCACCAAAAGGAATCATCACAACAAGACAAGTTGTTGGTATTGGAATGCTGAACAGTTGAATTCCTCTTTCTCGCATCTCTAAAAACTTCATCTCTTGTCCACCAAGGCTGTCTTTGAAACGGTATCAAACTCTGAACCAAACGACATCGCATTCCTAAACCACGAAATATCGCGCATACAAAAACAACAAATAGGGAAGCCACAGGTCTTGGTGACTCTAACCACTGCTGAATATGAAAAGGTTGCCAAAACATATAGTTGCCATAATCCTTGCAGTTGAGTATTCTTTTTTGTTGTCCAACAAAATGACAACAAAATAGAACAAGACGACGACACTTTTCTTTCCAATCCTCCACAGTTGCTTGAGTTTCTTCTTCACTCAAAAGACAGTCTCTCGGAATCACTGAGAGACAACTTCCTATCACCAAAGGATCACTAGCCAATTCGTTCAGTTTCATCAAAGAACTAAGCAGTATCAGTAGATGGGTCTTGTGCATTCGTAGTGCCTGTAATCTATCTTCTTTGCTATATGGGCTTTTTACTTTGGAACTTGTGGCTGACTGTTCTTTAGAACATTCTATAAGCGTGGTCGAACTCGTTCTACTCTCCTGTGCAGTGGTTTCTTCCTGAGCATTGTCAACAGGAACAGAAGCTTCCGACCATTCTATGTCTTCATATTCTTCATATGTCTGTTCCACTTGTAGTATAGAATCTTTACAATTATCATTAGTATTCTGGTTATTGGCTTTGTTCGAATGCTTTCTGTTGGACTTTTGGGTCATTGGAGAGAAATCATATCAGTTCATTTGCTTCCCTTTATTATTTTCCGTTAATGGAGATCGATCCTGTTGGAATAGACTTTTCTTTAAACCCTCGAAGAAAACCAAGTGCACAAGTAGAAAGAATTCCCCTTTTGGATGAAGATATTCATGGAAGTTTGGATGAAGACACAAGAAATCACTCTCTGCGTGCTAACTTTTTACCTCCAGCTTTTTCACCAACCAAGGAATCAGACAGTGTGGGTACTATTGAGTGGCCATCGGAAGAGTTTACTGTTTCAAGTCCTGTCTTTACCAATCTTCCTCAAATAAGACCCAGTCATTTGTGTACTGCTTCTGAAGAGACCCAGAGATTACGTAGAAAATTATTGAGAGGTGCCAATGTATTGATTGTACAAGCTGGCTATTCAGGGAAACGATTTATTTATGAAAGATTAAAGGAATTGGGAGTACAAGTTACCATAATGGATGGTAAGTTGTCTATATTTGAGATAGACTATACCGTTGTCTTTTGTTTTATCGAATAACATATCAATAGGACCAGACAGCTGGGCACGCAACTTGTTGGATCAAGGTCTCATTAGAGACTATTTGGAATTGGATTTCACTGATTATTCGACAGTATTTGATAGAGCCATGCGACTTGTTCGTCAATTGGATTATTCATTGGATGGTGTTACTACTTATTATGAAGATGCGGTTCCTTTGGCAGCACGCATTGCTTACGAATTAAAGTTGATGGCCAATCCAGTATTTGCTTGTGAAAGTGCTCGAAATAAACAAAAGACGCGTAGTTGTTTGAAAGAAAAGGGACTTGCTGTACCTGCTTTCTATTTGATTCGAGACAAAGAAGATTTGCCTTTGGCAAGTGAGGTGGTGGGATTTCCAGCCATTTTGAAACCAGTGGTAAGTATATATATATATATATATATACCTCAATTGTAAGAAGAGGAATTTTCTTATATTTGATATTCTAGTATGGTGCAGCAAGTATGGGTGTTTATAGAGTGAATGATTATCAACAATTGGAAGAAGAGTTTAATCAATTGGTGCCTTTGATGGATCCCAAAAAGGACTCCATCTGGGCTCAAGGCACTGAAATGATTTTGGAAGAATATTATGACGGAGATGAATTTGATGTCGATGGTATGTATGTAATTTACTTGTAAAAGTATTTCTATATGCAATGGATTGTTAGTGTTGTTATTTAGTGGCCAAGTTGTGTATTGTGCTATTTCAGATAATTGGGCCTGTTGTGAACCTTGGTTTCAAGAAACAGGTACCAACATTCCTTCTTTGTATCCTTTAGAGAAACAAAAAGAGTTGATGGTTTTTGCACAACAGTGTACGCTTGCATTGGGTTTTGTATTGGGAGCTTTTCATGTCGAAGTGAAATATACTTCTCGAGGTCCTCGTTTGATTGAAGTCAATGCCAGAATGGGTGGCATGTGTGTAAGAGATGCAAATTTGGTTGCTTGGGGTGTAGACTTGGTAGAAGAACATATGATGGCATCGTTAGGAATTCCTATTCGACCTTTGATGCCCAGAAAGCCACTTGCTTATTTAGCTGAAGCAGCTGTCAATGCACCGTATTCAGGTATCATTGAAAGTGATGACTGGTTACAAGTGTTGAGTGATGATCCTCGTACCAAAGTATTGAGATATTTTAAGAAGAAAGGTGATATGGTTCGAGGACCAGAAGATGGAATGCCCGATTGGATTGCTGAAATTATTTGTGTGAGTTTAGTTTCTGGAAAGGATGCCTTGGAATACATGCAAAGGGCATTGTGTGAAAGGTTACAAGTTCCTATCAAACCATTACAAGGAAAAGAGAGGAAGAACTTTTTCTTCCCAAAACATAGTCATCCATTTACTTTGTTGACATACGATGGATAGAGGAATAGAGAAAAGTAAAGATAGGAAACCAGAAAAGGGGGAATTTCATAACTTGGCGGGCTAATCTTATTTCCCCTCTTCTTCTTTGCCCATTTGAAAGACACGGCACAATTAAAAATGAATTATGAGGCGTCACTACTACTACTACTTGTTGTTGTGGGAATTGTTGTGCGCCTTTTCTAACCAACAACAAGTGTGTGTATGATACATGTCGGAAAGCAATACATTGAAAAACATTTCTTCTCCTGGAAAAGCCGACTTGTCTCCAGGAAAATACCGTGAACGACTACATCAAATTTTGTCAAAAGTACGAGCATCACAGGAACAAGTCTATTCTCCTTTGAAGAATACACCTTCTCCACTTGATGAAAAATATTCTCGTCACTCAAGAACTGTATCTGTTGATGTTTCTTCCGCAGGATTGCCACGACCAAGTTCTCGTAGGCTGAGTTTTGAAAAGGTCTCTCCTGTTCCCCCTATCTCAACGGAAGACATCGAAGATAAACAAGAATCTCGATATAGGCCTAAACAACAACAAGATGTTAATCAAATTAACGATGATAGCAAGTCATCGTATCAATCTTTCAAGGTTAAACACCATAGTCGCTCACAAAGTCTCATTGAAAAAGTTGTTTCTACTAATACTGGAGGAGCATCTAGTCCATTGAATTCACATTCCAAGCATTCTTCTCGTTCATCCATGAATGAAAACAATTATCTCCCTTCAATACGCGAAGAAAATGTTATTCATGAGGTAAGAAAATGATCGTATGTATACTTGCATGAAGGGCTCAAGGTTTCTCCACAAGGATGAATTGCCTGATGACTCAAATCCAATGAACCAATTACCTGAGCTATTGGAACAACTAGGTAAGAAAAAAACCTTTGGAACTTGATATTCTTGCCATTTATATGTGTACATGTTTATTGTAGAAAAGACTCCTCAATTGCGAACTTATAGGAAATCTCATCATTCCAAGGAATGGAAAAATACTCCAGTCCATCAAACTGAAGAAGAACTGTCCATCCCACCCACAACTCCAATATCCAGTGAGCCTACCTTGACAAAGCCAACAACTTGGACGGAGAAAACCAAAAAAGATATTCGACGCAAGAAAGGTGGCAAAAGGCATTATCCAACCCTTCCTACTTGGTTTAAAGACACATTTCGAGATTCCAGGTCTTATAGTCAAGACAACGTATGTCATAATGAAAAAGAATCGAGTCCTCCTCTATTCCATATGGGTCTTCCAACAGCTGCCATGGAATTTCTCATTTCAGAAGATTTGTTGTATGCACTGTTAGGAATATCTGGGAAAATGACTAGTTATTTGGAAAGTATTCGCTCTTTGGAACAACAACATGCGATGACTTGCAATCCAGCCATCAATTTGGGCTGTCGTATATTACCTCTTGCAGATGATTTGAGTAGAATCCAGTCATTCATCGATGACGTTACTTATGAGTCAGGGTTGGTTAAACAAGCTACTTGTGGAGTTTTAAAATCTTTGATTCATGAATACTATCGAAGAATTGTCTCTATTGAAAGTTTACTTCGTCGTGGAGAATTATCATTGCAAACATTATGGCTTTCCTTACAACCTTGTTTTCGAACGATGGCTGTTTTGAGACGTATTGTGGATGCATTGAACCATCCAGATATTAGAGGCAGCCTAGCATTAGGAACATTGCATTCCATTACTTTGCAACTTCAAGGTGATCCAGACGCCTATGAAGTAGCTACTAATATTATGAGAGTGGCCTTTCAGCCTATGATCGATTTCCTTTCTCTTTGGTTGAACTCTGGAGTTATTTATGATCCATTTGAAGAATTTTTTATTACTGAACAAGAAAAATACAAAGGATGGGAACCAGGTGAAGTTGTAGATGACTCTTTTTGGGAACTTCGTTTTATATTAAGAAAATCTCAAGTACCATCCCTTTTTAGAGGAATTGCTACCAAAGTAAGTTGAAATTGATTTTCATACAATAATAGTTATTTCACTTACATATTAGATATTAACGTCTGGTAAATACAAATGTGTCATGAAAGCTCTCCTTTCCAAGTCCTATATTGAACATTCTTCTTTATCTTATCATCCATTCATAGAAAGCGAAGAAATGCCTCAAGAAGATATTTTGGACAAGATATTCTCGTCAATTGAAAACTGTTTTATGTATTCTTCAAAAGAACTATTTGATGTGCTATGCCAACGCTTTCAATTGTTATCATTTTTAGGATTTCTAAAGCACTATTTGCTTCTGAGTCAAGCAGACTTTCTTGGTTTCTTTTTAGATTTTGCTCGTGAAGAGTTAAATAAGCCTATCGCTACTATTTCTACGGAAAGTCTCAATGCACTATTAGAACTTTCCATTCGGAGCTGTTGCAACTTTTCGGAAATGGAAACCCAAAAGGATGCTTTGTTTTGTCGTCTCATGCCTCAATCTTTAACTTCTCAGGTAAGCAAACGAATAATTTTAGCTCATGAAAATCTATGGATTGGTCTTAATGGTTGATAGTTGTTAAGAATTATTCATTTGAATGATACGACTGACCATACGACACCTGGCAAAGATGAAATACATGACAAGGACATATTTGGTTATGAGGCATTTTGTTTGGATTGTCACATTCCATTTCCACTTTCCATTGTGATATCGAAGAGGATGCTTACCAAATATCAACTTGTATTCCGTCATTTATTTGCATGCAAAATGGTGCATCGTAAATTGGAAGATGTTTGGATACTTTTAAAGACTCAACGTTCTTGTTTCCGAGACAAATGGATTTCCAATAGTTATATACTGTTTCATCGAATGATTCATTTTCTAGACAGTGTCTTATACTATGACTTTATGGAAGTGATTGAACCCAATTGGAAGGCAATGGAACTAGCGCTGAAAACAGGATGTGACAAGTTGGAAGTTGCCAATCGCAAACACAACGACTTTTTAGATACCATTTTAAAACAATGTATGTTAACCAACCCAAAATTGTTGAGAACTCAATCCAAACTCTTGAATGCTTGCGTCATGTTTTGCAGTTGTATTCAAGACAACATAAGTAATCCATCACTATCGATGAGAGAGGCTGAAGAGACGATTCTCAAGATTGGCAATTACTTTATTTCGCATTTACAAGTGTTGACTGAATCATTGAGTGCTTTTTCATTGGTTGATGCTGAACCTCATCTTGCCAATTTATGTACTCGTCTCAATTTCAATGACTTTTTATTACATAAACATATCACTCATGGGAAGGAATCCGTATTGGAAGATGTATTCTAAGGAAAGCTTTGATGAATAATTAACGGTTGACAACATTTCACAATATCTGCTCTTTGTATCAAACCGTATTCAAATAAATTCAATAAATGCATTCTCCAAAGATGAAAGAGATCCCATTGTACAATATCTTTGGAGTGTTCTACAACTCAACTTACTCATTTTCTTTCCATCAAAAGACACAACCACCCACCTTGAACAAATTGTTCACAAATAATTGGCAATTGAAAGTCAGCAATCACTCTATTCTTTCTCACAAAGGAATTCCATAGTTGAAAAAATACTCTCGTGCGATGCGATAATATTTCAGTTTCCAACCATTGTGTTTCCAACTCTTCTTTCCATTCTTCAGAATACTATGAAAAAGAAACCACATTATTATTATTATTATTTCCTGCTATGAAAACATCCAACACTTACATCGCTTTCACTATCTCGATCCATTTCATCTGGAGCTACTGGATGCAATGTTACTGTATGATAATAAGTACGATCCTTCAATTGAGGCATCTCATCTTTCGTTGTTTTGGAGGATTTGCTGCTGCTGCTTCCCACGACATTCTTTTTCATGGTTGGACTTTTCGATATCCTTCGATAAGAAACTTGAGCATCTATACAACAACTTTTATCTATGTTTTGTTCCTCGTCATTTACAACTACTCTCATACCTTTTTCTGTCTTATTCATAGGCTGAGAAGATGAAGAATATGAAATATTCTCATGTTCTACAAATTGTTCAAGCAAAGCTTTGGTCGTTTTCTCCGCCATTTTCCACACATCCATTCCACTCGTAGCAAACTTCATCGTAGAAAAGTAAACCTTACCGTTTTTCACAGTCGGTGCTAATATGTTCCAATTCAAAGCCATCAATTCACATTGCTCTTGTTTCCATCCCAAAGTAACATAACTCGAAAAAAAGTGGCCAACTTCATCCACGTATTCCAACAATTGAAACATATCTACTTTGTGTTTAAAATAACCCTATCCAGAACAAACACACAGACACAGATTACGTGTAAGTATACCATCATTCCCATCAATCTACACTCGACGAGTGAAAATACAAACCTCGATCAAATTGGCACCTTCCAACTTCCAACGAAATATTGTGTGGATACGTTTCCAATGCTTGGAAAAGTTTTCAATCGTTTGATAGTCCCAAAAACACAGTGGACAGTAACTATTCACCGCTGTCAAGGTCTTCATAGGTTGACTATGAAAGTCCTCAAACAGACGAATGGTACAAGTAAAGTCTTGTCCTTGTTGCGTTGCTTCACTTTGTATTATTGGATTGTGTATAGTACTCCATGGCTCGTTGGTTTCTAATTGTTGATATAATCGATCCAGTACTTGTTCCCAGGTTTGGGTACGTGGTGGGACATGAAAAGTTCTAGTGTGAGTTCTCCACAAGAATATCTTATCTCCTTTTTTCCAACGCTTTCCCAACTTTTCATATAGTTTACAAGCTTCCTATAATATTAGTCACCACACAAAGTACACTTGAACGACACAATACAAACCACACCCACCTCCACTCTATTTGACATTTTCACCCAAAAATTTTTTATAATATGTATTTATATATATATATATATAAATATATGCAATGATCGATCAATCAATGAAAGAGAAATATTTATTCTGAATTGTTATCATTCTTCTCTTTCTTTAAAGAAACTTTGAGTGTTCTACCATTTGGTAATGTCATTCCATTCAACATGGCAATAGCCATATGTGCCGAGTCAGGATAAGCATAACTTACAAAGCCTGTTGAATAAAGACATATTGAATATCTATGAATATATTCCAATGGCAAACATAATACTTACCAAATCCTTTACTCCTTTGTGTACGCTTATCAATAAACACGTTCGAAGAAAGCAACTTGCCAAAAGGAAGAAACAAATTAGCCAACATTGCATCGTCCCAATCAGGTGGAATTCCGTATACAAACAAGTTGCATTCAGATGGACCTCGAACTCGATTCTGTTGTGTTTCAAAGGAAGGCGCATTGGCACCAGCAGCAGCAGCCAAGTATTCCGCATATTCCGGTGAATAAGGATACATAGATGGAAACCAATTGGTTGAACTATATTGGTTTTTGGGATCTCCATATTCAGGATTCCACATAGCACCTAATGCAGGACCACTAGGATACATACCATATGGAAAATAATTGACTAAATTAGGTTGATTCACAAAGCCTTCTTGTGAATTGGCTTCTTCATTATCTGAACTCTTGGGAGTAGTCACTTCATTTCCATTCGAATCCAACATAACATGACTAGCAACATGATTGGAAAAGGGAAAATAGTTGAAAGGAGGAGGAGGAAAATAAGAAGTGGAGGGTATCATAGGAGGTGAACTTAAAGCATTCGTATCCATTCCTGGCCAACCTTCCAATGCAACATTAGGATCATAAAGCATAGCTTCTGGAATACCACGTTCTTTGTAATATCCATCGCTATTTCTTCCATAACGATTGCGTGAAAGTCTCGCATATCTCACTTCAGTCAAAGGCTTCCCATTTTCTAACCACACTTGTCCATTCTTTGCAGATAAAATAGCATTATCCGCTGCTTCGTTACCAGAAAATTCTACAAATCCATAGTTGTAAGGTGAGTTATGTTGATTATCCACATTCCTAGGCCGAACAATATTGACGTCCACTATCTCTCCAAACTTGGTAAAAGCATTTCGTAGTTGTTGTTCTTCCACAATAGGTTCCAAGTGACCAATATAAAGTTTGGTTTCTGAAAAGTCGCTATTCTTCTCAGCTAGTCGTACTTGTAACGGTTTGGAACCACTGGGAAAAGGTTTCGTACCGTGGAGAGCCTGAATGGCGTTGTCTGCTTCTTCCCTATTATGAAAGACACAAAATCCACAACCCCTTGACTGATTGGTCATACGATTCCTGACAATAGTTGTTTCTAGCACAGTTCCATAGGGTTCACAAATCCTGCGAAGGTCCTCTTCCACTACATTTGACGGTAACTGTCCAATAAAGATCTTGCATGGACTATCTTTAAACAATCTCGTAGAAGGGGATTGGGTCATAGCATGATAGTTGCTTGAAATATGACTTAAACTTTCCGCAGTAGCTATAGTAGATCCCTGTTGTAGGTCACCCATGTTATATAAAGTCGTTGATTCCACCAAAGAGTAATTATGAATAGGTACTCTCAATATATATATATATCTATATATTCGAACTTAAATATGTCGATTGGTTATACAAGGCAAACAAAGTACTAAAGACTAAAGGCCAGAACCTCAACCAACCACATCGAAAGACAAAAACCAAAAGACCCTTTGCAATCTGAGTACCCTTTATGTGGTGTTTTGTAGTTATCTAAAGGTTGGAAAACCGTAGATTCTTTAATAATATAAAAGGACACAATACAAGTCTTCAGGTACAACCAAAAGCTGACCAAGACAAGAGGGGTTTTGGGTACCGCTGCAATTCTCAAATGTCCCACAACACGAGACGAAATGGTAATTTCATTCCATGGAAAAGCAACCAAATCGAATATTTTCAGTAAAAACGGATAGAATTTCAACTCTTTCTTTTAGGAATAGATTCAAATACGAATTCTAACGTAATTGAGATAGAAAAGATCTATTTCCATGATCTTTGTTCCGTTTGCGTTGTCCTACTCTTACTCGATGTAATTCTTGAACGAGTATCTGAAACTCTTTGCCATATCTTTGAATAGTCATTTCATGTTCTTCTCTTAAAGCATACAAAGCTTTCTTGTAGCGGTTTGCTTCTTCTTGTGAATGCGACAAAGCATCTTGTAAACTATACATTTTCTCTTGTAACTTGGAAATTGCTTTGATAGTAATAGCATTCGTATTCATAGTTGCCTCTGGTTGATGAACCATACCATTATCTCCATCATAGGATGATATCGTATGAACCACATCGGTTGCTAACTGAGTGACATAATGTTTTCCTCGTATACTTCTAGAAACTTCAGTTTGTATTTGTTGAAACATGGAATGAAGAGTATCCAAAGAAATTTGTTTTTTCTGTTCCAAATTTTGGACATGGCTTTCCAATTTCCGTATATTGTCTTGCAACTCTTCCTTTGTAGTCTGTAAATGATTTACTGTCCTTTCCAACTCTTCCTTGTGCTCTTCTAAAGAGTCAATCTGTTCTTGTAGACGATATTTCAGTTGCATTTGTTGTTGGATCGACTCTGAAATTTCTTGAAACTGTCGCGAAGCATTTTCTACAATCCCTTTCTCATGGCCATCTCTTGACTCTCTTTGAATGTTGGTTTTCTCTTCTAGTGGAGAAGGATAAAGTTTTTTGGACATTTGTTCCAACTCTTCTTCATAATATTCCATATGTTTCCTTTGAGTTTTTATCAAATTTTCCAAGCTATGACAGTTTTGCTCCAATGTTTCATTCTCAGCCAAAAGGGTATGACATTGTCTCTTGAGTTGAATATACTCTCTTTGCAACTCTTGCTCACTCATAACGTGATTGTCTTCCACTGTAGAATATTTGGAAGGTTTTTGAAACTTGTCTCTACCCTGAGCTGTTTCAAAATCCAACTTGCAAGCCACCGAGTCTCTTTCTCTTAACGATGACTCGAACACTTGCTTTGGTTCACCTTCTTGAGTTTTCTCTATTTGTTGATTCCACGTATTGTCATTCCTTTTCAAATTATCTTTTCCAGATAAGCAACGATCCGTTGTTCCTGCTCTTGTCTGTCGCAAAGTATCCAAACCACAGCTTTTCAATCCCTTTTCCAGTGATTCCAACAGTTGTTGTCTCTTGGCTGCTTTCGATCGCAAGTGTTCTCTATATTCCATTCTCCAGTCTTCTTTATCACTATTCCTTGCATCCCTTTGGTTCACTTTTACTCGATAGATATCCTTTTCTAAAGAAACAAGTTCTTGAACAGTATTCCAAATAGAAACTTCTTCTTCTGGTGGAGAATTCATATTGGCGTAAAAATAGGATACTGCTATCAAGAAAATGACCAGAAAAACATTTCTCTCTTGACTACTTGCCCATCAATCCATACTATACAGCATACGGCCCTCCTTTTCCTATTCCAGACCTGCGCTCTGAACAACAAAACCTCTTCTTCAAATTGAAACAGAGCGGGCTGTCTGTTGAACGCACCCTCGTAATCTCCCTTCTACAACAAAAAGCAGTTTTTGCTTTGGAAGGAAGAATCAGGCGGAAATTCGGGGCTAGAAAAAGCCAAACCCCTCCTTCTGAAATCAGTTGAGTATTCTTCGATTTTTTGAAGCATTTGTTTCCGCTTTTTTTTGGTGGTTGGGTTGTCTTTTTTTTTTGAGTACAATGGCGTCGCCAAGTAAACGAAGAGAAACGGACTTGATGAAATTGTGAGTAATAAACCCTTTTGGAAGTGTGAAGCAGGATATACTGACTCCTGGTAGGATGATGGCAGAGTATGAAGTAGAACTAGCAGAAAATGACCGAGTGGGGGATTTCTTTGTCAAGTTTTGTGGTCCAGTAGATAGTAGGTCTTGTTTTCTGAACTCTTGAATTTTCTAACGCGTATTTCTTAGCACCTTATGAGGGCGGTGTTTGGAAGGTACACGTCACGCTTCCAGAAGCTTATCCCTACAAGTCACCTTCCATTGGGTTCGTCAACCGTATTTATCACCCCAACGTAGACGAAATGTAAGTTACTGGTGTCCTATTGGGTTTTGAGTTTTTTACTTTAGAGTGTGGTTAGGTCAGGGTCAGTTTGTTTGGACGTTATTAACCAGACATGGTCACCTATGTTTGACTTGGTCAACATTTTTGAAGTATTTTTGCCTCAACTTTTGACTTATCCGAATCCCTCAGACCCCTTGAATGGCGAGGCAGCTGCTTTGGAAATGAGAGAACCAGAAAAGTATGTAGCCAAGGTGAGTTTTATGTTGTTGACGACTAGTAGAAACAGATTACTCAAGAGAGAGACATAAATATTATTAGGTGAAAGATTATGTCCAAAGGTATGCACATCCCAGTCTTTTTGCGTCTTCTTCCAAGAAAGAGTTGGAAGATGACAGCGACAACGACTCGGAGTGGAGTGACTTGGAAGACAATGAAGCTAGTTGTTCAGAAATTTCAGGCAAGCAAGTTGGTGTTGCAGGTTCCTCTGTGGTGGAAAGCGGCATTTTTGTTTAGAAAACGAGTTGTTTGTGGTAACTAGTGTGTACAGAGGTTGTGTATATACCTGTTACAAACTTCTACAGTTGTACATAGATATTTTGTTGACTGGTGTTTGTGAATGAGTTTTAGTTGTGTGTGTTTGTGTGTTCCGAACAAGTTTTATCGTTGCTTGCAGTATGAAGTCCAATTTTGGCACTCTAGTATTTTGAAAATACTGGGTAGCGATATACTTGGTTCGTATAAGATCAAAAAAATATGATACTATTTACTGTTAGAATAAAAAACTTGCGCATTGTTTGTTGACTATCAACACTCACTAGTAGCTATAGTGAAAGGAAAAGTATTTCTTTATCACCAAAGACAATAACCCCCATCAACAATTATTTCTGAACCATACATAAATGAACTTGCATCACTTGCCAACAGTAGAAAAGGACCTTCCAAGTCTTCTACTTGTCCCAATCGTTTAGCAGGAGTCAACTGTATCCAGTATTCTCGCAATGGTTTTACTTGTTCGACTAGCAGACATTTATCAACCAGAGCATAGCCATCACAAATACTTACAAGCAGTTTGCCAAGTATCCATATAACCTGGTGAAATACAATTCACATGAATTCCTTTCTCAGCCCATTCAGCTCCCAAAGTCTTCGTCAAATGGACTACGCCTGCTTTGGCAGTATGATAAGCAACATGTTTTTGAGGATGATTGACGATGTGTCCTAACCCAACATCATCCATCCATCTCTCTAGGCCACTCATATCCATTTCTCACCTGACATGGAAGCTATGTTGATGATTTTTCCATATCTTCTGGGTATCATCCACTTGGCTTCCGCTTGACAACACAGAAACACTCCCTATATCAGCACATCACAACTTCTCTCCAAACATCCCAAAGACACTACTTGCAGTAAGATTGACTTGTATGGTCTTTTGCCATTGTTCTAAACTTGTATTCTCTGCAGCAAAGGAAGCGTCGATACCACTATATATAATTGCAGCGTTGTTACAAGCAACTATGACATTCACCCGTCATTCTTCTTTGTTTATCGCTATGTCCTCTTTTTCTCTACTCACTATCAAGTCGTTTTCCTTGACTGTTGGCAAAGTCGTCGATGACCTTTTCAATCGACTCCTTTTGTGAGACGTCCTAATATACCCGTGAAAAGGCATCCTACTTGAACCTCATACCTTACCACTTGATACGGTATAAATAGTGTATCTGGAAACTGTTGTTGCAACTCATCACACGTATTATGACAACCAGTAGCATCCCAATCCAAGAGACCCACAGACTGGGTTCCTGCTTGAGCCAATGTTTTGGCAAAGTTTTTACCGATACCCTGGATTATCCAATAGCGATATCTTTCTATTGTTTTCAACACCACCACCACTTACTCTTGCACCACCCGTTATGATTGCTATCTTTCCAGTCAATCTCAGTTTTGAAAACAGTGAATTCATTTTATGAAGAAAATCAAAAAAATTTCATTCTTTTGTAGTAGTAAAGAACCATTATCTATCATCAACATCCACCATTTTATTCTTTATGCAAATCAACAACTTGCAAACGAACATCTCGAGGGACAGAAACCATTCCATATCCTTTAACTTCACAACCTGGTTGTAAACGTACAGATACTTTTGTCAATAGTTCAAAAAGAATGGTCTTTGCTTCCAACATGGCAAATCTTTGACCTGTACAAGCTCGAGTTCCATACAAAAAAGGTAACCAAGCCATGGCATGTCGTTGTATAACAACATTGTTCTTGTCACTGGATAAAAAACGTTCGGGACGAAAACTTTCAGCATCAGGTCCCCATTGTTCAGGATCTCGATGCAATGCTACAATAGGAATGTTGACAATAGCACCTTGAGAAATGGGAAAACCTAAAATTTCATCATCTTGTACCGCTTGTCTAGTAATAAATAATACTGGTGGATGTAATCGAAGGCTTTCATGTAAAACAACATCCAAATACTCCAACTTATCTAAATGCTGTACCATTTCAGTAATATCTTGTGTCGATAAAGTGGTCTCCATTGTTTGTAATTCTTGTCTCAGTTTTTCTTGAGCACTGGGATGGATACTCAATTCGAACAGTGTCCAAGATAATAACACTGCTGTAGTAACTTGTCCAGCTGCCATAAATGTCAATGCTTGACTGGTAATTTCTTCATCCGTCAAATAAGGCAAATGGGAACTTTTCTTTTCCAACTCGGGATCTCTAGCAGCCACCAACATATCCAATAAATCTCTATTTGTTGTAGACTTTCCCATTGCATTGCTATCCTTAACCAACAAAGCTTCATATTCTTCACGTCGTTTTTGTACAATTTCTGTTACTTTTTTCTTCACCAGTCGTACATTACTCTGTTGTCTTCTTAACAACCTTGATAAGGGCATACTTTGTAACAACCAACTGGGTAACAATGAAAACAACATGGCTAACATTCTCGATGGTGGTCTCTGTGTAAAGATATCTCGATAAGCTCGATACAACTCTTGACCAGAGTCCGTATTGGGATCATATCCAAATGCTGCCAACGCAATCACATTCATCGTCACTTGTGTCATATCCAAGTGCACATCGATAGCTTCCTCTGGTCTATTTAACCAACGTTGAACGACCTGTTGTCCTTGTGCACGAAAAATGGGACCCAAATGAACCAATGCATCGAAATGAAAAGCTGGTAAAATAATTCTCCGTTGTCTAGCATGATCATCTCCTTCAGCTAATAAGATACCTTTGTTACCCAACAAATTGGATAAACCTTGTCGCACCATGGGAGGTTTCACATAATTGCGTACATTCTTCACCATCACATGTTTAGCTGCTTCTGGTGAAACCAACGCTATTCTTGGGGCAAGAAACATAAAACAATAACTGAATAGATAGGAGTGCAACTTGGTTCTTGTTTGAAGGAACCATCTGGCAATTTCATTGGGAGAAGCCATAACAGCGGCATAAGAGGAATGACCATAAAAAAGATATCTCCACCACTGCAATTGCTGAGGTTTTCCTGCAAAAGGTATCTTTCTATAACATGGTGTGAACAACCAGCGGTAACTATGGACGAGCCAGTGTCGCAGAGCAGAAACAATGGCAAGTATACAACACAACAGTAAAAATGATACAACCAACCACAGTGTTCCTAAAAGAATAGACCCAATATTCTTAGGAAAGGAAGGGTTGAACCATTTTTGACAAACTGAACTTGTTACAAACCAAGAGGATAATGAAACCTTTGGTAGGCACCACCACCACCACATAAGGGAAGGAATTGGAATACCACAAATGGATTGTCCAATAGAATGGTGTAAGTGCATATTGTGTCATTTCAAGTTGAAGACTATATATGGTTGACTAGGATAAAAGATGGAGTTTAACCAACTTTCTTTTCCAAAATGATAAACTTCCATTCATCCACAAATTTCAAACTTTATCAAGTCTTTCCAGAGTTCCTTATGTATAGAAATACATGGGATCCACGGAAATACAAACATAACGCAAATCTATTTCAACCACAACAGAATATAAAATAGGTTTATGCTGACAAATGTGATGATGGTATTACTACTTGTTGTTGTTCTTCTTTTGTCATACCATATTGAACCTCTTCGTCGTTATCCACTATACTCTTTAATTTATATTCTTCTGGAAAGTCAGGTGGATAACATGCTCCTCCATGTTTAGAAGTATCCAAGCCTTCCATTTCCTCTTCAGGACTGACACGAAGAATTCCAAAATATTTCAAGATTGAAAACATAAAAATACTCATAGCACTGACCCATCCCCAAAGAATACATATACCAATGAGTTGACAAGCCAACAAGTCTCCTCCTCCACCCATAAAAGCACCCCAAGCAGGTGCACTTCCATAAGCAGCATAACGTGCATCTCTCGCGGCAAATAAACCAACCACAATCAAACCCCAATTACCACATAAAGCATGAACAGATACCGCATCCAAAGGATCATCAATCTTAAGCCATTGTTCCACACGACAACCCACATGATAAACTATCGCAGCACCCACTCCACATATCACTGCAGCCCAATTTTCAATAGTAGAACAAGGAGCAGTAATAGCTACTAAACCACCAATAATGCAATTGCACATGGCATTCACATCATAATTCTTGTAAAGTATTCGAGTAATGATCATAGAAGCTACTCCTGCTGCTGCAGGTGCAATAGTCGTATTGATGGCACATCGCATGACTGTAGTGTATTGTGATGGCAAACTAATGGCAAGAGCTGAACCAGGATTGAACCCATACCAACCAAAAATAAGAATCATCGTTCCTAATACCACCAAAACGGAACTATGACCAGGTATAGGAACCATTTTGCCATTGCTATCGATTCTTCCAATTCTTGGACCCACAAATATTGCACCCCATAAAGCAGCAACTCCTCCAATAGTATGCACTACTCCAGAACCTGCATAGTCAATGTAACCACTACCAGCAAATAAAGGTCCATCTGATTTCACAGCACCAAACCAACCAAAAGAGTCCCATACCCAATGCTCATAGACAGGATATATCCAACTCGTCATCCAAAATGAAAAAATGGTATATCCCAACACGGAAACCCTTTCACATACAGAACCACTCACAATAGCTGCAGCAGTAATACAAAAACTCCATTGAAACAACATGTTTCCCCAACTACCACTGTCATCTGCCGCAGGAGCTCTAGCACCTCCAGGAAGTGAAGAAAAATAACCGATAATTTCATTGGAAGGAAATCCACTGATAAGATTGGCATCTCTGGTAGGAACACCAGACATGGCAAAGAAATGAGAGCCAATGAATCCTCTAGCACCTTCAGAAGGTTTGGCACCAAAGGCAAAGCCATAACCAAATAAATAATAAGCTAGAGTTCCTACTGCCCAGTCGATCAACAATAGCATACAAGCATTCTTGGCGTTCTTGGCTCGAACACAACCTGCAGTCAACATGGCAAAACCAAGATGCATAAAAAACACCAAATACAGAGCATAAAGTGCAAACATAGTATCAGCACCATTTGTGGAAGAAAATGCGTTACCAATCAACCATTCATATAATGGTACTCCACTGTATTGTACTTTAGTACTATTCAAAGCAGATACAATGATATCTGCAATATTCGCCGTAACAGTATTTCCTGAACTTGTTGTTACTGTTATATTAAAGTTTCCGAGATCTGTCATTTGCTCTACAAGAGAATCTTTCTCACAAGACTTGATCCGTGGCAACGAGAACTCCTCAAGACTTCGATTTGAATCTGAAGAGAGAAGGAAATTCTTAAAGGCCCATACCACGTGAGGGTTACTAACGGAAAATTTTTCCGTTGGGCATCTCGACGTCATATTCCTCGGATGGACAGCTGGAAGTTATTTATGAGGTGGTAGGTAGACAGTTGAGCAACTGAAATGATACGTGTTGCAATTGCGCATATGGAGGAGAGATATCGTAAATAACGATTCCAACTTGAGAGAGTTATGGATATTGGAAATTCCAAATTATACAAGGAAAAATGAAAGTAGAGTTGGTTTCATTATCTTATTGGTTCCATTTCTTTATCTTTGTATTTCTCTCATAAAGTACCTACAAGTTGTGCGTGAATATATCATTCATGATTCAATTGTTCATGAGGGTGACGTTGATGGTTTGGAGAGAGAGTCGATTATGTTGAGAGCTTCCGAAAAGGCGCGTAAACCTCGCGTTCATATCTTTGATGGACCTTCTAACGAAGATATGCCCTTTTTTATGGAAGAAATAAGGAAAATAAAGCTAGCAGAACTTTCTTTTATGAAAGGTGAAGAGGAACTAGTAACCTTGGGGTTACAAGAAGCCTCACAGTCTCAACAGTTGAACCAGTGGGATGTGACACAGTTGGAGCAAGAAGAAAGAGAAATACAGCGTTTGAAAGAAGAAATACAAAGACTTCAAGTTACGAAGAAGGAACTGTTTCAGAAACTAAAGGAAGTCTTGGTTCAAGAAAAGCGTGAGAAGAGTGAAAGCTTCCATTGACTGTTGACTATTTTTGAGTGTTTGTGAAGAACTTGTGATATTTGAGAGATATATACAAGAGTGGGTGGTTGAGCTGAAAGAGTCAGTAACTCAACAATAGTTTCTGTTTAATTGGAGTAGGTGGACCAAACAAAGAGGAGAATTGTCTTTTGTATGAAAAAAATTGTCCAAGTATATATATATATATATATATAGATATATATATATATATATAGAGAGAGAGATAGGAATTGCTAGGTTCGAGTTAATTTGTCCCATTGACAGATTTTCGTCTGGTCATGTGGAAAAGGGCTCCTTCAAGAAACTCCTTTGAAAACCTTTGTAAAAGTATATGGTCAACGTATACTTGTTCTTCTGTTCCTTTCTCTATTTTTCAAAAACGAAGCTTTCATAACAACCGTTTGATCCTGGAAACATGGAAAGAGAATGGTGTAGAAACTGGCAAAGTTATTGACCGCAACACACAACCATCGTTTCGTTTTGACAAGCTACTTGTTGCGAATCGTGGAGAAATTGCCTGTAGAGTTTTCCGGTAATACCCTTTCTATGCACTTACAGTAGAAACTTTGGTTCAAACTCTCTTTTTGTTGTAGCACTGCGAAGAAGTTAGGATTGAAGACCGTCGCTATTTATAGTGATGCTGATCGTAACTCATTGCACGTCGATTGGGCAGACGAAGCTATTCGAATAGGTTTGTGGTATCTTTATGGTTGTTTGCTGTCGAAGATTGTTGTGTTTGAAATAGGACCTCCACCTTCTACAGAGAGCTATTTAAACATGGACAATATCATAAGAGCAGCTAAACAAGTGGGTGCTCAAGTCATCCATCCAGGTTATGGCTTTCTAAGCGAAAATAGTATTTTTGCTGAAAAATGTCGACAAAATGGTATTCTATTTGTGGTACGCATTGATAGCTTTTTGTAATGAACCAAGAAACTCAAGCAAGTTTGCCATATTAGGGTCCTCCTGTTGAAGCCATAAAGAAAATGGTAACTTGAATATGATTGTAACTCATTGTATGTAAACTTTCTTTTAGGGTTCGAAAGCTGCTGCAAGGTCTATCATGCAAGCTGCAGGTGTTCCTGTAGTTCCAGGTTATCATGGAGATGACCAGTCCGATAAGAGATTACTTGAAGAAGCCAAAAGAATCGGTATCTTGTTTTTTGATATTTGGACCAGCGAATGACATTGGTTATCGGTTAGGCTTTCCCGTCATGATCAAGCCTTCTATGGGAGGTGGTGGAAAAGGAATGAAGATTGTGCATTCCGAGTCCGAGTTTTTAAGTTTATTGGAAGCCTCTCGTGCAGAAGCATCGAGTTCGTTTGGAGATACTCATATTCTTTTAGAAAAATATTTGGCTGTTTCTCGTCATGTAGAAGTACAAATTGTTGCTGACAAACATGGCAATTGTGTACATTTGTATGAAAGAGACTGTTCTGTTCAACGTCGACATCAAAAGATCATTGAGGAGGCACCGGCGCCAGGTATTTCTTCCAGTCTTCGTAGTCTACTTGGTGAGACTGCAGTTGCAGCAGCCAAAGCGGTTGGTTATGAAAATGCAGGAACGGTAGAGTTTATTTTGGATGCGACTCGATTGGAATCATACAACGAACAGTTATCATCAAAACAAGATTGGAAAACAAATCCTCCATTTTATTTTATGGAAATGAATACTCGTTTACAAGTCGAACATCCAGTTACAGAAATGATAACTGGACAAGATTTAGTAGAATGGCAACTACGCGTTACGAATGAAGAATATTTACCCATTTTACATCAACAACAGATTCCATTAAGTGGTCATGCAATGGAAGTGAGAATATATGCAGAGAATCCTTTTGATCAATTCCTTCCTCAAGCCGGAACCATTCATAAACTCATATATCCACCAACGATACAATCCTTTTCTTCCAATCCTTCCGTTCCTATTCGTATTGATTCGGGTATGAAAGAAGGCGATATGGTTGGCGTATTTTATGATCCAATGATTGCCAAGTTGATTGTATCAGGTCAATCGAGAGAAGAAGTTAGACAAAGACTGGTAGATGCATTATTCCATACTCGTGTATTTGGTATCCCAACGAATATTGAATTTGTACAACGAATCTTACGTTTGGAAGAATTTGCTATGACTGGAATAGATACTGGCTTTTTGGAACGAAATATGGAAGACTTGACTATGCCATTACCAGGTTGGGTTGTTCGACATTGTGCAGTTTGTGCTTCAGTTGCTCAGTTTTTATTTGACTCATACGTCCAATATTCACGTCAAAGTGCTGATCCTTGGTGTCTTCCTGCTTTATCCTTGTTTCGTTTACATTTAGAACAGCGTTATTCCATGGATTTGATTCCGGATAAATTCTCCACTGCTGCAGAAAAGGATAAGGAAATTCACGTACAATTGACTCGATTAGAATCTTCGGAAGCTTCAGAGTTATTGTTTTTGGCCAAGTTGAAGGAACATCAAGCACTGGTTCGTATTTTAGAAAGACAAGTTATCCTGGATGAACGAGATGATGTAGCTGTAAAAGCTGGAACCAAAGCATCAGCAGATTATATGATAAAAATGAAACTAGAGTGGAAGTTACCGCAAGATACAGAAACCGATATGCGTTCGCAACCTGATGTTGGAACCAGTTTTCGAGAATGGATAGATGTTTATCAAGTTGGTTCTGAAGTCGTTGTGTATCGAGAAGGATTGAGTTCTTTGAACAAGTCTATGACGACGGGTTATAAGGAGCTTACAGATAGTTCAGCTATAGTTGCACGTTTCAAACGGTCTAAAAGTATGCTTGCTTTTGAAAGAGGAGATTCTTTGGAAACTAGCTCTCCTCTATCTCATGGAGCAGTAAGTATTGTCATTATTCTTTTCATCTCGGAAAGTTTCATTCATGGAATACAAGGTTCAAAGTCCTATGCCAGGGCGTGTAGCTAAAGTATTGGCTACTGTAGGTCAGCAAGTCAACAAAGGTGATCCCATTTTGGTGTTGGAAGCTATGAAAATGACTCATCAGATCCTTTCTCCTATTGCTGGATGTGTAAAGGAAATCCATTTTGGTCCGAATGATTTGGTTTCAGGAGAAGCGATGTTGTTTGAAATTCAACCCGATGTTGAAGAGCAAACAACGAACTTGGAAAATAAAGCTTAGAATAGTCGATTATTGACAGAAGGAAACAATAACCGAAACGGATAAGAACATCTATAAATATATATATATATGACCATTTTGTGGTTTTATTGAAACAGTTAGGGAATCGCATCTCCTCCAGAGTCATATCTATTTCTATCTAAATAAAACCTTCGAAATAATTCCATCGAATCCTCCATTCCCCTTATCTGATGAAATGCAATAACACTATCTCTAGATACTGAATCCACTTTGTCTGGATGAACAAACTAAAAGAGAGTGTTCACAAAAAGATGGCACTCAATGTGACCATGACTTACACACAAACCAGGCAAATTGATTGGTTCTATATGCAAAGTATCTAAAATGCATTTGGCAATATTTTTGTCTTCTCCATTATATACAATACATTGATTCATCCAAGGTCTCCATTTCTCTAACAACCCACGACTCAATACATATCCTGCACCTCCCATAGCATAACGCAAATGAATATCCCTAGTCCAAGAAGCGTCCCTATCAACAATGTTGGGATACATATCTCATCATATCATCCAATACGATAACTATAGCTACCTTTCTAACACAGGAACAAGTTTTCCTTGGAACCTCCTAGTGGAACCTATATACAGAGGTTTGGTATGGTCAAACTGTCTCAATATCTCTTGTAACAACTCCACTCTCACAAAGCTATCATCATCACATTTATAAAACCACTGATGATAAATACCATACAACGTTTAGTTTTCCATGTTTCTTCACAAGGTAAGCAACCTACTTTTGCTTGAGGTACGTGGTCCCAAGCCCAAGCAAACATTTGTAAGGACCTATTACTTTCCTCTCGAAAGTAACGCTCTTTATGAGCCACACGCTTTTGATAGTTGGTCTTTAACTTTTTATTTACTCCAGTGATATCGATTTTGGGTGTGACGACGGTTGGTATGGTAGCGTGAGGAGAGTCACTGAAAAACCGCAACATGGACGGTTCGACTAGCTTTCCCCAGGTTTGGAAGACAGCCTTTGCATAGGTTTCTGCATAGTTCTAAAACCTTTGATTGGATACTATGTTTTTATAAACGATAGAAGATATCACTACCTCACAAGTGATGACTCCAAAGAATATATCATGGACCAAAGGCAACCCTTTCTGCACATGAGAAAAATAGTTTCGACTTTTTCGTCTTTCATTCAGTTCACCATAGAAAATAACAATGAAAAGTGTAAACACTATCCATATGAATAGAATAACTTGCCAAGACTTGACAAGTTTCCGATAATGGAACATGAAAGACCAATCTTTCTTCCGTTTTCAAAATGGCGCATAATTGAAGCGCCATGTCTTTTTTCTTTCTTTCCCGAAACATTTTCTCTTCTTCTAGAAAAACTCTCTTTATTGAAAACTACACCATCAAGGCTCAGCATTAACACCAATAGCTATATTGTTCAATCGAATGCCTACTGAACCATCTGAAAGTTGAATACTATTATTTTCTTTGACATAGCTTTCCACTTGTCGCCAATTTTCACTTCCTGGTTCTCCCATATACTCCTTCATACCTTGATTCATTTCAGAAAGACAATGCAAGTAATCAGAAGCTGTTGGAAAGTCATAAACTACAGGAAATTCTACTGTGGTAAAGCGAAAACCAGCAGCTTCAATTTGTTTCAAAGTATGTTGAGGTGAACCACAATGACAATGTACGGATTGGTTGTCATTATGCTCATGATGATGGTGATGATGTTCATGCTCATGCTCATGCTCATGATGATGATGATGATGGTGACCATGAGGATCTCCTAGAAACTTTTTAGGAATTGAGAAAATGTCACATTGAGACACTGGTCCCCAAATGACTGTGACAAACTTGCCAGTGTTAGGAACCAGAGATTGTCGAACATTTTTCAAAACTTCAACTGCATTGGGAAAATGAGGAATGGAATACTGCGAAATAACCGCATCAAAATGCTCCTTTGGCATGGTATATTCTTCAATGTCACTTTCTACAAGTTTTACATACTCCTTCAAAACAGTATTCTCTAGTCTATTTTGAAAGATATTCAACATTCCTTTAGCTATATCCACACCAATGACAGAACCAGTGGCACCGGGGGAGGCAGGTTTCACACTCGTGTTTGACGGGTGAAGCAACTCTAACAGCTTATCTACAACTTCACCTGTTGTTTGTCCAGAGGGAATAGAGTAGCCTCTAACTTTAGCAGCTACTTGTAGAGTAGTTTCTCCAGAACCACAAGCAAGTTCCAAAACCTTGGCACCTGGAAAGATGTTTTGATTCTTTAAAAAGAAGCTAGCAGTCGCATTATCCTTTTCAAGCCTTTTAAATAATTGCCACCTTTTTTCACCTGCACGGCTCCACTTTTCTTCTTCTGCTCGTTTAAATGCTGCTGCTTCTTGAGACATTCTCAAACAGACACTCAAAATTATCGATGCACGTGAATCGAATTGGGTTGTAGTGGGAAAGCTTTTAAAAGGTCCAATCCATTTTCGATGTTCCAATGGATCAACAGTAACCAAAACAACAAGGAATGGGAGGAGTTCATATATGGCTTTATTACAAACTAAAACTCTTGATGTCTGCTGTAGTGACAAATTGCTTAATTATAATGGATATTATTCTTTAGTCAAGGTTCTACAAATATAAGATAAAGTAAAGATAACCTTGATACTTTGACTATTCTCATCAAATATTTAATGATGAACTTTTTTTTATAATCTCTCACAACCCGTTATTTCTAAACTGATAACTTTTTAAGAGCCACCGTCTCTCTCTCTCTCTCTCTACCAAACCATTCCATTTTGACAGCAAATAGAATCTTTTGTCTATAGACGGATATGCAGTGGGGTTTTGTAACTTGGAGAGAAGTTTCTTCGTACAGGATACCCACTTCTTTTCTATTCACCCAAAAACATATTTGCTATTGTAGTAAACTACATGAACTGTGTAAAGGCTTGCCCTTAATTGGACAGCTATCCAGTCCTTTGACTAGGAGTTGTTTGGGAAGCAGTAACTTGTCGGTTACAGAATCCAGCAAGATACAGCATCCCATCCACCAAAACCTGGAAAACTCCAAAAATTTACAATATACGACCTTTCCAGAAGATCTCCTGTTTCATTGGTTTGAAAATAACCCAGAAAATGAAGACTTTTATTCCTTGTGGCAACAACTGAGCAACCAACTTGCTCACCTGCCAGGTGCAAAACGAAGTATATTGAACTTGTGTCAAGCTAGAATCTTTGCTTGTAGCAAATATAGTTTGTATCGTGTAAAGAGAGGTTTGCACATTGCGCAAGTGTTGTGTGAGATACAGGCAGATTTCTTGACCATAGTTGCCGGGATATTAGTAAATATTCCTTCCAATTCTCCTGTTCAGAACCTTTCCATTGGAAGTGGTTTTCAAGTACTGGTGGAAAGCGTATCTCGTTCATTATCTTTCATATGGAGTTGCTTTGGTCGATGTGATACGGAATCAGCAAAGATGGTACAAGATTTGTATCAACATGCCAAGGATAAACGCGGTCTTCTTATAGCATTGGTTGTTTTCTTAATAGATTTGCGATACCAATGTAACAGTCCATTTTCTATCGCTGGTATAGACGAATCGTTGGCAAAGATTTGTTTACATGTATTGGCTCCAGTTGCTAGTTGTTTAGGTATATGGAAACTTCAGTTGGAATTGGAAGAAGTTGCTTTTCATGTTCTTTATCCTACGGAGTACGAGAGTCTTTCTCGTCATATTGGAAGAATTTTACAACAGCGTTCTAAAATTTTGGAATATGCTAGATTCCATATTTGTCGGTTGCTAGACACATCAAGTAAAATTCAGAACCAGATTTTGTCCTTTACCGTTCATGGAAGAGTGAAAGGTCTTTATTCAATATATAAAAAAATGAAACGTGGAAGGAAACTGAAAGAAATTTATGACTTAATTGCATTGCGTATAATTATTAAACCTCGAAATCCAATGAAGGAAGTTCAAGCATGTTACTCAGTATTAACAATAGTGGAACAACGTTGGTGTCCTGTGGCGTACAGAAACAAAGATTTTATCAAATATCCAAAACTGAATGGTTATAGAGCGCTACATACCACGGTGATATTAAATAAGATTCCATTCGAAGTACAGATACGTTCAGAAGAAATGCATTATCACGCGGAATATGGAAACTCGGCACACTTTCTATACAAATTGAGTCAATCAAGTGATAGCGACCAAGGTGTTTAGTTCAGCAAAGAAATTATCAGTCAATGTGGATTTAAAATTATTCCGTTCATCGGTAACCTAACTACAATAATTATGAATATTGTACATATTGATTACTTTATCAGATTTAAATTAATTGCATAAATTAAAATTTTAAAATGAAGTTTTTAAAAATAATTTTTATTTTATCATCCTTTTTTATTATTAAATTTCAAAGTTGTTGAATGTTAACAATTAGTAGGTAAAGTTCAAAGTCTCGTTTATTGCCCCGTTATTATTTATTTCCATTTGAGTTATTTTCTTGCAAATTAATTTGTTAATAAAAAACTCAATGAAAAAATCTTCAAGATTGGATTAGTTTGTGAATGTTTATAAATATTAAAAAATTTTACATTCAATTATCGTGTCTTTTTTGATGTTTTGCTTGTTCTTTCTGGTTTTTTTTGGAATGTCTTGCTCATTCAAGTTCGAGCGTGGTAAATTTGTTTACTGGAACTTTTGGCTTTTTCAAGATTCTATGACTTTGAGATCACACAGAGTTTTCTAATTTATTTCATTTTACACTGAAAGATTTTTTAGGCTCCTATTGGATTGTTATTTTTATCCGTACTATGTGGTTGTTGTTGCTTTCCGGGGCTTGTTTTCATATCACCAAAACGTATAAAAGGATGATCTCTATGGAACATAGCGCCGGTATCCTTTGGAAACATAGCACTTGCTTCCAAACCCAGTCTTGCCATCACTTGAGCACAATGTTCTATTTTCACACCCATTTAGTTCTTTAGCAAAACGCAAAAAGCCATCATCATCAAGAGCATTACCTTTGTTTTGTCTAGCTAGATACTGCAACAATCTTTGTCTCCTCGACGTCAAGTGATCAAACAAAAATCGAGCTCTCCTATCATCTTTTTTTCTCTTCAATTGTTTCTCCAATACTTGTAGTCTTTTTGTGAACACTGCGACTATTCCCAATATAAACAGCGATTCTGAGCAGCACAATCCATCATCCTTACCTTGTACTTCCGCTGACCCCGTGTCACCAGGCTTTCGTTGAAACTCTAAAACAGCGTTCCATATTTCTGCCCTTTGATGGTTTCTTTCATCCCAATACTTTGGTTCCAATACTTGTTTTACAGGCAACGGTAACTTTTCAAACTCAGACTGTGGAAGCTTTAACGAGTTACAAGGTGCAAAAGGCAAATATCTTGAAGTATCTGGTTTACCAAAATATTGAATTCTAGAACTTTGTTGTGTTGGTTGATGAAGGTTCAAACTTTGGCTACAAAAGCCTCTTAGAATGACTCTATTCCGTACTAGCCCACACAACTTGTCCATCTATCATCATTCATTCAAATACTTTCCAAAGTTGTCTCTGTTTTTTATAGAAAACAACACAACTGTATATCATACAAAACTCTTTATAAAAATCTCAACTTTTTCAGTTGTTCCAATCCTAACCAAACCAAACAACTCGAAGGTAAAGCCATCTTCCCTTCATATATCAAAAGAGGTAAAGTATGAACATCCACATCGGAAACGATATCCATATATTCTTCAGCATCTCTTGGTTGATAATCAACTATCGTTTCACAATCGATTGCCAAAAACATGTGTAATCGATTCCTTGAATATTTATCCTATGCACCAACTCTTAGAGTTTTATCAAACACCCGTGGTTTGTACCTGAAGAATTCCTTGTTCACTAGTCAAAGGATACCACTGGTTTGCTACCATGTGTGCCTAGATGAAAGATCATATTATTAGAATCATCAGGATGATGTGGATTGTATTCAAAACTTTCACGATTATTACATACTTCTTCATTCAGTTCTGCTTTTGCAGTATCCACTATTGAAGCGTGTTTCTTGGAATCAAACAAACCGCCAGGAAAACTATAAAGGAGAGAGTTACTTCCAGGACTAGATAAGAGTGAGAAGGAGAGTTGTATTCTTCCAAAAGCCGGTTACTGACTGATATTCTTTCAATAGTGTGACGGTTTTTTTCTTGGCATCGAAAGGAAATACCAAAGCAGCACTAAAGTTACTATTTGGGTGTCCCACTATATCAAAACTATGTTGTTGTTCTTGAAAGTTTACTTTTCTACGATAGATACAAAAATATTCTTGAAATACTACTTTTTCATCCACAACATAAGGTTCTGTATGGAAAGTGGACTTCATCCAACGTCTCCAATTGAACTGAATTCGCATCCTAAAGCTTCATTCATTTCTGGAGTTCTTTCATACGTTTCTATTTCCAATTGTGGATCTTGTTCTGGTGCACAAATATTCTGAATATAACTATTTCCAGCTATATTGACAAATAATCCAATAAATAACAATATTATTTCATAACATAACTTACCTGGATCATCCAATATCAAAGTAAACTCCCATTCTTCTCCATTTGCTATTCTATTCAAATGTTGTAAAAAGGATTGCCACTTTTCCCTTTGTTCAGGTTTCATACTATCGCCTAATAAAAAGGAATATTGATTTTCCATATTCTCGGCAATATCTTTGAATATTCCTTCAACTGTACTCCATTTACAAAAAGATGATCCTTCAACTTGTAATGATAACTCTGGGACCATAATATGACAAGTATCTGATAACAATACACTTCTTGATAAGTCATCCTCATTTTGAGCATGTAAAGTTATCTTTCTTCCACGTTCTTCTATTCCCAATCCACTTTGTATATGATTGGTTTTATATCCACAATGTGTACAAGTAAAAGCTATGATAAGTACTTGTTTGAAATAAGGAATATCGGTACAATGTATTCGGTTTTCTCCAAGTAAACCACAACAAGGACAATTACTTGATAACTTGACTATTTCATCTTGTGCAATAGTTGAAGAATCCTCATTTCTCTTTTCTTCTTCTTCATTATTATTATTATTATTATTATGATAAGTGGATGATATCCATCCAAGATATTCATTTTCTTCTTTGCTTCTTATATATTGCGTCATTTGTAAACTCTTATCCCATATATGAATATTGGATATGATCATTCCAGGTTCCTCCTTCTTATCTTCAGGAACTCTCCATTCTATTCTACTTGAACCTGAAGGATCTTCCAATTCCAACACAAAGTCAACTTCATGTCTTAAAGGTAACAATTGTTGTTCTATATAAGACTCTATTGATTGAGCTGTTTCTTCCTTTCCACTCACAACTCGTAAATCCTCCACCACTTGTAACCAAATGCCTTCCACCGTTGTTATTCTTCCTCCTTCTCTTTGTTGTTTGGATGGAGGTATTTCCAACTCTATTTGAGGTATTCGAATGGTGGCATAATCAGATATCCATACTTGTCTAGACCAATTATCTTCTTGTTCTTTTGTCATATGTAAAGTCCAACGTATTCCATAAGGTTCAATATCACGAGCACAAGTTACCTATACAAATATAGGATGATTCAACTATATTATTATATACAACATACTTGGTTATTATGATTCCCACAGTGAGGACAATCAAAGGACATACATATGACTCTATGGAAAAAAGGAATATCTCGTACCAAGCACTGGGTCACTCCTTGTTGACCACACTGCATACATAAACTGGATAGTTGCCAACGTTCAGGTATATTATCTTCTTCTTCTTGTTCTGTTATGGATGGTTGAAGTGGTTGGTCGTCCTGATGATGCAATAAAGACATATCAAAAGTGTTTGGTTTTTATATCACAAATTCACACAATACTTTATTATGAGTCGTCTTCCATCGATTCCGTCGGCATATTATAAGCTTCTTCTCGTTGGGGATCAAATAAAGCACTCGTCAAATATCGTTCTCCAAAACTAGGAATAATACATAATATCCGTTTTCCATGATTCTCCGGTCTCTTTCCAATAGCAATAGAAGCATAAACAGCAGCACCTGAAGATATCCCAACCAATAAGCCTTCTTCTATAGCCATCCTTCTGGCCATAGTAATAGCGTCAGAAGAACTCACTTGAAATACTTCATCGTAAATACTCGTATCTAATATATCAGGTATAAATCCTGCACCAATTCCTTGAATCTTATGAGGTCCAGGTTTGCCTCCCGATAATACAGGAGACTCACTCGGTTCTACGGCAACTATTTGGACCGACGGATTTTTCTCCCTTAGATATCTTCCAGTACCTGTAATAGTTCCTCCAGTACCTACTCCTGAAACAAATATATCACAACCTCCAGATGCCATAATCTCCGGTCCCGTCGTCTCATAATGGACTTTAGGGTTGGCAGGATTGGAAAACTGTTGCAACATGTATGCATTAGGTATAGTTTTTAACAATTCTTCTGCTTTCTTTACAGCCCCTTTCATACCTTTTGAAGCAGGAGTCAACACAACTTGTGCTCCAAAGGCACGGAGTATCATTCGTCGTTCGATGGACATCGACTCGGGCATAGTTAAGATGAGAGAATATCCACGTGAAGCTGCAATAAAAGCCAATGCTATTCCAGTGTTCCCAGAAGTAGGTTCAATCAATACACTTTTACCGGGTTGTATTTTACCTTCTCGTTCAGCTTGTAAAATCATACTCTTACCAATACGGTCTTTGACAGAAGAACAAGGCTCCATGGACTCCAGTTTTGCCAAGATAATAGCTTGACAATCCTTTTCGGTAGCTGGTATTTTCTTGAGTTGGACGATGGGAGTGTTTCCAATCAGGTCACAAGGATCCTTACAAACACTTGAGCCAACTTTTTGAGTAGACTGAGTCATAGTGAAACCAATAGTAGACGATTGTCGAATATAAAGTGTAGGGAATCGATGAGTAGGACAGAAAGTTGAACACTTGTAAGGTGTGAATAATAGTTGACGACGAGGAAGAATACAATCCACACCGATGGGATTCTTTACAAACAACGACATTTCATTTTATTCACTTTTTTCTCATTCGAAACAAAAAAAAAAGAAAGAGAGAAATGAAAACTCTTGTTGTAAAGATGGAATAGAAATTCTTTTCAAATATAACTCAGCCACTCTTTGTTGATTTCCAAGTATCCCAGCCCGCCATGGTTTTGGACTTGAATTTGAAATGACACTCTCCTTCCTTTTAGTACTAATGGAGATTTCTTGATTACTGGATTTGTACATCTCTTTCTCTCTCTCTCTCTGTGTGTGACTACAATTCCTTATGTCCTACAAGTCTTCTTCTTTTACACAACAACAAAATAATAACAATGGGTGGCAACAAGAAAAAGAAAATATAAACCCTCTACCAACTGGTCTTATGAAAATGTCTCCAAGTCATGTAGAGAAAAAAAAGTGGGTTTATCCATCACGTCGTCCCTTGTCTGATATTACAGAGGTAAGTTGTGTTGAATCTATACGGAGCAAAAGTTGATTATCACTAGTTGGTAGTAGGACCTAAAATGAAAGAGAATCAAACTTGCTCCATTGAAAATATTGATCATCAACAACCACAAAAAACAAAAGGAAAACAAAAGCGTCTCTTATCTCTACGATAAATGAATGGAATTGTAAATGGATATACTTTTCTCTCTCTCTCTCTCACATACACAATAATACAAAGCATAAAAAGTCCATTTGTCATTCTTATTCTCCTTTTATTGATTCTCTTTTTCATATGTGTGATTGGCCATTCTATTTCTATATACAACCTTACCATTTCTTAGAAACAATTTCTCTTGAATACCATCCTTAGACATCAGACCTATAGAACCATCCGCATAAATCACTTCTACTCTTCCATCCGATAAGTGTCTTTCCAATTGTCCGTTGGGAAAGAATATAAAAGTATAACCATTATTAGGAAATGCAATTTTATGAATATGCGATGAAGCATAATAAGTTTCCCTTCTCCCATCTGAATATATTTCCTTACAATTGCCATTAGGAAATATCAAACGCTTATAAAAGGGAGTCTTTTCAATGCATACTTTAAGTGAATGATCAGACAAAAAGGAGTCTCCTATATGAAAAAAAAACTTTCAAAAAAACTATCTCTATCCATCTATTACTTTATACTCACCTTTTATATTCATATCAACATATTCCTTGGAGTCATTGCTATGGAAATGATCGTTGGTCCAAGTTGTGCATATGATAAGAAAGAGATATACTTACGAATTGTGATGAACTGTTCTTTGTTGCTTCTTCTTTTCCAAATAAGGATGTAAGTGTTTACTCCATTGATGTAGTTTTTGCCAACTTTGTTTCATTTTGGACAAGGATTTTGCATCTCGGTCCAATATACAATCAATTGTCTTACATACATTGCGATGAATATTATGGTGAAGCCATATAGAGTCATTATCTTTCATTTCTATAGAGTCTATAATAACAGGACCTTCGATATGACTCCGTGAGTGAGTTGAAGGAAGAGAATAGTCATGTTGTGACCTATTTCTATTCTTTCTCGTGGGTTGGTTTCTATTAGGTTTTGATGGGTAACAAGATATATCAACAGAATCTATTTCTGACAAAGATTGTTCCAATTCTTTGACCAATTCCATTTCCAACTCCACCATAGAAGTATTTTTAGACGGTTGGGTACGAGGATACAACTCTTTAGGACCACTCGTAGTAGAAGGATAGTTATTACTAGTCGTGTTATTGTCAGTGGGTTGTTCTTGGTTGGTTTTTAACCACTGTCTCAACTCTTGGTTTGCAACTTGAAGTGTTTCCCATATATGGTGATAGTGTGAAATCATTTCAAAAACAATTCAACTCTTAATGCTTTCTCATCTTTTGGCGCACATTTTGCATTTTTTCAAACATGAAATCCAAACCTCTTTTTTATTATAATCAAAGCCTTTCTTATATTTGTTGCCTTTCTTTCATCATCTTTTCTTGTTCCTCCAAAATGGAAAAACGAATACCTTTTCCTTTTGGCAACGATACAAAAGGTTGATTTCCTTTACCAATCACAAATACGTTATTCAATTGGGTAGCAAACTCTTGACCTCGGGCATCTCGTACATGAATAATCTCTGTAGACCCTGGATGTTTCTCTCTATGTTGAATTAATCCAACTCTTCCAATATTATGTCCACCGGTAATCATACACAAGTTACCCACTTCAAACTTTAAAAAGTCTGTCACTTTTCCTGTTTCCAAATCCAATACCACCGTATCATTATGTTTGATAGCTGGATCGGGATAACGGATGGTGCGCCCATCATGAGTAGCTATATATGGGATTCCACGGACACCCATTTGGGCTCTCTTCACGCGACATAATTTGTACTAGTCTCAAGTTACTTTGGTGACATACTCAACAGAGTGATGACTTACTTTGCCTTCTTCCGGAGTGATGCGATGCAATCGGAATCTACCTTTTACATCATACAACAATCTAAAGGTTTCATTGGTACGTTCCAATTCAATCACGTCTAGTTGTTCATATATGAGCCATCTATTTGCAACTTCTTTCTCTATTTTTCACTTACCCATAAAACCTGCGGGAAATGTTTTATCGGTGCGTACTTTTCCATCCACTTTGACTAGACGTTGCATCAGAATAGCCACTGCTTCTCTATTATTGAGTGCATATTTCAATCGATTGCGGAGAATCAACAACAAAGGTAACGATTCTCGTAGTTTGTGAGGTCCACTACTTGGTCTAGGTGCCCAAATACCACCGAGTTTACTCAGCATCCAGTGTTTGGGTGCTGCCAAACGTTTCATATGCTTTTTGGGACCCCGTGGCATAGTTGAAAAGTATAATAATCAACAATATTTCACTTGTCAATAGAAAAAGAATCTAACGACGTCGACGAATCCAAAAAGGGAAAGACACAAATGGATAAAAGAAATATTTCTCTTTTTATATCAATCAAAAGATGGATTGGCCAATGTTGGTATTTCATATATAATATATATATATATATAAATATACAACGAAACCAAATGATGATCATTTTCAACTGTAAAGTATGACTATCAAGAACCACAAGAAAGACAACCTTCTGGATTCTGTAATGAACAACTCAGATAGTCTTCATTCGTTGGTACTTTGCGTATGATGGAAACATTTTCTTCTCCTCCATTATTATTATTATTATTCAACAACATACTTTTGTTCACTGCTTGTGATAAATATTGTTGATCGACTGTAAATTTGATGGCTTCTGCTGCTGGTCGAGTACGTAAATAATACATACCGGTCTTCAAACCTTTCTTCCAACCATGAAAATGCATAGAACTTAATTTACCAATATTCGGTGATGCTATATATACATTTAAACTTTGGCTTTGATCAATAAAAGCACCTCTGTCCGCTGCCATATCTAATAACCTAACATAAAACAAACAACTTATGTCACTTGATGAATTCAACTCGTTTCTTTCCCATTATTTACCTCTTTTGACTACATTCCCATATCGTTTTGTACAATTGACGAATATCTTGAGGTATTTCAGGAATATGTTGAACACTTCCATTGTATGCAATAATTTTGTTTTTCATATCATTGTTCCATAAACCTAAGCGTTGCAAATCACGCACCAAATGTTGATTGACAATGGTGAATTCTCCAGCTAATACTCGTCTCGTATAAATATTGGATGTATAAGGTTCAAAACACTAAAGAGGAATATCAATAAGAAGTTGGTTTCTATCTTATCTACTTACCTCATTATTACCCAATATTTGTGAAGTGGAAGCCGTAGGCATCGGTGCAATCAACAATGAATTGCGAACACCATCACGTTGAATAGCTTCTCCAAGTGTTTTCCAATCATAACGAGCAGAAGGCTTGACTTGCCATAAATCAAATTGAAATAAGCCTCGAGATAAAGGTGAACCTCGAAAACTCTCATAAGCTCCATCACGTTGTGCCAATTCTAAGGAAGTACACATGGCAGCATAATAAATGGTTTCTGCAATTTGTATATTCAAACGACGTGCTTCATCACTTTCAAAAGGTAACCGCATCAAAATAAAAGCATCGGCAAGTCCCTAAATACAAAAAGTGGAACATTTCATCCACAAACTTGGAATTCCAATGACACACTTACTTGAACACCAATTCCTATAGGACGATGACGTAAATTGGAAGTCTTGGCTTGAGTTACGGGATAATAATTGATATCGATGATTTTGTTCAAGTTGCGAGTAACTATTTTGGTAACGTGTTCTAATTGTTCAAAATCATAATAAGGCTCTTCCGAATCTTCTGAGAATTGTACAAACTGATTCAAAGCAATCGAAGCCAAGTTACAAACAGCGACCTAAATAATACTCACTCTTAGAAAGATGAGACTCTCTATCAACAATACACACTTACTTCATCAGGACTCGTATATTGTACAATTTCAGTACACAAATTACTACATCGAATAGTTCCCAAGTTTTGTTGATTGCTTTTCCTATTGCAATGATCTTTGTAAAGCATATATGGATTTCCAGTTTCTATTTGTGCTTCTAAAATAGCAAACCACAATTTACGTGCATCTATGACTTGTCTTGCTCTTTTCTATTGTTCTCATTTATATCCTTTTTGATAAAAAATTATGAGATTGGTCATACCTCCTTTTCATACTTTTCATAAAGTTGTTCAAATGCTTCACCCCAACAATCAGCCAAACCTGGAGCTTCATTGGGACAAAATAAACTCCATTTCTCATCCTTTTCTACTCTTTTCATAAATAAATCGGGAACCCATAAACCATAAAACAAATCTCGTGCTCGATTTTCTTCCTTTCCATGATTCTTTCTCAAATCTAAAAATTCAAAAATATCGGCATGCCAAGGCTCCAAATAAATAGCAAAAGCTCCTTTTCTTTTTCCTCCTCCTTGATCCACATATCTTGCAGTATCATTAAATACTCGAAGCATAGGAACAATGCCATTAGAAGTTCCATTGGTACCTCGAATATAAGATTTGGTTGCACGTATATCATGAACTGCCAATCCAATACCACCAGCACTTTTAGAAATAACTGCACATCTTTTTAAAGTATCATAAATTCCTTCAATGGAGTCTTCAGTCATAGTTAATAGGAAACAAGAGGATAACTGAGGTCTTGGAGTACCCGCATTGAATAAAGTAGGTGAAGCATGAGTAAAGTATTTTCGAGACATATAATCATAAGTCTCCAATACTGCTTCCAAGTCATCCTTGTGAATACCAACAGCTACTCTCATCAACATATGTTGTGGTCGTTCTATCACTTTGCCATCCACACGTAATAAATAGGAACGTTCTAAAGTTTTGAATCCAAAGTAATCATAAGAAAAGTCTCGATCATAAATAATAGCGTCGTCTAATACGTGAGCATTCTTCATAATGATAGAATGGATGTCTTCAGCTATCAAAGGAGCCGGAGCTTTGGTTTTAGGGGATTCATAATGATACAATATATCCATAGTTTTAGAAAACGACTTGAGGGTGTTTTTGTGTAGATTGGAAATAGCTATTCTGGAAGCCAATAAAGAATAGTCGTGGTGTTTGGTAGACATATAGGCTGCTGTTTCAGCTGCCAAGTCATCCAGTTCAGAAGTTGATACACCATTGTATACACCAGTACAAACCTTTATAAAGTATTTTTACAACTTTCACAAGTATCCAAGTATAATAATACCTTTTGAGCCACTTCTATAATATCTACCATGGGATCTAACCCATAGGCAAGCTTTTTGATTCTTGCGGTAATCTTGTCAAACTTTACTGGTTGCTTTCTGCCATCTCTCTTTACTACATGCATTTCCATGATATGGATATGTAAATAAATATACTCAACTGAGCACCCAAAAACAATCACACTCAGGATTAATTCTGTTTTCCCAGAAGAGGGAATGGGATTTCCTTTTTGTAGGAGTTTCTCAAAAGAGTATGGCGGGCTATAAAAAGAATAGCGGGCTATTTCTTTGGAGAGGAGGGCTTTTCTTATAAAGAGCTATTTTTGGAACAAGTTTCAAGTGTTATCTTTTTTGAGGAGGTTGAGAGCCACTTTGGAGTGTATGACATGTCTTCTTTTTTTCCTCCTTTTCCTTGCGTCATGAGAACAAGAGAGTTACAAGTGAAAAGTAGAATGGGTTGATAATATATCATGATAGTTTGTATTGATTGGACTTGTGTCTTGTATTTCTTTCACTTGTTGATAGATAATAGGATAGGATTCAATGACTCGTTGGTTTATTTGTTTCCATTAGGAAGAACAAGGACATACAGTAATAATCAGTCATTAAGAAAAATAGATATTACGGGGCTGTATTGGAAAAGGTTGCTTATTTTTCTTCTCGTTATTATTTTTTTGGATTGGATATATTCCTCCTTGATTATATAGAAAAGAAAAGAAAAATGCATCCAGAAATACAAAGTAGATGGAAATTATTTTATATTTTATTTTTATATATCAAAAGAGAGCGAAACAAATATTCATTCGGATGTCCATTGGGAGATTGGCCTTTTCATTTTTCTATTGTAAGAATTGCCCGCCCATCACATCGCTGTTTGGTGGATCGATTCATTCGTTGAGAAGAAAAATGATTCAATAAGGCTTTAAAAATGTTGCTTTGTTTTGAAAAAATAAAATTAGGTTGTTTGAGTTTGGCTTGTTGTATTACAATGAAAACTCTCTGTGTTGGTTTATTCTTTTTGTTATGCATCTCTTATTATACATATGCCACACCTCTAATATCTAGTCAACGCTCTCAAGATTCCTCTGTACTGTATAATTGGAAAGCAGAGTCTCAGCCTCAAATGAGAGCAGCTGTGAATGCAACTGCTGCACCTTCACCGAGTGTCACTGCTGGAGAAGCAGAAATTCAATTAGGATTTGTTGCATCGACTGTAAGAATGGCTCAAAAGTTTGGACTATTAGCTTCCAGTGAAAGAACAGTCATTTCAGTGACTGAAGAAGCAGATGCAGATAAGCTTATTTTGGATAATGCATCTCCTTATAGCGTTATTGAAGTGGCCTATGTTGGTAGTCCTTCACCATTTGCAGTAGCATTTGATGTCATTGTTCCTTATAGTGAAGGTTCCAGTTACTTGAAAGAAGTAACTAGCAACACAACGTTTCAAAATGATTTAAGAACTACTTTGAATCTACCAACGAGTTATGTTTTCAAGGCGACTGAAGTTGTTTCAGCGACTCCAACACCCACAGTATGTTATACTTATGCTGCTTATGGTCAATATGTCCCTTGTACTAGTACTCCTACAGTTTGTTATACTTACCACTCATATGGACAATATATTCCTTGTACTACTACTACTCCTTATCCAAGCTATTCTTCCTCCTATTCTAGTTCATCCTATCCACAAGTGCCTACTTATCCTTTTATTCCCTCTTTTTAAAAAGGTAACTGTTTTTTTTGGATATCTAGTTTTACATATGTGATGATACATGAGTGTTGTGAAATTGAATATGAGCTCTAGTCATTTCTATAAAAACATTTTGGCTAGTATTCTACTATATGAATATTTATCATTCATTGTTTTTCGTTCATTGAAAATGTCCTTTTATTTGCTACATGGACAATCATGACATTCTTCATTTTTGGGTAACAAACACTGCAAATGATGATAACAACTGAATGCATGCCAAGAAAGTTTTTTCTTTCTCAATTGGAAAAATAATCGAGGTTGCTTATCCATTTTTTTGAAGACTCATATAAAAAAAATCGACGAACATTGGTTTTCGATATCCATCACCTTTTATGTTACTTGTTGGATATGAGCGACCATTCTTAATAATAGAACAGATGATAGGATATTTCAATTATCATTGAAATGATGAAACAAACAATATTTGTGCCAGTTGAGCGACTCAATCATAAAATAAGAAATATCTTTCCACTTTCTTTCGATATTTTGGTTGGAGAGTATATGGAATAGTCATTATTTGCCTTTTCAACTCAGTTTGTATAATACAGATTTTGGAAGGAATGGGGAGTTGTTGTACACCAGAGTTTCAAATGAATATTGGATCATTTGAATTTCTCATTGAAATAGAAATGGAGCCATGATCCAGGCAATCAATTGCATATGTCTCGTTTATCTGTCATTATCTCATTTGAATACACAGAATGGTTTGAATTCCAACAACTCATCAAAGGTAAGAAAAGCGGACTCACTTTTATTTCCAAGTATCTATTTATATTTATATATATGTATTTCTATCTATCTCTATGTATATATATATATATATTCTTTCTTCAACAAATAGGATTGAAAACCCAACTAGGTGATCAACTCTTTCAATGAGCCGTTTGTAGATAGGATGACTTGCATCTTTTTGGCTATTCCCATATTTATCCCACTTATCTCAAACAAAAACTTGAAAATAGTATAGGACCCAAATACAAATCATCCTCTTTGACAGATTTCCAAAAGCACACACAATTCTCATACAATCAATTTCCTATTGTGTTCCAGAAAAAGAGATGAAAAGGATAACTTTCCGATGGCTATTTCATCTCGAACCAAACCAAACACAACAATCTGAGTTAATGGGTATGGACCGAGTTGCTTTCCATTTTATCTTATTGATTCGTTGCTCTTGAAAACAATGGTTTGCCACTATTCATGTGCAAAGTCCAAATGGGATAAAAGTAATGATATTATCACACGAAACAAAGATTCAATCGTTCCTATTGTTATTCATTTTCTCTTCCAATCGAGATACGGAAACGAGATCAATTGCTTTATTGTCAATGAAAAAGGTCTTGAAAAGAATAATCAAAGGCCATATTGTTAAAGTCAATCTTTATCAAGAAAAGGCCAATCACTTTGACAACAAGTAATTGTGAAGTTTCATGGTCAAGCAATACACAAACTCAACAAAAATTTGATAAAACCTCTTCTAATCTTTCCTCCAACAGTTTTGGGATATGTCGATTCTATCTTTAACAATTCCTCAATATTTGCATTTTATTCGTATACGATTGAATCATTTATTGTCCATGTTTATTATGAAGAATAGATTGAGATAGTCACTTGAATCTTCAACAACTCCACATATTATCTAGTCCTTTTTGTAATCATGAGATTGATTGAATCCTCTCATTCATGATAGGATAAACTTGTTCTATAAGTCTCCATAATCATAAGATGTATAAGAGATGTGATTGAAAGGAGCATTCTTCATTCCATCACAATCCCATCCATTTTATATGTGCATATAAAAAAAGTCTTTCAAGTAATGTCACTTTACATTCCTAATTTTCAATTTGTGTTCCACATAGACTATAAAAGAAGTTTATAATAATCTCTTGGAAACACATATCATAAGACATGTCTTTAAGCTATTGGTTCATGAAGGAAACATGCAGTATCAACATTTTAAAGAATTGCACCTCTCAATAACTGCACATATCATCTCAACTAGGAGTACTTGGAAAAAGTGACAATGGAGTGTTGCAAAAGTTAAATTGTCAACATTGAACAGTTGTCTTGCGGTTCACTTCAATCTGTTTTACTAACAATCAAAGGTTTGAGTTCGTACTCTTTTGCAAGTTTGGACATGTCTCAACTATCATCTTGAAATAATATGTGTTTCTGTTTCACCCGATGGTATAAGAAAAACCTTTGATTAAAGTTGTATAATAATATTATAATAGACAGTATTCAAAGAACAGGCCAAGGAATTGTTATGACTCAATTTTACTGCATAGGGTTCCATATACAATTGAATTGGGACAGTCCATATATAAGAAAGAGTTGAATTCAAGTTATGAGAGCATTCCTTTTGGAAATCTTCGGGTCAATAAAGGTAAAATGCAAGTTCAGGTTGGTTCAATATTGTGTTGGTCAACAAGCTTTCTATTTCTTCTAATCAACTTTGCGACCATTATCAAAATAGTTTTGGTTTACAGAGTTGGCAGTGAAGCATTTGAAAATTGAAGATTTTCATCCTGCAAATTTCCTATCAATCGGTCATATTGTATTCCTTTTTGGTGGTTTTCCTTGAAAACTTTTCTGTTATGTTCCAATGAAATAGTTTATCGGATAATTGGATGGTGGGTTGTCTCAGTAGCTGTGCATTGAAATGTTGGATCGTTCATGTCTAGTTGTCCAATCTTCAGCCTTGGTCAATTTATGAAATCTCAAACATCTGAGAAGAAGTTGAAGTAGCTTTGGCTTTTAGGAGAATTTCTCTTTGATTGTAAAGTCAATATCTCTCAAGTTTGTTGAGTAACTTTTGGTTCTTTATTTGAGTACTTTTGACTAGTTTAAAAACTTTTTAGTTTTTTACTATATTAGAATGAAAAGATGTTATTTTGGAGACATTTCATGGGAACTCTTTCTCACATGGTTGATGCCTCAAATTGACAACTTTGTCAAGTTGCAACTGTAATGTATTTGTTGATTTACATAGTATAAAGCATTCTTTATATCATAAAGGATATAGTAAAAGACACTTTTTGAGGATGGAAATGAGAGAGAGAGAGAGAAAGAACTATGCCTATTGTGAGTGTGAATTGCACTATTCAAGGTTATCGTAACAAGGACTATTGCTTGTCGTGATGGCATCTTCTCATTTATTGTTTCATCCAAAAGAAAGGGAAATATTGAAAAGAGTGTTGCTAATGCTATACAGAATATATAGAAAGTTCAAGGCTTTGAATAGTTATTCTATTCTTGTTTATGAATAGATACATAAATATGCATTTGTTTAGAAAGTGTTTTCATTTGGAAACTTTTCTTCATAATCATAGTTGTCATGATAGCAACTCTTTTTATACAAATTATATTGAGTTTATCATTTTATACAATGTCTTTTTTTTGCTTACTATATTTACTCTTTTCTCACTCTTGACATTTCATTGCATAAACTTTGTAGCTACACACCAACCATCCAATTCAAGGATTGACTTTCTTTTTTTGAATTGAAAACCTAAATTGCTTCATTCGTAACTGCACAACTATACTTATCATACATTTGAACTGAGAGTGTTAGAATAGCTTGACTTTTACAAGTTGCTCAAATACAGCAATGCATACTTGAGAACAACAAGTCCATACAAGTGAAAGCATGCCCAAAAAATAATTATGACTGTTGTCCTCACATTGACATATAAAAAAAAGTGGCTTGAAATTTCGTCATGATTAACAAAAAAAAACTTACCTTTATGAAACAAGCCCAGTCAGTTGAACTCACGTAAATCTTAAACCTAGTCACAACAAGCTAGATCCAATTTCGAAGCTAAGAATGATAAAAAAGTGGAGTTGAATTGGAATACAACCTTTCATGTGGATACCTTTGAAGTGTTTTCTTGCATTTTTGTGTCTCTCTCTCTCTCTCTCTCTATATATATATAGAGAGAGAAGACATTTAGGAAATCATGAAAGCTGATCATCAGGCAGCCATATCATTTTCTCGTGGAATGAAAACATACACATTGCAATTGAATTACCAAAAGTAGCTTGTTGTATGGGTTTGCAGTCCCTGCAAATTTGACTCTTATCCAACTATTTATACAAGTTCCTACAGGACCTGATGTCCGTGTCATATTTAAAAGTAATGTGTTGGTGTAAAGAATCGTACGAGGTCTTTTCCAGTTTCATATAACAACAGATATTCTAGATTGGAGAGAATCTGGTTTCGATGAAAGTAGTTGAAATGATATTATATTTCATTGGATAAAATCTTTGTACCCAGTCCAGTTTGTTTTCATCAGAAAATAACTCGTCAACACAAGAGTCTAATAGTCTGTTCAAAAAAAGCCAACGAAGAATGTTCGTTGGGTCCCTTTTTGCAAGATGATGCTCCTGCTTCTTTCCTTACTTAGATAAGACAACTTCGACTGGAGGTTTCTCTTTCGTTTGATAGTCCTCTTTTTTTCATTCAATGACTATACCTTGACGTGTCAACAAAGCTGGAGGACTGGTAATTGATGGAGATGACACTACTTGTAGAGATACAACTATAGAACCTGAAAAGAAGCAAAAGTTATTCGTTGGGTAAAGGCGGTGGTAGTGTTGATAGACCAGAATATGGAAGATGCGAAGGAGAAAGTTCGATATGAGTCACTTTGACTGGTGGCAACCCTGGCAATACGAGTAGATCGGTTAGTGATGGTGAAAGTGGAGGACGCATCGAGCTATTTCACAAGGTGGTTTTGGTGACAAGATAACAAGTTGTATCCTTGTGAGAGGAAGTTATTTTGGAGAAATGTGTAGTCAACCTGGCTAAGCTGGTCTCGTCCATATTATTTTTGAGCCTTGTTCTTCTTCTATCATGGATATGCAACATTACATTTATATGAGTCTCTTGATGGACAAAAAGTAAAAGTGTTTTGCATTGGATAGTTATTCATGATTGAGTGTTGTTTTATGGCAAAGAGTCGTTGTATATTATTTATTTATTTTAAAGTACAATTCAACCTAGTGATTGTTTGAGCTATATCGTTATGACTCCAAAGACACCATTCACATAACACCAATGAAAGCTTGATCAAAGATGGACATTAGAAAAACACAATCACAAGCGTTGTGGAATCAAGGTTGAAGGAGAATTCTTGGATATTTATGAAAGGAACAAGTCAAAATGGAAAAGTTCGATGTGAAGAAGGAAAAAAAGGTCCATTCATCCAATTTCAAAAATAAGCTCTTTGAAAATGTCTCATGTGTTTCATATGAAGCAGTCATGTGGGTTACTCTGCACCCTTTTCTTTCATAGAAGCTACAGTTTTCTGTTTGTCGAGTAAGTTTTTAAAAGAAGAGCACTAAGCTTTGTTTTCTAGTTGTGGATTTGACGTGATGTAAATAAGTGAGTTTTCCTCACAAATCCAATTACAGCAACTTGACATCACGATGCAGTTTTTGTGTACTGTGAATGGCACACTCTTCTTTACTTGAGTATTGTTGCAATATACTAGTGAGATAGTTGGACCAACTCTCCAAGTGGATATGGATAGCATTCAAGTAGAAGAGTGTTTTTCATTCTTCATTTAATTAGTATAAATTCGGCAATATATCCACAGAAAACTGGCCCATGTTAAGAACCCTCATGTCTTCAAGTAGCTAATCTGTCACAGAATAATAGGAAGGATTAGTTTCAAGTATTATTTTGAAGGTTTGGATGTAACTCTTAAAGCTGAATTTTCGAGAATTTTGCGACGTATTGTTTCCAACAGTTGTGACTCTTTTGTTTTGTAAAGCGAGTATGCTGAAAAGTAACTTTGTTGTCACATTTTGATCACATGATAGGGTTACTTCCGTGCACTGAATTCGAATCTTACAATTTCAAAGGAAAAGTACATCGAGACAATATTATCTAACGTGTTTGGTTGCTGCAAGGGTTCCATTACAAGTATTCTATCATCTATCGAATACATAAAGACTATTATAAGGATACAATTGTGAGTGTCCATTTTATATCAATCCAACTAGTATTAGATAGTAAGAGCTTCCTCCAAACTTTATTTAGTCTTATCAAGACTCCATGTAATGGATAAGTTCATATTCTGAAGTTTGAAAACTCTTCAGTAATGCCAATAAGCAGTTTGGCTATTACGGTGGGATCAGTGATGCCCATGCGACGTAAAGAATCTTCATCGAGTCTGGAAAGCCAAACTCTGCCGAATCTTGAAAGTTTCCTAAAATAATAGGCAACTTCTTCTTCAGAAAAACCACAACGTTCTCTTAAGAAAGCATTCCAATCAAATGACGAAGACAAAGAACTCGATGCTGCAACCTTTCGTTCCACTTGCATAGCACTTTGAAAACTTTCCATTGGCATCCTATTCTCCTCATTGGTTCTCGGTCTTATATTTCGAGCCACTCTAACAGTAACATTTGATTGCTCAGCTTCCAAAGATGAAACATATTCATTAGACATCGACTCAAAGACAGTTTTACACCATACTGAAAAGTCTTTTCTGAACTCTTCTCGGCTTGCCTTGCCAATTTTCCTAAAAATATCGAAATTTTCTCTTCCCAAAAATCGTTCAATGTTCCATTGCGAAACAACTACCAATTGCAGACATGATCGACTACTTTCATTCAAAGTTGATCCCGAAGAATGTTGAGTCACAAAACGACTTGCATCTTCAACAATGTTCTGTTGTTCAACAGAGAAACCTACAGATCGACCATAACTAGCACAAACTACCACAAACTGAAAACAAAGTTGAACAGATGAAGGAGATTCGTTATTCAAAACGGGAATAACTTCTTGGAAAAATTGTTCTGCTTCCTTCTCAATATCTCTCTTCGAAAATTCACTTTTGTGATAAAATTTGAATGAAAATCCAACAACATAACGTGTTTGTCCATTATGGAATACAACATATGCATCAGCGCCACTAGAATTGCCATCTTTTGGAACAAAAATACCACAACGTTGTAAAAATTTTCTATAATGGTCAGAAAATGAATCAGAGACATTTCTCAAGATGGGTATATCATTAGATTTTGTTGATTCCATAGAATAAGAAATATTGTCCTGTTCAATAAAGGAATCCTGGAAAATTCCTGGAATAGCAGAATGTACAATAGGCGAGGAATTAGAATGAAGAAAAGTTAATAAGCGAAAGCGAAAGATCTTCATAAATACAAATTCAAAGAAGACTCCTTTTGCTGTTGAAGTGTCGGGAATATAACTAAACGGAGATAAAGGAAAGAGTTCAGTAGCCTCAAGGAAAAAGTTATCTTTGCTATGAGCTCTCAATATAAATTCACAACAACCAATCTTGAATTCGGTGCCCAAATCAATCCCGTCAGTTTCACAACTTTCAGAGTAAAACCCAAAAGTTGCAACCAAGTCCATCAAATAACTTCTCGTTCCACATAAAGTAATTACAAAGTCAATTGGAAAAACTGTTCCGAGCTGATAATTCAAAAGGACAAATTGATATCGAAGAAGGGTTGCGGAATCTTGTATCTCTGGAATAATAAAGGTTGTTGACTCTTTTAGTATATCTTTAAAGACACTATCTAATAAGGGTTCCATATTTTCATTGTTGATAACAGGTTGGGCTTCGTTTTGCACTTTCTCTATTAGTGTTAATAAAGTGTTCCTTACAATCAACGGCATACCTCCTGTCTTCTTTTTCAACAATTCTACGAATCGATATCGTAAATCATCTGAGGGCAATAACCAGTCCTTCAAGGACTTTCCATTATAAGTTGCCAGCTCAATATATTCGTTAATATCATTGATGTTAAAGGGATTCAACCGCAACATATGGAGACTCACACTACTGGAGCGAGCATCAGTCCGGGGGGCTGAGATTTCATCGGTTCGACCTGCCAAATAGACGATTACCTTTCCTGTAATCAACAATTCACGTAAAATGCGGAAGAACTTCCGGAAAGGTACATATTTTGGGTCAGACTCGATGAACTGTTTCTTGTTGAGTTCACTATAGTATTTGGTGAGGTCACTCAGGTGGCTAAGTTCGTCTATCATCAAAAATAAATATTGTTTCTGAAATTGTTCGAGAAGATACTGAATAGCTCTTACGATGTCAGGTTTTTTTATTGTCCTTTCAGCTATCTGAAGGGCGTCCCTATCTTTACCATTTTGTCGGTAAGCGTTCAAAATTATGTTATTCATCAAAGCCTTTCGAAACCTTGGAAAAGGAGCATGAGAAAAGCTCTCTTCTAGTTCTAAGACAACTGACAAAGTGTTTTCCGCAAAGTGTTTCCAAGAAAAAATCTTCGCTTCAATTTTTCCCGACGAGCTCTTGTTGAAAATCTCCGTCTCCTTCTGCTCTTTTTCTTCTTCGGCGAATTTTTTTAAAAACTCTAAAAAATTTTGACCTACAAAGCTTTTGCCAGCTCCAAAAATATGTGGAGAAAAGGAAGCTGAAGGGCGTATGTTAAAGTTTTTCCCAACTGGAGAAAACTGGTGGAAATAAGTTTGAAGAATAGAGTAAATATCTTCTTTTCTATCTATTAATGGTACTTTTGTCATTCCAGGCAAACTTATGCGTATCTCTTGACTAGTCATTTTCCACGCCGCCGCTCTCCAAAATCAATGAATGAGTGATGATGATAAAAGGTTGATGAAAGCGATGACCTAAAAGCTTTCAAAGGAGCCGAGAACAAAACACTTGGAGGAGGACAAAGGAGTTGGAAGGAGTGTATGTTTTATTGTTCGAGCGGTTGCTTTATTTGGTGATTGGTAAAACTGATCTCTTTGACACTTCTAGACTCACAATGACAACAGAGAGAAAGCAGGAATATTTTCTTGCTTGTCATAACTAGAAACTTTCTTTTACTATAGACAAGAAATAGTTTTCTATGAGTTTTTGTGGTGAATTAGATTGATGGGTACTCTTTCTATGGCTTGTATACTGTAAGAGAGTTTTTCTACTATCTTCCACACCATCTTACACGCAAACTCCTATATACAAGTCTAATTAGATACAAGCTTTTTGTAAGTTACAGACGAAATATAGTGGGAAACAGAGAATTGCAATGAATGGGAAGTCTGTTAGTTTGTAACCGTTCGTAGCAGAGTTTATAAATACAAAAGTATCTAATTGAGTTTGGAGAAGAGTATTATGTAGATTGTCATACTGACTTATCATTAAATACAAGCCATTATTGATGTAATAGCTACACAAGTTGTCTATCCTTTGTTCGACTTTTACCAAGTTGTGAATATGTCTTATATAAGGACATCAATTAAGGCTTCAAATGTAGTCACTATAATCGTTCATTTTCTGCACATCGATGCTGAAAAGGAGAGTAAAAGATTGAGCCAAAAAATTATTTTGCTAAAGAAGAAGCCTTGTATACTTGAGTCAAGGTCGATTAGTGTACTAACTTGAAAGCTTCAGCAATTCTCCAACTGAAAGCCACTCCATATTGAAGAACTTTTACCCAACATGACTCTTATGTTGGCTGAAAGACTTTGTAGTTCCTAAGTTATCGGTCAAGTGATTGTTGTGGAATGACAATACTTCAAGATTGGATATGGTTTCCTTTGACTACTTAGAAGCAATTCTGTTCCACTCTCAAAGTTGTCCTTTGCAATGCAATATAAATAGAACTCCTATGTAAATGGTGATTTTCTGAAATAGAAAGTTTTTTTCTGTGTCTATCATGTGGTAGAGTCATTTAAGATGTCTCTTGTTCTATCGATAATTGAACAAAGTTTTTCATCTTTGCAACCGGGTTACCTTCCTTATCTGAGAATCGGTGAGTTTTCAGTCTAATTCACAAAAACAGAGTTTGAATATATAGTGTCGTGACTACTTTTGAGATAGAGTTTGAATTGCAAACTTAAATACTCTTTTTAGTATTTGCTCTTACCTTTGCTATGTTTTCTCTTGGATCCAACAAGTTTCATATTTGTAGGAGCCATTCATATGAATTCTAAGGCTAGAAATGCAGTTTGAAAAAAACACATAAAAACGAAAGGAATCTAAACTTTTATGGAATTTCAAGAAGCTAAAACTCTTTTTTAGACCGCAGTGCAGGTTCTCAAGTTGGAGGAAGCCTCAAGTTTTTGCTGCCATTCCCTTCGTTTGGTCTAAAACCGAGGAAAACTCTCTTCTATTCAGTTAACAAAAGACAGGAAGGACAGTCCAAGTGAAATCTACAAACAACCTTTTTCTGTCTCAGTCTTTGAAAATTATAGTAAAAGGAGTTACTAGTCTTTTTTCAACAGACTAGAAAGACAACATAGCAGACAATTGAAGAATGTTTTGAGATATCCTTTGGGTAACCATTTTACTAAGTATTTGGACAAGAAAGGATATTTTTCATTCTAGTTGTATCAACATGTATGTATGTATAGTCTATTCATTTTGAATCATTGCTACAACTCTGCAATATTATTGCAAATTGACATGAAACGATTATAAGCCAGCCTTGAAAGCCAGCTAATAAACTCTTTTCAAGGAAGACTGTATGGTGTCCAAAAGACAAGCAAGTAAGATGTAACCAAGTTTCAAACATAAAAAAAAAGAGTTTACTTGCTCTTAAAAAGAAATCACAAAGTGAAGGATTGAGTAAAAGTCTATTGCCAACTTAAGAAACTGTTACGGATTCTATCAAGTAAATCTAATCCAAAATCCCAAAAAGTAGGATTATCAGAAACATGAAATGCTCTTTCAAGTCCATTCAATATTTCTTCGTCAATCAGCATTTCCATATCTCTTTCACAAAGAATAACAAGTTCACAATTATCAGGTACTTTGAACGAATCATTTCTAATAAACATTCCACTGGAGTAACAACGACTCTGATTACCCAACTCATTAGAAACATTCAATGATAACTTTGTACTAACGATAATAAGCATACAATGATGATAATCCATTGCACTGGATAAGACTTGATCATATACAGGATCTAAAAATTTCTTGGCTTCATCTATAATATCTGACCAGCCAATTCCTTCCGACTTCCAACGTCCTTTACAAGCAACTCCAACAGTAAGAACTTTGGGTTCCACAGGAGATTGTAATTTGAATATAATATCAGGACTATGAGAAGTAGCGTCCAAAGGAATGTAAATAGTCTCTAAATAAAGTGTCTCTCGAATAATGTTATTCCATTCGGTATTGGCAAAAGTTCTTCGACTCTTGTTCGATTCATTTCTTGTTTCTCTAGAACTAACAACAGACTTGATATAGTGAATAGGTGATATTGTATTGATTGGAAGTTTCATTTGTTTCCATATTGGAGACAATTGACATAACAATTCCCTCAACTCATTTCGATTCTTTGAAGACAACATCAAAACTAGTCGTAAAGCAACAATTCCTTCAAATACACGACACTTTGAATAGAAGAAACAATCTACTGGTTCTACATCAAGTGATCCAAGAAGTATCTTTTCCAAAGAAGAGATAGAAGGGTCGTTCTTGAAGATTACAACAAATACTTTCGGAATTAGGACTTGAAAAGTATTCTCGTCAATAGGATATCGATATAATCCCATTTCAGTGACTGCATCATATAAAAAGGACTCCGAGGTCAATCTATCATCTACTTTAGACGGTATACGATAAAGTGCCATCATCAATAGTATATCAAAAACACTTTTTCTATCTTCGTCCAAAATCAATATTCGTTCCACAAATGGTTCAGCACAAATTCTTCGGAAATTATCGTCGTTCATACAAGTCAAACATTCTTCTTTCGATATGAAAGGCTGGTTTCTTGCTATTATATAATTCAGAAGCATATTCACTGCACGAGTCAACAAACCAGGAACTCCACCTGTACATTCCAATAATGAGTCTGCCAATTCATTTACTGAAAATGAAGAACTACATAAGACATTACAAACTGGTTCTTGAGTAGGTGTCTTTAGAAGACTTTTTTCAAGGAATTCAACGATACTGGAAGCGTCCAAAGGTGATAAAGGGATAAAATGTAGTATGACTTTTGATAGCCCAGAAGCGACATCATTCTTAATACTTAAACCTTTTCTTTTTCCAACAACTATAAAAAACAAGTCGGGTTCTTTGCACAATTTCCTAATGATACCGAAAAAGTCGTTGTATGGTCGAACTCTACCATCATGGGTTCTCTTGAAATGAAATTCGTTTCGACTTTCGTCTAGAACACCAACTTCATCAAATGCTACCAAAAGATATTGATCGGAAGGAGTGTCCAAAGTCTTCCGTAGCTCCGGAGTTAGAAACTTTGGATAGGGAGGAATGTGTCTGTAGGTTTCATCAGGCTTCATAAACGGTAGACCCATCTGATCCTAAGCCGATTGGTACAATAAAAAGCACAAGGCCCACTTCAGGTTTCATTTTTCCTCGATGGGTCGATTAGGCTCCAACTTCCTTAGATCAGCATGAAGCAACGAAGAGTTTCTGAGCTTCTCCAAAAACCCGTTCGATTGGTCTTCTCAGACTCACCAACGTGATATAGACCTATAAGTGCACTTTCACCCGTGTTATTCAACAGTTTCAAGTAACTTTGTACAAAACTTGTCTTTCTTCCGAAGAGGTGAGGGCCAAAAGGTATGACTGGTTTGAAAGGGCGACCAAGTTTACGAAGTTGTATAGCCTAAATAACTGCTTTGTTACTACACGAACATCTTGTTCTCAGTCTACTACAACTATGTAATACACGCTTTCTGCGTCAAGCTCACTGGACATATCGCAAGCTGTGAACTGAACTAAAGGACAGTAAAATACAACAGTGATCGATCAATCTTAAAATGTTCATTGCTCAAAATTTCTAACGGTTGATAATTGAAGAAAGAGTGCTCCTTGAGCCTTTTATTTGTATGACAAGTTAACAGAGTTGCTCCGCGTTGAAATTGAAAAGTGACCATCTCGCACTTTCAAGTTGACCTTACAAAGCATCCGAATTGGACTGATCACTGCACACAACATGAGAACAAATCAAAACTAATTGCAATCGAACTGAGATTTTCTTTGCAAAGCTAGTTTCGGTCAAACTCAACTTTGTTGAAAGGCTTAAGCGTCGCTAGGGAGTTGACGGAAGTTCCTTACGACGCTATCTTTCTCCCGTCGCAATATTACTATGGTATGAAGATAAATTCTATCTATACCAGTTATTATACCAATAGCTTTTTATATCTCTTTTAGTGGAATATTTTCTTGAATAAAACTCACTAAACATAAAAGACTCCATATCTCCTGTGAAAGCATTTGCTCAAAATCGAGTAAAGCAGGTTAACATCTTCAATGTTCGATAATAGAATAATAGAAAATTTTGTATTTATGAGTTGCAACTACAACGAATGAAACATATTGAAAAAATGACAAAACTCTCAAATACATTCATCGTTCGTTAGCGAGATATGACCTTATAGAAGATCTTATCTTCAACCTCAACGCAGGTTTATCTATACCCAAGTCCCTTAAAATTTCTTTGGTCACCGCTGGAAGCTCGTCCATATCAATATCTTCCACTTTCGGAAGACAATAAGCAACATCTTCTTCAGAAAGACCACAATATTCTCTTAGGAAAGTATTCCAATCAAATGACGAAGACAAAGAACTCGATGCTGCAACCCTTTGTTCGCCTCGTGTATTTCCTTCTTCCACTTGCATAGCAGTTTGAAAACCTTCCATTTGCATCCTATTCTCCTCATTGGTTCTCGGTCTTATATTTCGAGCTACTCTTAAAGTAACATTGAATGGCTTAGCTTCCAAAGGCGAAACATATTCATCGGACATCGACTCAAAGACAGTTTTACACCATACTGAAAAGTCTTTTCTGAACTCTTCTCGGCTTGCTTTCCCAATTTTCCTCAAAATATCGAAATTTTCTCTTCCCAAAAATCGTTCAAGGTTCCTTTGAGAAACAACTACCAATTGCAGACATGATCGACGACTTTCATTCAAAGTTGACCCTGCAGAATGTTCAGTAACCAAATAACTTGCATCCTCAACAATATTCTGTTCTTCACTAGAGAAAACTACAGATCGATCATATCTAGTACAAACTACCACAAACTGAAAACAAAGTTGAACAGATGAACGGAAATAACTTCTTGGAAAAATTGTTCTGCTTCCTTCTCAATATCTCTCTTCGAAAATTCAGTTTTGTGATAAAATGTAAATGAAAATGCAACAACATAACGTGTTTGTCCATTATGGAATACAACATATGCATCAGGACCACTCGAATCGCCATCTTTTGGAACAAAAATACCACAACGTTGTAAATATTTTCCATAATGGTCAGAAAATGAATCAGAGACATTTCTCAAGATGGGTATATCATTAGATTTTGTTGATTCCATAGAATAAGAAATATTGTCCTGTTCAATAAAGGAACCCTGGAAAATTCCTGGAATAGCAGAATGTACAATCTGCGAGGAACTAGTATGAAGAAAAGTTAATAAGCGAAAACGAAAGATCTTCATAAATATAAATTCAAAGAAGACTCTTTTTGCTGTTGCAGTGTCGGGAATATAACTAAACGGAGATAAAGGCAAGAGTTCAGTAGCCTCACGGAAAAAGTTATAGTTGCTATGAGCTCTCAATATAAATTCACAACAACCAATCTTGAATTTAGTGCCCAAGTCAATCCCGTCAGTTTCACAAATTTCAGAGTAAAACCCAAAAGTTGCAACCAAGTCCATCAAATAAGTTCTCGTTCCACATATAGTAATTGCAAATTCGATTGGAAAAATTGTTCCGAGCTGATAATTCGAAAGGACAAATTGATATCGAAGAAGGGTTGCGGAATCTGGTATCTCTGGAATAATAAACGTTACTGACTCTAGTAGTACCGAGTTAAAGATTCTATCTAATAAGGGTTCCATATTTTCATCGTTGGTAACAGGTTGCGATAAGTTTGCAAGTTTCTCTACTAGGGCTAGTAAAGTATTCTTTACAATCAACGGAATACCTCCTGTCTTCTTTTTCAACAATTCTACGAATCGATGTCGTAATTCATCTGAGGGCAATAACCAGTCCTTCAAGGACTTTCCATCATAAGTTGCCAGCTCAATATATTCGTTAATATCATGGAGGTTAAAGGGATTCAACCGCAACATATGGAGACTCACTCTACTGGAGCTAGTATCAGACAGGGGGGCTGAGATTTCAGCTGTTCGCCCTGCCAGATAGACGATTACTTTTCCTGTATTCAGCAACTTATGTAGAATTCGGAAGAATTTGCGGTACGGTATATATTTTGGGTGGGACTCGACGAACTGTTTCGTGGTAAGTTCACTATAGTATTTGGTGAGGTCACTTAGGTGGCTAAGTTCGTCTATCATCAAAAATAAATATCGTTTCTGAAATTGTTCGAGAAGCTAATTAATAGCTCCTACGATATCAAAATTCTTTACCGTCCTTTCAGCTATTTGAAGAGCGTCCGTATCTTTACCATTTTGTCGGTAAGCGTTCAAAATTATATTATACATCAAAGCCTTTCGAAACCTTGGAAAAGGAGCATGAGAAAAGCTCTCTTTTAGTTGTAAGCTAACTGACAAAGTTTGTTCCGCAAAGTGTTTCCAAGGCACCTTCAACGCACTCGGTTGGGGGTTATCGTTTGAACTGTGTAGTTGTTGAAAAGTCTGTGCATTGGAACACTCACGCTCTGCAAAAATATTCAAATAGGCCAAAAAGTTTTGGCCTAGAAATGTTTTGCCGGCTCCATAAATATGCGGCGCAAAACAGCAAGCCGGGCGATTGAACGAAGGCCCACCGTACGCCTTCTCCGAGAACTGAAAAAGAAACGTCTGTATAATTGTCCTGACGTCCTCTTCCCTGTCAATTTGTGGTTCTTTTAATTGGTATATTGTTTGCATTATTCAAAGACTGATACAACTCGAACCTTTCAACAACGAATGACCTAAACACAAATTGTAAATTGGACAAATTGATAATGTTTTTCAAGAGTTTCCAGGGCGGCTATACAGTTACTTTGGATATCTTTAAGTTGGTTTATGACACTTTAGCCACTTCAAACCTATCGAGGGATTAAAGTTGTAAAAATGAAATTTCGGAATTTAAACCTCTCTTTGAACATATTTCAAGCTTTGAATTGTTTCTATTGTAACAGTCCCACCTTTTCCTTTGAGACGTTGAGCTCCACTTGGCTTGTATTGTCTTTTTGGATTGTCCATTATTGAATACCTCTGTTACTTTTATATATTCCATTCAAGAGATATCGTTGTTTTAACTCTGGTATTCCTTGGAAATTCGCTGTTTGTTTTTCGAGGAGATAACCAAGGCATTGGATTCCAAATAACTCAAGGTCGTGAACCTTTCATCTCTCTCGTAAATCAGCAGATTTTTATTGAGTGTCGTTTTAGAATATTTTTCGTGCATATCTGCAGTCAGAATCTTGGTCCTTTAGGCTCTTGTCGATATCAGCCCTTGGGTTCACATTTTTAAGATAGTTTGTAGGAACCTTAACTAGTTTCTTAGTCGAATCCTATTCCTTTTATTTTTGGGCACTTTAGTTATGTCCGTTTTCATTTAGTAAGATACTCTTTTTTAAGAGACGAATTGTAGGTTTGTGATCAGATTTGGAACATAAAAGACATTTCTCAGAATAGCATGCAGAAGAAGTCCAGGGACTATTTCTGTCCATCTGTCATAGTTGTCTTTATTATTTGCCTTTGAATTGCTTCTTTAACAGGGTCATATTATTAGATAATTAGGACGCTCGTTAATAAGTTGACGGCGCGTTTAAAGAAGATTCTGACCAGAGATAGATTGCTCCTTGCTATGATTGATTTTCCTAGACTTTGTTGTTTTGATACACCTTGTAGATAGGTATTTATATAGTTTGTCTCAATGTCTCATATCTATTCCCTTATGGATGATCGTTAATTCATTTATCACGAATTCTACCAAAAGAAAAATTTCAATAGTCATCTTACCCAGTCGTTTTGTTGTATCGTTTTACATAAATGATAAAAGTTTTTACTGAAAAAGCAAGGTGATGCTGACTATAGGAGTATTTTAGCTGTTAAAGAGACATTTCCAAAAAATGGATAAATAACAAAAGGTTTAAATAGTGTACAAACTTTTGGTTTATGGGAGTACCAAAAATCAGTAAAGTCTCTATGCCCAAAAAAAAGCTATTATAACAGAAAGGAGTTTACATTTCAGTGTTTCTCGTCATAGCAGAAACATCTGAGCAATCCTTTTACAATTCTTTTTATAGATGATTTTAAAACATTCCCATTTAGCAAACTCTTGCAAAAAAAGATGACATTGCTAAAGCAAGATTGCAATCGTACACATATCGTTGTTCAAATCGGCATACAGTCTCCTTCTTTTTAATACTGTATAATTAGGTACGATTGCCGATGTACATTTAGCTTGTTATGATGACAAGTGGTGGGTTCTTCGAATGGATAATTTTAAAACAAAAAATTAGGAAACGATGGAACTTAAGCTCTTGTAGTAGAAAGGCTGCTCTGCTTCTTCTTCTTTTTTTTGGAAACTAGAAACATAAATGATCTAACAGTGCTATTAACGAATACTCTTATAACTTTTCACTGTTGACTTTCATTTGAAGAGGACTATAGGGTTGAATCTGGAAAGGGACGATCTTTGCAGCTTTCAATCTTTCAGCAACCGTTTGAGATACTCTCTCTATGAGCTCCTTTACTTTAACAGTACTCTAAACTTTACCCCGTAAATTGTGTCCCTATTTGTATGTTTTCTAATACTCAATGACTCGATATAATCCTTGGCACTTGTGTGTAGACCCAGTCAATGAATGGCAAAGTTTGAGGTTATAACTTTTTGTGTTTTTTGACTATCCAAATATTGCATATATCAAAATATACCGGAGTAGCCATAGTAAAAACTCAATCTAACATTCCCTGAGGAGAGTAGTAGTCACAAGAAAGTTTCTGGATGACTCAAAGTCAGGTACGTTTGAGTGTAGAGCCAATGACTCAACATGAAGCATTCCTATGTGGACAACATACTGCAATGGAATTATACAATATCTTGCAACAATGTCAATGTGGTAAGAATACATAACTAACTATCTATTTGAATATGTGATAGTAATCTTTTGCAACAATACTATCTGCCAGGGTATTCCACATCTCAGCAAAGTTCCTTCCAAACAAGATTTTTCAGGTACTAGAAACATACTTTTTGTCTAAATCATTGCGACAGATAACTGTTTGAAAACGATTGATGGTGCAGAATTTACAAAAAAACTTTTCAATCTGACTGCATTTCTTTCTCCTTTACTATTTGTCAAATAACCACTCCTCTAAAGGGTTCAACGTATTACAAACTTACAATTCCAAACAAAAGATTCTAGTAAAATATTTCTTATTCTGTTAATATGAAAACCAAGCAGCTTTCGATCGATTCAACCAAGTTCCATCATCATTACATCTTTGAAGTTTGCACAACAATCTACAACCTTTTGTCCGCCAACTTGTGGTTCTATCAAACCTAATCTAGTTGAAGACTCATTCTACCTTTCAGAAAGGTGAAGTTTATGTTTGGTTATGGAAACTTGGGTGCTCACCCAATCACATCTGGTCTCTGGCTGATGAAGGTTTGTTTTAGAACCTTCACAGTTTCCAAAGTTGAGAAGTAAGATACCATAGTTTAAGCCTTGCTTTTTATTTTGAATAAAAAGTTTTTTGTTGTATAACTTTCGATTGCTCAAATTGAGTCATTATCAACGTGTCTCAAGCTTCCATAGCGATTTATTTTGGTAACAAACTGATCCAACAGTCTTTTGAAGTCATCCATTGTGAGACTATGCTGAAAAATCGAAACATTTTAGAAACGTTTCAATTTCAACAAATATTCCATTCATACGTAGAGGAGAAGAAAGAATGTGAGATTCTAAAACAATTGGAGCAAAGACAAAGCTCTTTCTGGTGTCATATAGAGTTTTCTGTTTCTCCAATACGGACTTTTTCATGACTTGAGAGCCTTTCCCAACAAAGTTTTCTACAATTGCTTCAAAATAGCCAATCTATTGTCATAGACACCAAAAATGACTCAACTTATTGAATACAATTGTCTTATGTTTAGTATTGATAATATTCAGAATGTATTATGCAATTACATAGCCATGTAAAATGGCTAGATAAGAATGAACTACTGTGAACCAGCCCTGTCAGTCAGCTAATAAACTCTTTTCGGGAGAGAATGTATGGTCTCCAAAGAGGCAAAAAAGTAAGATGTAACCAAGTTTCAAACATACAAAAAATAGTTTATTTGCTCTTCAAAACAAAGAGAAGGACTGAGTTAGAATCTATTGCCAACTTAAGAAACTGTTACGGATTCTATCAAGTAAATCTAATCCAAAATCCCAAAAAGTAGGATTATGAGAAACATGAAATGCTCTTTCAAGTCCATTCAATATTTCTTCGTCAATCAGCATTTGGATATCTCTTTCACAAAGAATAACAAGTTCACAATTATCAGGTACTTTGAACGAATCATTTCTAATAAACATTCCACTGGAGTAACAACGACTCTGATTACCCAACTCATTAGAAACATTCAATGATAACTTTGTACTAACGATAATAAGCATACAATGATGATAATCCATTGCACTGGATAAGACTTGATCATATACAGGATCTAAAAATTTCTTGGCTTCATCTATAATATCTGACCAGCCAATTCCTTCCGACTTCCAGCGTCCTTTACAAGCAACTCCAACAGTAAGGACTTTGGGTTCCACAGGAGATTGTAATTTGAATATAATATCAGGACTATGAGAAGTAGCGTCCACTGGAATGTAAATAGTCTCTAAATAAAGTGTCTCTCGAATAATCTTATTCCATTCAGTATTGGCAAAAGTTCTTCGACTCTTGTTCGATTCATTTCTTGTTTCTCTAGAACTAACAACAGACTTGATATAGTGAATAGGTGATATTGTACTGATTGGAAGTTTCATTTGTTTCCATATTGGAGACATTTGACACAACAATTCCCTCAACTCATTTCGATTCTTTGAAGACAACATCAAAACTAGTCGTAAAGCAACAATTCCTTCAAATACACGACATTTTGAATAGAAGAAACAATCTACTGGTTCTACATCAAGTGATCCAAGAAGTATCTTTTCCATAGGGGAGATAGACGGTTGGTTCTTGAAGATTACAACAAATATTTTTGGAATTAGGACTTGAAAAGTATTCTGGTCAATAGGATATCGATATAGTCCCATTTCAGTGACTGCATCATATAGATAAGACTCCGAGGTCAATATGTCATCTACTTGAAACGGTATACGATAAAGTGCCATCATCAAAAGTATATCAAAAACACTTTTTCTATCTTCGTCCAAATTCAATATTCGTTCCACAAATGGTTCAGCACAAATTATTCGGAAATTGTCGTCGTTCATACAAGTCAAACATTCTTCTTTCGATATGAAAGGCTGGTTTCTTGCTATTATATAATTCAAAAGCATATTCACAGCACGAGTCAACAAACCAGGAACTCCACCTGTACATTCCAATAACGAATCTGCCAATTCATTTACTGAAAATGAAGAACTACATAAGACATTACAAACTGGAACTTGAGTAGGTGTTTCAAGAAGAGTCTTTTCAAGGAATTCAACGATACTGGAAGCGTCCAAAGGTGATAAAGAAATAAAATGTAGTATGACTTTTGATACAGAAGAGACATAATTCTTAATACTTAAACCCTTGCTTTTCCCAACAACAATAAAAAACAAGTCGGGTTCTTTGCACAATTGACTAATGATACCGAAAAAGTCGTTGTATGGTCGAACCACACCTTTGTCATTCTTCTCCAGTTCAAAAAAGGTTCCCTTTGTATCAAACACACCAACTTCGTCAAATGCCAACAAAAGAAATTGATCGGAAGGAATGTTTAAGATTGAACGAAGTTTTCTAACTAACTTATAGGGACGTGTACGGCATTCTTTAAATACTACTTCTTCATCCTCTGGTTCTTGTCCAACAGAAGTGCAACACGCTTCTATCATTCGATAGTAGACTGCCCACTCTAGGTTGCGTTCTTTCGGTTCTGTGGGCTTCAACCCCCTTAAATCCACATAAAGCAATGAAGCCCTTTTCAGCTTCTCCAAAAAGGTTCTCTTCAAAGGGTCTGAAGCAAACGTCGACAGAAAATTTTCACCAAACCTTTGCACCAACTCCAAATAGTTTTGGGCAAAGGTCGTTTTGCCCGAGCCGAAGATGTGGGGGGCGAATGGTATGGTCAAGCGATAGTTGCAACTACTTGTTACACCCCTGAGTTGTTTTCTGTCTTCTATGAAGATCATACAGTTCTTTTGTCACTCGATCAACGTCTCTTTCACGATCTACCACAACAGACTTAAAGTTGTCCACAGCTTTCCACTTTTCATTCAAATTCGCCATCGCCAAAGAGAAATTAAACAATCTTTTGTTTATTTCGGAGTACAAATATAAATAAATGAACGATTGACTGTTTGTCGGTCACAACAACAACAAGGAAAACAGTAAAGGATACCAATCCAACTTCTTCTCTTTATCAACTGATGACTATGTCATACCTTTTATGGCTTGGACTGAGATGACTTGAACTATGGAAGTACGATCAATATGGCTTTTTCCGCTATCGATATTCTTATTCTCGTATGCTAATATAATGGTAACTCTCATAGGGTACAAGGAGGATTGGAAGGAAGCCAATTTTTATTTCACAAGTTTTTTATGCTCTTTGAGAGTATAAAGCTATTGAACATGGCCCATTCTCACATAGATAAGAAAGTTTCTTTCAGAATTTTCGAGAGTAGTCATGAGAGTTCCGAGTGATATAGGTTGTTCATGAAGAATTTGTTCCATAGACGTCTCTCTCTAGATTTTCTGTATTTTATGGAATAGTTTTTACGTCACTTTTGCTTCATTTCGAAACACGGAACTAGAGTATGAACCAAGTCATTCTCTTGTGTAGTCTATTCAAAAGCTCCAGTTGAAATATATTATTTAGTAGAAATGCAGAAACCCGCAAGCACAGCACTGCTTTATTCTCAGCAATCGTCAAATTCCTTTCTTACGATATCATGGCAAGTGGCAGTTTATCACTAAAGCTACAAAAGTTGATGATAGCAATAGACAAACCAAAACAAATGTGCAAAGAAGGATCCAAAATATCTCGTGGTTTTATCAAATCTCAGAAACAACATTGACTCACACAAGTGTATCATTAATACTCAATTTCTGTAAGAGTCAATAACTCCTGTTTCTTTCTCCTCTGAAAATAGTGGCATTTGATATTTTGGATTCTGTTAAGAGGAGAAAATATATTTTTCAGAGAAATTCAATTCAGTCGAATTGAGTCTATTCTATCGTTTCTTTTCTCGTATCTTGTCATTGCATATCATTTGAATCATAGTTGAATTCTTTCTCCTCAGTAGTCGACTATATATTTGAGGTGTTTTTGAAGGTAAACATGACTGTTTAGGTTTAAAGGCTTTTGTTGCATCCTCTTGTACGATAAACTTTGTAAAAACTACAACTTTTAAAGATATACAAGAAAGCAAACTATAAATTGTACAAGGCTGCTTTAGGAACGATATAACTCCAAGGGGGCTATTATTTCTTTCAATATAAAAAAAGGTAAAACTTTTAAAAGCTCTGCAAATTCAAAGAACGATTTGTTCAGCTGCATTTGAGTCCTAATCTTCTTCCATTCTCAACCATCAGCTCATTGAATAAGTGAGTCACTATACAAAAGTTCCTTGCGTTAGGCACTTGGAAGAAGACTCTTGAGAAGTATAACCTGATGGGTACACTAGTAGAGGCTTCCTTTTGGATATTTGTGACAAGAACGTTTCGTATAAAAAACGGGTCTATCAATAGAAGGAATGTTCATTTCTACTAGGGACAAGTCAAACTTGAAAAAGAAGAGAAACGCTGTTTTATCCAAGTTGCTCTACAAAGAATAAAAATGTTGTCAACTCGCAAGCAATATTCAGCAGAATAAGATAACACAAGTTATCTGATTCTTTTGCAGAGTCAAAATCTCAAATGATATTTTGGTTGTTATCCAAACCGGCAAAGGTCTTACTCTCTTAAATATACCGGATAGATTTCGTCTCCTAGTGAAAAGGAAAGAATATAAACGTAGAAATAATGGAAAAATAAGAATCTTTCATCTCTTCTTGGCAAAGTAATAAAGAAAGGTGAATCTTGAAATATATGTGCAAGGAGAACCAAAAGCATCACCACTTTTACTGTTGTTATACTATTGAAAACTCTCAACAAGTTCTTTACGTGGAGAACGAACCAATAGCCCTGAATCGTTTGAGGTTCGATCCTACTTATCGTAGGTAGCTTATGTAGGAATTTGTGTATAGACAAAAGTATTCCCAACCTTTGGTCAGTTTTTTACTATTGTCCTGTCCTCTGTATACTTTCCAATTCTAGAGTTGGATATACGATTTGTTCTTCTTTATAACTCGTAATCGAACAAAGATTGTTCCTTGAGCGTAATTTGCATGGAAGGGAAGATTATAGTTCTCACAATGCAAGCCAAACAGAGTTTATGTCATTGAAATGGAAAGGACAACGAAT